GATTTTATGAGGAAATCCTGATCATGGTGTATGTACTAAAAAGTACTTAATTTATTTTCCATTGGAAAAGGAATTTATTTTCCATTGGAAAAGGAATTTATTTTAAATTTATTTAGTTTCTATCCAAGCGTAATTTTCTGGGATAGATTTTGTCATACGAGCAATTTGGCTGCAGCGCAACTCCAGCGCGTGTCGGGGGACGTGTGCGTTCACATGTCCTTGAATTTTTTTTTCCCTTAGACTTGTGTGTTTCCTTATTATAATAACGATGTTTTTTTTTTTTGACAAATTTAACTTTGCAGTAGAAATAATGTTCTCCCCCATACATGCTCCAACTGCAAATGTAATTTTTCTCCCTTTACTAGTGCTGTATGACCTTGCTTGATAAAATCTCCTAAAATCTTCGAAATATGTTTTTAATTACTCAAACATGCAAGTATCACGATGTTGTCTTTTATTGCCGAGAGCGCAATAAATCAGCATTTAAAATTGCAATTAACATTGTTGCTGGCGGGGATCGAATCCGAGTTGCTTGTATACGGTGAAATTTTCAAGGAGCGCTTAACTTCTGACCTATCACGACTACCGAGGGACCATAGACCATTTGATATCTCATTGATAGACAATTTGATAACTCTCTCCGTTCCAGAGAAAAGGGGTTGAAAAAAAAACAAATGGACAGAATAACAACAGAGTAATCCAGATATTTCCAACAGAGATATTTCCTTTAAGAGGTCGGAACCCCAAAAAAGGTTGTGATAAAACCTCTATTGTGATATTTGGCGATTTCTTTGTACTGTTTATCGCTAAATCAATCTATTATTTGATACTGATAACAATTGTACCGTCAAAGTGATGTCACTGACCACTTGTATCGCCATCTCGAAATTATCATGTGCAGGTTATCTGGTACATTATCTTGATGCGACAACACTATCAAGCACTTTACTAATGGGTATTTCAGCTCTTTGTACACGAGGCAGTTGGTTTGTATTCTGAATGAAGTCAAAATATTTTCTTTTTCTACAGACTTGAAAAGAGGATGTACTCAGTTCGACTGTATGTTTTTTTGTGTGTTACCTTATAACTTTTTCTGGGTGTGAATTTCGATGATTATTTTTTTATTTGAAAGCTGGTGCTTCTCATGTGGTCCCATATAAATTTGATCAAGGTCTGACCAGTAATAGTTTTTGAGTTATTCTTAATAATTTATATTGAAGTCGGTTGTATAAAATTTAAATTTTGATTTTAAATTATGTAATATTTTGATTTCATTTGGAATGCCTCTTAGTAATGTTATAAAATGTGTAATAGCAATGGATTTAATTTTAATTTGGCAAAAAGGCATTTATTCTCAATGCTAGGCAAGGAGCCCTTCAGTTTCCTACACCTTTCTTGATTGGAATCTACGCGAGCATTTCTAAAAGGTAGTATTAGTGGCCGCGAAACCATTTGTCATATCTCCTTAATTTCAAAGCGGAGTTCCTTGTTGCCTCAGCCAGCGTCGAAATACTCGGCGTCGACATGTCAAATGACGTACAGTTCCTCGGTCACCTGGAAGACCATATTGGCCTCTAAAAAGCTTGGTGTACCTACTTAATGGAGTGAGACAGTATGTCATGAAGGCACAGCGCTTGCAACTATATAAGGCGCAAGTTCGGCCTCACATGGAATATTCTTTATTTCTGGACCACGTTTCCCTAGTGCTAGCTACTTCCACTTGACCATATCCAGCGCAGAGCGAATCGCCGACGACCTAATTATTTCTGATTGGATTGACTCACTGACGCTGTGAAGAGATGTTACGCCCCTTTGCATATTCTATCGCATCTACCACGGGGAGTGTTCAGAGAAATTGTATTCCAGCCTATAAATTTGACCACCGCACATCGCAAGAAAACTCGCAATACCATCCATCCATCTGGAAGACTGGCAGTCGACAGCTGTGCAATTTATTACAAACTCTAGGGCCTGTATAAATATATAGTAGGTAGATAACGAAAAAAAATGCAATAAACATATTATACTGAGTATGTTTCAATAGATAGATGAGAATATTTAACAAGTTGATGGATGTAGATGAATCTGTGTTTTACGGCATTCCTTAGCAATGGAAATGTGAAGTAATGATATTTTTGCAGCTTTGAGCCTTTATTAGCAGACCCACGCATCGTATTTAAAATATATAGTTCGTATTATGGCCTGCAGTAACTACTTACCTATAGATATATTTTTTTAAATATCGCCGTTTCAGCCTCTTAAATGTTAAAATAATATTTTATACATATGTATATATTAGGGTTGGCAACCGCAACCCTAATTCTAGTTACGCGACCGTGTGTGCGGTTTAAGCCCATGGCAAGTCCAGCAAATACTTTTCCTACTCTATTGTTCGTTTCGCTAATTTTGGCGGTTAAAAGGGCTCCCGTATGCGCAAGACCTAATTCAAATTGAAATATTGCTATCGTATCAAACAAATAAGTTAAGCCGCCGATAACGATCTTTCTTATTGACGATAGCTTTCATTATTATCTATATAATTACTGTGATTTTGTTTTAATGCTACTGAATATCAATCAATCGTAAAGATATGATAAAAATTTTAAAATTTCCCCTTACATTTACAAACGTATATATTTTTTAAAGAAATCAGAAAGGGTAAAGATGTGGTGGAAAACGGGTATTGTCCTTATCACTATAGTCTCTAGTTGGGTGAGATTTCTTTTTGTTTAATTTTTTTTAGTAAATTTTTTGATTCGATACGGCTATCCGCAGCTATATTATCACTTTCACTGTCCGGTTTTCAGACACAATATAATAAGACAATACCAATGAATAGGTATGTGAATGTAGTGCACGGGACAGCGAAAGGGTTAAAATTGGACTTAGGAAATTTGTGCGACAGTTGTACCTAGTCTAGTTAGTAGCACAGAGTAAATAATTAGTAGTAAATTCCTTTCATTAACCGAGTTCAAAAAGGAGGAATACAATTATTTACAATTGTTTTAAAGTCGACTGTATATTGTTTTTAAATGTGTGTTATACTATATTCTTAAAGATTAATATCTATGTAATTAATCTGTTTAAAGTTACAGCCTATATACAGAGTTATTTAGAAATAACCGGACAAATTTGCAGTTCAGAATAAGTAATATAGGCAAATGGTGAAGAAAAGTTAATTAAAAAAATCTCAAACATTCTGTCCTTTTTATTTTTTTTTAATTCAAAATGCGCACGCACTCATTCGTAAAGGTCGATCGGTAAGCAAAAACGTTGTAGCTCATAAACCGCATTCAATTTGGGATTATTTCAAATAAAAGTAGAAGCCTTATTTAATCGTATTTTTAAAAACTGCAGTAACCGTATATCATTATTTATATATTTGAACTTAAGTTTAAAATTTGACTACTCTTTGAAAAATAATCTTGTATGACATCCCACTGTTGGGCACAGGCCTCCTCTCATTTCTGAGAGGGTTTAAGGGCAAGGAAATGTTCGCCGCGTTGCCCCAATGCGTGTTGACGAACTTCAAATGTCTTCGAAATATTTTTTTTCTTATTTCTCAGACATGCAGGTTTCCTCCCGATGTTTTCCTTCACCGCCGAGCCCTTGATAAAACTGTTTAGCTGACTTTTAGGTAGTAATATCGTATACCTATACTTTCATAGTAGATCTCCGTGGCGCAGTGACTTAGTAATGAGTTATTGAGCTGGGGTCCGCGGGTTCGAATCCCGCACGGAACAAGTATTTGTATGACCTACAAATAATTGTTCCGGGTCTGGATGTTTGTCCTTGTGCAATTTGTGCTTGTAAACTGCCTCCACGATACAGGAGAAAATCCTAGTGAGAGTAACATTTTTTAAAGAAAAAGATTAAAAAAAAAGATAAAGATCTTTTACAATTTTTTATTTACATTGTGAAAACATTGTGGTTAAAATTCCAATTTTAACCACAATGTTTACTATGTTTAGAGACAAATGGAAGACTTTTGTCGAGATCGGTATGTCGAGTAATCTACGTGTTACATCCATTTACCATCAAATGGACTAAGTGCTCATTTATATACCTGACCGAATTATCGAATGAATCGGTGGTTGGGCACTATTTTTTCGCATACATGTTTATAATTATTTACATTAATTTATATTTTCAAAATATAAGATTGCAAAATGTTATTTGTGCTAGTAACTCAACGAACTCTAAGATTTAAAATACTATAGCAGCTTTATTTAATATTCGATTACTTATAATTTAAACTTTAAGTACAATATTAATTTTTGTCTGGAAAATATTAAACGGGTTGGTATATTTAGCTTGAAATATCCATTCTAAACAAGACAAAAAAATAACATGTTTGTAAATTTCCAGGCCTCTGCCGAGTTTGTAAAGCCAGACTTCATTGAAAATGTAGTCAGAAGAGGTATGTTCTCTATTTATTTCAACATTTTTTAATCCTTATGTACGAAATTACCATTTCACACAAATTTTTAACTTTTTCTATTATATTTATAAATTTAATATTTATTTGGAAGTAAAGACTAAAAATGAGTTGGGGGGTGACTCGAACTTTAGGCCTGGGCAGTTTGAATAGCCTATCATGTAGAGGATGTCGTGAGTAGTCATAGTTGAACAAGGACAAAACGTTCTCATTACACTCCTAGGGGGTCAAAATGGCCAAAAAAATTCTTATTTCTGCTATAACTCCGCCTACTTCGGATCAGCTAGTGAATTATAATTAAATATTGTCTCAACAGTGCATGATATTTTTGTCGTAAATTATTAGCTACTTACTTCAAAATTACATCGGTCGTCCGATTACGAACTGTCAGGAACGGAACTATGGGGGGAATTTATTACATAAGCCTGTTAATAATGATTTTAGCAATAATTTACGTTACATTATAAAAAAACTAATCAACGCTTTCTATCTTAGCTTTTCATTTACACGAAACTTCGGTGAAACAAACGTTTAAATTGACCAACCGTTATTTGAGTTACAGCGCCCGATTCACGAATAGTGTCTGGTTGGGAGGCAAAACCCGGACAACATCCGCACCATGCGGCCCTCCGCATGGTCAACCTGCGGGGCTCGGTCAGTGCTTGCGGGGGCTCCATCGTGCATCGCAACTGGATGATCACTGCAGCGCATTGTACCGCAGGGTCAGTAATAATAAAACAGGCCAGCCTCCGCAGAGTCTACTTCACCTGAGGATGCCTCGTGTAGAGGCGAAACACGTGTCGTATTTTCGAGAGTGGTGTGTCGTGCCTAGTGTGGTGGTCCTGGGGGTGGTAGTGCTGGGATTGATGGCGACGGGTATAGTGCGCACGATTGAGGGAGGGTGGGAGGTCTCCTTAAAACTGGGCAGGACATATCATTTTCTTTCTTTACGCGGAATTAAGCAAATTAGTTTATAACAACCCCATTATAATGGATTTCCGCAAAGTAACGCCTGATTCTATTAATTATCCTCTCACCGTTTTGGCATCTTGCTACCATTAATATTATCTGGGTGGTAGGATTACTTTTTTGCCTAGGAGTCTGTGCTGTGTTTCGGTCTGAAGTAATATAGATAATGAATATAGTTAAGTGGGTTCGAATCCGCCCATTCGGTTACCGTCGTGAACCAATTCTAATACTATTTCTATTCTAATGGCTTAAGACTAAAATCTTCGATGACATTGAGGCTATGGTATCATTGTTTAGTTATCATAATCTGTCTAGTGACCAAAAGGACTGCGGTAATGAAATCGTTTATGGAGGAAGCTGCGCCTGACTTCTTCCGATCCCAAGACATTGTTGTAGGGCTAACCTAAACCTAAAATTAAACCTAAAAGTAAATCTAAAAGTTATATCTACACACAGGCCTTTTTTACTGGAAATGAGGCATTCCATCTTAGTCCTCACGGGTGACAACGCATCTACATTTTGATTTGTAACAGAGGATAGATGTAGATGTCTATGGGCCGCAGCAACCACTTACCATCAGGTGGACTGTGTGCTCGTTTGTCACCCTTATCCTATAAAAAAAAAAGGTCAACGAAATTGACCCATAAACACAATGCGTACACACACACACGCACGTACACAAACACACAAGCACGCACGCACACGCGCAAACGCGCAAACACACACACACACACACACACACACATTGCGCGTGTGCGTACACTCAAATCCCCACTCACATACATCACACACCGCGCGTGTACGTACACTCAAAACCCCACTCTCATAAGTCACACACCGCGCGTGTACGTACACTCAAAATCCCACTCACATCACACAAGTGCGCTCCTTATCTTTTTGTATTTTGTAATTTCATTTCTTTTATTTTGTTTTCAATTACATACACTGTATATGTAATGTTAAGAGGAAAAGCGGAGTCAGCGGAGACACCTAACACAAGCATCTCTTTGCTTAAAAGGTGACCTCCAAATCCTGTATGTTAAAGAATTATAAATATAAGTAATTGAAATAAACATTTTTTTAATACAAACATTTTGCAAAAAGCAGCACAAGGTCCTAAATGGTAAATACATTAGACCAAGAAATACCTTTTCAATCTTCCTTTAAAGGTCCTAAATTGTTGTGATCTGGGAAGACTGATGCAAATGAAAAATTCTATTCCCTCGCTATGTGTACCAGAAACTATAAAGCGACATTTTGAATGTAGGAACTATAGAGTGCAGTTTTCACAAACAATCTCTCTTTTGCAGCTCCATAACCGTGGTTGTTCGCGCCGGTGTGACCGACCTAACTAGGCCTGAGTACATTTTTGAGACTACGGAATGGTACAATCATCCCACATACAACGACCTAGCTCCTAGCTTGGTGCAGCCCAACGACATTTCTATCGTGCGTCTCCAACGCCCGGTGATCTATTCTGGTAAGAAACATTTAAACAATGTAACTTATATGCTTCAACTTAAATATTTCCTTTTAGCTTGTTTTTTTTTCTTTTATACAACGCTGGATACATTTTTTTTTTGCGCCCGAAGCAATTTGGAAAAGGGCTACCCTTTACGGGAGGCGGAAAATGCATTACGCATACCACGATGGCTATCCATCGTGGTTATGGGGGACTCACGCCTAACCGGGGAGCCTATGTGATACCCCCTAAAAACCGCCTTTGGGGACTGGCAACCAGCTGTTTAAAGCTTCCTATGCCGTATCGGAAGCGACCCTCTTTTGGGAAAAGAGGGCGCAGGCGGCTACAAGCCGCTGAGGGAGTGCCTACGGAGGCAATTTGATTGTAAAAAAATTAATTATCTATGAAAGTTTAATTATGATATTGACTGAGCCACCAGGAGGCAGTTCAAGTCGTTTGACAGAGATTAGGCGGGTTCGAGTGGGAGTTCCTCGGCCTGCGGATGAGATAGCGAGAGGGAGTGGGGTTGCACACTTAGCTACCTCACGAATAAGTATGTTTAATGAAACTCTGAGACTTTGAAGAAGTTTCAGAGAGTTTTAATTAGTGAGTGCCTACGAAGGCAGTTTTAACCCGACGTATTGACCTTACGGTGAAATGATTAAAATAATTTTATAACGTACTTAAAAGATTATGATGCTCTGTAAGAGCAGGAGTCGGTCCTGAGGGGACTTGGCAGCGCACAATTTGCGTGCTAAGACTGTGATCTCCCCAATGTTGATGTTCTTAATAGCGGCGTACACCGTATTTAGATCATCAACCATTGAGGGTTGTGTTTGCTGTGCAGCAGGGGACGCGGAGGGTCGGCCTTTTTGGGTCCCCAGGGAAAGACTGGAGGCTGTAATGGTTGCGAGAAGCCCGGAGGTGGGCGAAGAAGAGGGGGAGGGACCCGGGAGGGCCTTGGGTCCACCTGAGATGGGCGAAAATACCTCTTAGGTGGCAATCTTGACGGGAGGGCCGGGAATGACTTAGCATTAACCGGCGGTGGAGCGTGCCTAATGGGGCGGGGGTGAGGTGCGCAAGGGCAGCCTCTGTAGTTAGCCGGGTGGCCTGTTTGTTTACACAGGACGCACGCGGGTGGGGATTCGGCATTTTTGGGCCGGGGACACTCTTTCGTGTTGTGGGGGTCGAGGCACTTAACGCACCTGGGTGGGGCGGAGCAGTTGGCCGCCGCATGACCATATAACTGGCAGCGGTGGCACTGCGCCGGGTAGCCGCGCCTATGTGGGAGCTCAGCCCTAACTCCCGACAGCCCACACACTGTGCGTAACTGCCGGAAGATAGTCTGTGCCTCCGGTGCGTTTGCAAGAATAACGAGAGCGAGGGGGAACCTCAAGCCCGTTCTGCTGTGCATTTTATGCACAGCCTCAACCGGGAATCCTTGGGACTTAAGGTCCTCAAGGATTTCCTCGTTGGAAATTTCAAAAGGGACGCCTCGGATGACGGCCCTGACTTTGCGCTCTTCCGGAAGAGCGTACGTGTGATAAGAGACTTGTTCGGCTGTGAAGAGCCTGGTGAGACGACGAAAGTCGTCGACAGATTGGGGGATGATTTTAATAGCCTCCCCGAGGTTGGTGGCTTGGTCGTATTTAATTCCTGCGTCGTAGCAGGCTTTGGAGAGGCGGGTGAACTGAGCCTTGTCTCGTAAGAAGACAGGGGGCGGGACTTGCTTCTTAGTCGGGTTAGAAGCACAGCGGGAGGCCGGCTTGGGCAGTGGTGTCACGGAAACTGCAGCGGGAGCTGCTGGGACTGAGGCAGCTACGGGGGCTGCGGGGTTTGCGGGGGCGGCAGAGGCCGCCGAAACGGTGTGATTTTTCGCGGCGCGCTTACGGCGCTTGGAAGACACTGTCGTGAACTCCGATTCTTCGGATCCGTCTGAGTCAGACGACTCCGTAGAACCGGAGCCCCGGAGTGTGGATTCTGAGTCGGAGTTGGAGTTGGAGCACTCCATGTCTACTTCGAGAGGCGCAAATGAGTTCTGGGACTCAATGTGGGGCGCTATAACGGACTGAGATTGGTTTGCGTTATTGACGAAAGAAGTCATCATGTCTAGAAGTGCAGCGAGTTTCTGCGTGTCCTGCGTCCTATTGACGACTTCAAGAAAGTAATTTCTCATGTCCTGAGCGGACATTTTTAACTGAGTGTAAGTTAATAAGTTAAGGGGACGGGGGGACACTGTTCTGAGAAGAACAGATCGTATTTTTAGAAACAGTAAGGGCGGGATCACCGTTCTGAAAAGAACGGGACGTTCTTATTCGAGGAGTTGTGCCCTGGTTCGCAAAAGAACAGGGCCTTGCTCTGAAAAGAGCAAGTAACTCCCTTGAAACAATATACGCGTTACAATTAATAACAATAAAATAATCACAAAAACAAAAATGACAATTAAAAAGCAAGACCAACAGTCAAACCGCCCCGCCCGAAGACAGGGAGGTAATAACTGGAGTTAGCGTAAAAGGACTCACCAGGCGTCGCACTGTACAGTGCGAGCAGGACAGCGGAGGCGCGAGAGCGAGAGAGCACTACCGTACGGGGACGGATGTGCGGACTACCTGGACACGACCGCTCGAGAGCGGTGCCACAGGCGGAATGAAGCCGCTGGATACTTTACGGCTTTATATAAATACTAGCTGGCCAGGCAGACGTTGTTCTACCCTTTCCGACGACCTTTTGTCCTATAAAAATCCGTAAATTCGCAATAAAAATTTTTGAAGGTCACTTATTGGGATAAAAACTATCCTATCTCTCAAGTTGGATCAAACTGCACACAGTGTGCAAAATTTCATTGAAATCAGTTCAGTAGTTTAGGAGTTCATCGCGGACAAACAACGTGACAGGTAATTTTTATATATAAAGATATAGTACGTATAGAATTAACCTTACTTCAGAAAATTGCACCATAAAAAATTAAATTAAATTGAAATAAATTATATGACTATAATATGATAATTAAGTTTCTAGTTTTAGTTTTTTTATTATTATTATAGTTTTTAATATTGTCTATAGTAAAAAAAAAATCTTTTTTCAAATTGTATGTGGTATTATTACTTCATGGGTGATGCGGGGTCTTTGCAATATTCTAACTTCCCGGCCAATGCAGAGATAAGTAAACCACATACATTTTGCAAATTATTTTTTTAATTATTTTTTTTTATTCTGATAGTATTCAAAATAAAAAAAAATAAGTTAACACACTTAATGGGAACCACAAGGTTTTTCTACCGACTTCAAAAAGTTGACGGACGGTACTCAATTCGACTAATTTTTTTTTATGTGTGTTACCTCATAACTTTTTTCTGGGCGAACCGATTTCGATGATTCTTTTTTATTTGAAAGCTGGTGCTTCTCGTGTGGTCCCATATAAATTTGATCAAAGTCTGACCAATAGTTTTTGAATTATTCTTAATAATCTATATTGAAGTCGGTTGTACAAATTTTCAATTTTAAATTATGTTACATTTTGTATAGTCATAAGCAGCGACATACTAGGGAAATGATAGTAGGAGATGTACAGGAGCAACGTCTTGATTACAGCTCGAAATAATTAAAAAACTGCGGTTACCAATCCGCCAGCCATGTGTGGCAACTATGGCAAAATTTCGAAATTCGGTAGCATTTACGCTACTATTTAACGATGGTATTTCATGAAAGCGTGATCCTTCCCCGGTCGTGCCGATCAATTCGTGCTGCATCCATAATAGAAATGGAGCGTGGCTCTACCACATGCAATGAATATGGCAGCCTTGAAGGTACGGACCTGTCCATCCTATGGCTGCGCGTAGACACTAGACAGCGACTACCATCCCCGCGTCTACGGGTGCCTCTATAGTTCCAAATGGCCAAATGGATTCCAAATGGCTACATATTCCTTGCTACAGCAGATTGAATCCGCAGAGATCGTGATCCTTGACGATTTTAACGCCCACCACGCCGAATGGCTCGGTTCACGTTTAACCGATCCTACGGGGAAATCGGTTTATGACTTTGCCTTGGTATATGGTCTTACACAGCTGGGTACTTCGCCTATGCGTATCCCAGATGTGGACGATCATGTACCTTCCCTGTTAGAACTTCTGCTGACCTCTCATCCGGACGGATATCAGGTTTCCGTCGACGCCCCTCTAGGCTCGTCGGACCATTGTCTTGTCCGGAGTGTGGTGCCACTCACACTAACGTCGCGGATGCATTCCGCAGGCTGCCGCTGTGTTTGGCACTATTGGTCCGCCGATTGGGATAGTATGCGGTCTTTTTTTGCATCCTACCCTTGTGGACGGGTTTACTTCTCCAATTTCTCCATAGAGAGGAGGACTCACTGGCCCATGCCGCAAAGGAGAAAGCCGATCTGTTAGGATCTCTCTTTGCGTCCAACTCGATTCTCGATGACGGAGGGAACACACCGCCGCCCACCCCACGGTGTGAATGCTCCATGCCGGATGTGGGGTTTACACAGCACTCGATTCGTAAAGCACTACTCTCCCTGGACGTCAGCAAGTCGAGTGGGCCTGGTGGAGTCCCTCCTATTGTGCTGAAGACATGTGCTCCGGAGTTGGCACCTGTTTTAACGCGTCTTTTCCGGTACTCCTACTCCCAAGGCGTAGTCCCGAATTCATGGAAGACAGCTTTGGTCCACCCGATCCCTAAAAAAGGTGACCGCTCAGACCCGTCCAACTACAGGCCTATCGCCATTACCTCCTTCTTCTCCAAAATACTTGAGTCCATTATAAACTGCCAGCTCATGAGGTACCTTGAGGATCACCAGCTGATTAGTGACCGCCAATACGGTTTTCGTCGGGGTCGATCAGCTAGTAATCTTCTGGTCTACCTCACTCATAGATGGGCGGAGGCAGTAGAGTCCAAGGAGGAGGCATCGGCCGATAGTTTGGACATAACGAAGGCCTTCAATTGGGTCTGGCACAAAGCGCTTCTTTCGAAGCTCCCTTCCTATGGGCTTCAATTCCAAATTGTGCAATTGGATCACCAGTTTCCTTGCTGAATGGAGAATCAAGGTCGTACTAGACGGTGCGTGCTCTGATTACAAGCCTATCAACGCTGGTGTTCCACAAGGCTGCGCGCTACCACCAACGCTGTTTCTTCTGCATGTCAATGATATTTTGCAATCGGGTAACACTCATTGCTATGCAGATGACAGTACTGGTGATGCTTTATATACCGGCCGTGCCAATATTTATCGAGAAAAGTCACCGAGTACCGGGACAAACTTGTGTCTGAAGTCGAGTCTTTGCTGAACAAAGTCTCGGATTGGGAGCAACTAAATCTAGTCCAGTTCAATCCCCAGAAGACACAAGTTTGCGCATTTACCGCTAAAAAGGACCCCTTTGTCGTATTTCCTCAGTTACAAGGCAATCCCCTTGCTAGCATCGGAATCCTCGGCGGCGATATATCGAATAGTGTGCAGTTTCCTGGTCACGTGGAAAGGAAGGCCAAATTGGCCTCTAAAAAGCTTGGCGTGCTCAGCAGAGCGAGACTGTATTTCATGCCGGTACATCGCTTGCAACTTTACAAAGCGCAAGTTGGGCTTAACATGGAATACTGTTCTCATCTATGGGCCGGGGCACCCCAGTGCCAGCTCCTTCCACTTGACTGCATCCAGCGCAGAGCGGCTCGAATCGTCGACGACCAAGTCCTTTCTGATCGGCTAGATTCATTGGCGCTGCGAAGAGATGTTGCATCGCTTTGCATTTTCTATCGCATCTATCACGGGGAATGTTCCGAGGAATTGTTCGGATTAATTCCAACCGACAAATTTCTCGAACGCAAATCGCATCAAAATTCACGATACCATCTTCACCATCTGGATGTTTGGCGGTCCACCACTGTGCGTTTTACTAGGAGTTTTCTTATTCGTATAACTTTTCTGTGGAATTATTTACCATCATCGATTTTTCTGGACTGATACAACTTAGAGACCTTCAAGAAAAGAGCTTACTCCATTCTAAAAGGCCAGCATTGCACCTGCAATTCCCCTGGTGTTGCGGTTGTTCATGGGCAGCGGTGACTACCGCTGATCAGGGGAGCCGCATATTCGTTTGCCCCCTCTTCTATAAAAATAAAGAAATAATACATCTGCAGTCCACCGTGTAGTGGCGGTGTACGAATACACCACTCCACGATGGTCCACCATATCGTCCCGTGGGTGCCGTAAGAGGTGATGAAGAGAATCTGAAACAGAAAATGGGCAGCAGCATCTTCGTGATAAGAACTTAAAATTATAAAAACTGCGGTTGCCAACCCGCCTTCCAAGCGTGGCAAGTATGGCAAAATCCCCAATATGAGAAAATCTACGGGGGAGTCCGAATGTTTAGCAGTGGAGTGGACTGGGCTGTAATGGATGGATGGAATATTATATCTAAATTATGAAAGGCATCATTTTAAAAAAATTAGCCCCACGCTAAGATTTTTTTGTATCGTGAAAACATTTTACATACATAAATATCACATGGACAAACCCTGAATAATTATTTGTAGGCCATTATAGCTACTTATTCTGGTTGATTCAACGCTACGCATCAAAACTCTTAGCCACTGCGTTTTCGAACCATCGTTTTCTCTATAAATTATATTGAAAAACGAGCTAACAGTGTAATTGACTGTTTGTGTGCATTGCATGCAGGACACTCGCAGTGCTCGTAACAAACTTCAAATAGACAAGGCTACAGCAGCTGTCTCATCCCTGAGACTAAGTTGAAATGCCCACGAAAAACATAAGAAAACGAAACAAGAAAGCCAGCATAATTACACCCTATGTCTGCTATAATTGCTGGCTTTCTTCTATCTTCATTTCAAACCAGAACACAAAAATAAGTGTGCTGCCTACACATATCCAGATGGACTACTTAAGGAGCCTTATTAACTTATCAATTTAAAAAACATTAAGTCATAGTGTAACTAATAATAATTACAAATTGTATTAATTACGCATTTTACTTTATTTCTAGATAATTTGCGCGCGATCCGATTACAGCCCGCTTCCGATGCGTACAAAAACTATGAGGGTCAAACTCTTTATGCTAGCGGACATGGCAGAACCTGGACAGGAGGTAATAATATTAAGTTATTACGTAGAAATAGATACTGCAGAATATATATTAAAAAGAAGAGATAGAGTAGGGAGGACTTAAGGAAAACATCGTGTATTTTTTAAATTATTTATTATAAATCAAAATTAAGAAACGTAACAAAGTCTTTAATTATCGATTAATCAACAATTTATCAACAAAATTATATCTCATTAGCCTACTGTTAGTAGTGTTTTCCTACTTTATTAAAAAAAAACACGTTTGAGCGGCATTGTCCATTAATGAGTAATGATGCTCAAACATGTTCTTGGAATATGTTTGGAGTAAGATACATTTTAATTAAATAAATATTAACGAGTTCAACCTTATACAAAAGTAAAGTCTACAATCACAAATTAGCATCAATTGGCCCCATTTGAACGTAAGATTAATCTTTTTGAATTTAACAAATATACTAAGGTCTTCGATGTCGAATCAACTTCAATTATTATAATATAATATAAAATTATTATTATTATTAGAGGTAAGACAAATTAGAAATAGAAATATTTTATTTTTGGACACATAAAACACAAATTTATCCATCTGGTGAATCCCACCCTGAACATATAGCATGAGCCCACAGTCCGCAGATAGTGCAGCGATATTTTTATTATTATACTCGTTATTTTTTCTAAATTCTTCGCTATTTCCGAATACGTTTGTTATGATTTTCATCATCCACATTCATTTCGTCATTACTGCCATCGTCGCAAAGGTGCTCTTCATATTCACTCTCTGATGAACTTTCTTGTAAAAATTGTCTCTTGTAGGATTTTTGTTTCTAATGTTTGTTCTTCTTTTCTTTGACAACTTTTTTTTGGTCTTGATTTATCATCTTTTCCAGTTTTATTGAGTTTCGCTATTTTTTTTCTTTTCTTTATCCTCTAAAATAGTTTTCATTGGAGTCGCAGTTAATATGGTACCATGTTGCTTTCGCTTTCTTTGACCTAGGTTAGAAGATGGCGCAATAGTTGGTGTCGTTCCTAGTTGCAGCAAAGTATACCGGAGTTCTTTGCTCATCAACAAGTTCTTGGTTACAAGCACAAGCAACTGCCAAAAGAGATTCGGAGCATTGATCCTTATTTGATGGTCCTGCCAAAGAAGATGTATGTCCTGAAATTATGGTCATACCATCAGATTGCGCATCTTCAAAATTCTGGACATTTGGGTCTTGGTTTTCAGCGTTTTGTTCCAATTCTTGTGCTATCGGCGACGCTGCCACATAATCTTGATCAGTTAAAACATTTGTGTTTAATGGGTAAATTCCCGTGGCTCGAAATCCAGATTCTGTTTTACTTATATTCGCAACTTGTACGTATGTTTTATTGAAAAGACCTGCAATATCGTATGAAGTTATTTTAGATATTAAATGTGTCTTCATGTGCCGGTTGCATTCATGCCTATAAGCAGCTTTCAGCAGCCCATAAAAGGACACATCCAGCGGCTGTGTTCTGTGAGAACTGTGTCGTAGAATAAAAAACATTGTGATGTGGTTTTCTTTGCAAAAATTAAAAGCTTGAAGGGAAATGTGACTGCTGTGATTGTCCAGAATTAACAACACAGGTGATTCTTGGGTAGGCTTAGCAAATGCTGCGAAATGTTTGAGCCAAGTGACAAATAAGTCTTCATTTATCTAGCTATTTTTAGAGTTGGTGTATAACGCACCAGATGGTCCATCTTTTTCTAATATAGGCGTCATTCTCTGTCTGGCAAAAATAAACATGGGTGGTATGAAGATTCCGGCTGCACTCATCGTACACATAACTGTTATGTTGCTTCCTCGTTCGCCGCTTGTAACAGATCCGACTTTTCTTTGTCCTTTTTCGGCGAGCACTTTTACTGGGTCTGTCACCGTGGTGATACCAGTTTCGTCAGCATTGTAAATGTTGATGGGAATAAACTTACTTATAACTTAAAAATATGTTACTTCTTCTTTGTTGAAAGCAAAAATTCTATTTAAGCTTGTCGTTTCAGCTTTGCGTATAGAAACTGAAGGATTGCATCTCTTAAAGCCATGTACCCAATCCAATTCAACTGTTTTGCTGTTTTGATCAAAATTGATTTTGATATTGTTGGGCTTAGCGTATTTATAAACAAGTTTACTCAAATCTGTGACATTAAGTCCATAGTATAGCGAACCCAGCATCTTAACTTGTTCAGCAGTTTCAGTTTCTTGCTGTTGGGTGAAAATGGGCTTGCGACCTAGTCTTGGGTTTCTCATCTTTTTATTTTTTAGTCGATCTCTCAAAGTAGTAAATGGTATGTTATATTGTTTTGCGGCTTTTCTTTTGAACAAACCTCCTTCAATCGCAGTTTTAGCAGATTGAAGGTCTTCTTCAGTCCAAGTCGCTTTAGCGGTGGTCTTTTGACGATTTCTTGGCATATACTACAACAACAAAAAATAAGTCACTAAGGGGTAATGGCGCTCAGATGAGCGCGAGTTTTGTAATTAATTTTATATTAATAAAAAATCATACACAGTTGTTGAAAATTGATTGCGTTATCACAAAATAGAATAGTTTTATTGTCTGGAAAGTAATAAGCATTAAAGTTTTGGACTTACCGACAAAAACACCTACCCAAAAATTAGATTAGCGCGGTCGCAAACGAAGAAACGCGAGCAATTGTCCGTTAACATCGCTGTCTATTAGATGCCCCCTCCCCTCGCGCTTCACGCCACCCGGCGTGTTGCTACGTTCCATTTTGACAGAGTTACACATTTGAAATTGGTCCCCACTCTTGTTAGATAAAAGAAACTAAGCGAACAATATTAGTCGAATGTAATCTTTACTATTCTGCATTGTTTGAGGCTACCGTATCTTACAAAATTTCGATACATTTCATATTATAATATACTTATATACCCTAGTATGTATTACTATCACCGGCTATATTTGGGCGTGGTGTGGTCTAAGGTCTTATATGAGTCTTCCGTTTTAATCGAGGTTCTAAAGGAAAGGACCACTTTTCCACTGTTCAAATACTTTTAAATTCCTTTGAATATTGCCAAAAGATATTTATTAAATATTTTAAAACTATAGATATTAAGAAAACAACAGACATGGGGGATTTCCGTTAAAGTTATTTTATCTATAGATACAATAGCAAATTACGAGTATCTACCTACTATACTAAACGTGGTAGAGCCATGCTGCAGCTATATTAGTAGTATAGTTGTAGCACGAATGAGTCGGCTCGACCGGGGAAGGACCACGCTCTCACAGAATACCAGCGTAAAATAGCAGCTTAACAGCAGTGTTTCGTATGGTGAGTGTAGAGATCCGGAGACCCTTTTTACTGGAAAAAAGACATTCCATCTTAGTCCTCATGGGTGACAACGCATCTGCATTTTGATTCGCAAATGAGGATAGATGTAGAATTCTATGGGCCACAGCAACCACTTAACATCAGGTGGACTGTGTGCTCGTTTGTCACCCTATACTATAAAAAAAATTTAAAACAAGCGACGCATATGGTGTGTTTCCCGATTTAATGAAACATAGTAAAGTCATATTGTTATTTAAATCTGGTGTACATAAAACCTGCCAATTTTAGACCAAGTTTTGTACTACCAACATTTTGTAAAAATTTTGAAATAATAATTTTAGATCGGATGTTAAGTTTTTTTTAATATTAATAAATTGTATTACTATTATATGTAAATGTTATGCTTAATGCTTACACTTTATGCAGTATGTACTCTACCATGTAATATTAACTTTAAAAAAATACAAAAAAGACGGTGTTTCTTTCTCCGTTTGCAGTCGTGAAACCTCATTTTGAAACGGAAAAGATTTACTAGGTATAAAAAAGTTACTTTTGACGAATAAAATTTTATTTTCTTACGTTGATGAAAAATTAATTTCATTTAATTACAGGTGGCAGCCCCGAGGTGTTGAACTGGGTGTACCTGCGCGGAGTATCGAATCCGTCTTGTGCGACGGTCTTTGGCTCTATCATCACCAGTGCAACAATTTGCGCTCAATTCTATAACGTCACTTCACAGTCCATTTGCCAGGTTAGTCTAGCTTGTTACATATTTATTTATCTATTTATACGTGGTAGAGCCATGCTGCAGCTATAATAGTAATATAGTTGTAGCACGAATGGGTCGGCTCGACCGGGGAAGGACCACGTTCTCACAGAACACCAACGTAAAATAGCAGCTTAACACTGCTGTGTTTCGTATGGTGAGTGTAGAGAACCGGAGACCCTTTTTACTGGAAAAGAGGCACTCCATCTTAGTCCTCACGGGTGACGACGCATCTGCATTTTTTTCGCAAACGAGGATAGATGTAGATGTCTATGGACCACAGCAACCACTTACCATCAGGTGGACTGTGTGCTCGTTTGTCACCCTAATCCTATAAAAAAAATCTACGGGTTAGTCATATAAATTTATAAGAAAATATGTAAGAACAACTTAACGCAAAATTGCTCTTTACCCTTCTTATTAGTTAGATACCTTAACTTTACTATTCATATACCTTAATTTTAAAACGTAATTATTGTTTTCTAACGCCGATCGAAGGTATTTTAAATAAGTATTTATTAAATGTGTTTTATTAAAGTTAGTAAAAAATACTTTGCCAATATCCGTTTGATGAAATAAAATGATGTGTCTTACTTAGTTTGAAGAGCACCGCCCCCTCTCCCCTATTCCCGTCACCACTAATCCCAGCACACAACACAACAGCACTAGGAAAAACACACCACCGAGGATACTATGACACCTGTTTCGCCTCTACACGAGACATCCTCAGGTGAAGTAGACTCTGCGGTGACTAATTAGTGAGTGGTGAGCCAAAACAGCTGCCAATTAGTAGTTAGTAGTACAAGTAGTAGCCATGCTCTATGCTTGTAATTAAGAGTTATTAATTTAACAGCAAGCGGCTGCGTTCGTCAGTTAGTGAATGGTATGTAAAACATGCGACCAATCACAGCACGCAAATTGCATGACGCGGTCGCTCGCTACTTAAGTGGGAAGCGGTTGTGTCAGGGAGTTGTATAAATAGCAGCTGTTTTGGCTACCCGCTCACTAATCGATCAGCCACCACAGAGTCTACTTCACCTGAGGATGCCTCGTGTAAAGGCGAAATACGTATCGTATTATCGCCGGTGGTGTATCTTTCCTAGTTTAGTGGTGACGGAGATAGTGCACGAAATTGAGGATGGACAGGAAGTGCTCTTCAAAATATGTAAGACATCATTTTATTTCATTAAGCGGTTATAGACAAAGTAATTTTTACGAACTTTCAAGATAATGGATTTCCGCAAAGTAACGCCCGATTCTATTAATTAAATGTGTTTTAGTTTGAATTTTTTCAACGCATTCGAAGTTAGTTCGGAAAGGGAAACGGAATATTACTTTGTTGTAGCACAGAATAAATAATAGTTTAGTTGGACAGCGGGGTAAGCCAAGATGACATTCTCTATAGAAAACTATTAAAAATGAATAGAATTAATGACATTTTACAGTTTTTTTATAGGTAGCATAGTTTTATAGTTTTCTATAGCGTTAACGATCGTAGAATGGTATCTTGGCTAACCATTTTTTTATTGTGGGGAAACACTCATGGATATCCCATAGCCCACTACGGAGGCGACGGAAAGATCATGCCGGACTCTTACCGGTGGACCCAAGGTGGTCATCATCAGCATATACATGGGGTCCCGGCGTTCCGAATAGACATCTGTTCCGCAAAAGAAGACACACAGTTTTGTATCGGGGAAAAACGTTTCTTTGTTGGACGCCGCCGGTGATGCGTATAAACAAAGTATAGACTAATAAATGAATAAAATACTGCAATAAAAGTAAAGTAATAATGCCGAAGCATCATACATCTGTCTTTGTCTTAACAGGGTGACAGCGGTGGTCCTTTAGTCACCTGGAACGAAGATGGCGATCCCATCTTGGTTGGAGTAAGCTCTTTTGTGGCTGGCGGCCAGTGGGGCTGCCATTCTGGATTACCTGGCGGTAACTAAAAATATTCTATTTTAATATTTATTATATAGCATCAACTCTAGTCGGTCAGCTCTAAAGGGGAAGGATCACGCTCTCACAGGAGATCAGCGTAAAATGCAGTTTATCTTTTTCATTTTTCATAGTCCACACACGCAAGACATAATGGTAGATTGCTCGAGTGGCAGCCTCGTATCGGTAAGCGAAGTGTAGGGCGGCTAGATGTAGTGACGACCTGGTAAGACATGAAGTCGATGGATACAGGTGGCTCAAGACCGTGCTTTGTGGCATTCCTTGGGGGAGACTTATGTTCAGCAGTGGACTTGTGAAGGGATGTTATGATGATTTCATATTTATATGATTTTTTATAGTATAGGATAGGGTGACAAACGAGCACACAGTCCACCTGATGGTAAGTGGTTGCTGTGGCCCATAGACATATACATTTATCCTCGTTTGCGTATCAAAATGCAGATGCGTTGCTACCCGTGAGGACTAAGATGGAATGCCTCGTTTCCAGTAAAAAGAGTCTCTGGTTCTCTACACTCACCATACGAAACACAGCAGTGTTAAGCTGCTATTTGACGCTGGTATTCTGTGAGAGCGTGGTCCTTCCTCGGTCGAGCCGACCCATTCGTGCTACAACTATACTACTAATATAGCTGCAGCATGGCTCTACCACGTATGAAATGATAGAACGCAGAAAGTTATTATCAATAGTGAAACCTCTTGCGGGTCTCCCGAATGTTATATGGGCGTTCCTCAGGGTTCAATTCTCGGCCCATTACTGTTTTTAGTCTATACTAATGACTTGCCTTATCTTGTAGGTGATAACCATGACATAGTATTATTTGATGACACTTAATTGATTTTTAAACTTAAATGGCAATCGTTTATATTTGACGAAATGAATAACGCTACTTATATGAAAATTAGTACTTACATTGGTTAACGTTAACAAGTCGATACCACTGTTTTTATGGTATTACTCTTGACGCAAAAGTTGAGTGGGACTCTCATATATTAGAAAGCAGACTAAGCTCTATAGCTTATGGTGTAAAAAAAAATATGCGTGAGTGTCTTAGAACACTCGGTTGGAACGAAGTTCCTTTCGTAGTATATTATTATTGATAAACGTATTATATTATTGATTAACAAATACAAATAAATGAATTACTAGCGTCTATTAAAATGAAGCGTCATTTAAAATATTGCTTTCATGACAAATAAGAAAAAGTGCGAGGGAGATTGTTCCATCTCTCTCGCACTAGAGAAAGGGGGTCGTGACTGAAAAATCTTACACTTTTTCTCGTCTAGTCTCCATCCGTCAGATTCGTACCATGCGATAAGGAACTTCGTTCCAAAAAGACGTCTCAGTAGTATTGAGTCAGCTAGATTAGTTTATATCAGTTATTTCCATATCATTGACTTATGGAATTTTACCATGGGGAAATGCGACTGACCTGGAAACTATTTTTTTAGCACGTAACAGAGCCATGACACGGCTATATTGCAGTTGTAGCATAAATAGAATAAAATAGAGTAGAATAATTTTTATTCAATTTAGATTACATGTAATTCTTATTGAAAGTCATCTTTTACTTTATCACTGGTTCGGAAAAAAACCTCTGTCCTGGGAAGAACCAGCGAGAAACCCAACAATACTCTTTTTTTAAAGTAATTTATACAATATGAAGGGTTGTACAAACTATTTTCAAAATTTATTTTAGAAACAGCTTGGAAGCGACCACCTCATTTCCAAGGGTTATTATCAACCATGTATTCATTTATATTATACTAATACTTTATATACAGTTTTTGTTTAGTAAAATATTGAAACTTGGTTATAGAGAGACCGTGTATATTTTCTGGGACTTTTTTTTATACAAGTACATTGCGAATGGGTCGCCTCGGTCGGGGAAGGATCACGCTCTCACAGAAAACCAGCGTAAAATAGGAGATCAATGATGCTGTGTTTCGTATGGTGAGTGTAGAGACCCGGAGACCCTTTTTACTGGAAATGGAGCATTCCTTTATATTCCTCGAAGCTGACAACGTATCTACATTTTAATTCTTTACCGAGGATAGTTGTAGATTTATATGGGCCACAGCATCCATTTGCCATCAGGACTGTGTACTCGTTTGTCACACTTTATCTATAAATAATTTAAAATTAAAAATTTTATACAACAGTCTTCAATATAAATTAATAACAATAACCCAAAAACAATATAAATTGCCGTGTAGTGGCGGTTAAGAATATCCACTACCCCATGTCTTCCCGTGGGTGTCGTAAAAGACGACAAAGGGAAACAGGCAGGAGATGGGCAGCAGCATCTTCCTGATAACAACAAAATTACAATAAAAAACTGCGGTTGCCAACACGCTTGCCAAGCGTGGCAACTATGGCAAAACCCCCCCGATAATGAGAATAACAAAGAGATGGCCCCCAGTCCCCGGCGGCCCCGCTATTCCTGGCTACGGTGGCGACCATGGTAACTGCGGGGCAGGGGGTGATAAGAATCTCCGGTGGAGGTTCGGTTGCCACCTATGACGACTCGACCTGGCAACTTATAATGCACGCACACTGAGGACTGACGAGAAGATCCTGGAGCTGGAAGAAGAGATAGACAAGTTGCGCTGGAATATCATAAGATTATCCGAGGTCCGAAGAGAGGGGGAGGACACGGTAATCCTCGAATCCGGCAACTTGTTCTATCACCGGGAGGGCGACCATCTGTCACAAGGAGGTGTCGGATTTATCGTCCACAAGTCTCTCGTTAACAACGTTGTAAAGATTGGGAGCGTGTCGACGAGGATTGCGTACCTTATACTCAGAATCACCAAACGGTATTCGCTGAAGGTCATACAGGTTTACGCACCAACCTCGGCACACACCGATGAGGAGGTGGAGGAAAAGTATGAGGATATCTCCAGAGCCATGCATTCCTCCAAAACCCACTATACGGTGTTAATGGGAGACTTTAACGCAAAATTAGGCACAAGAGAGAACGGTCAGCTGAAAGTAGGGAATTTCGGAATAGGGCAACGGAACCCAAGGGGCCAGCAGCTGGCCGACTTCATGGAGAAAGAGGGACTCTTTATGATGAACTCTTTCTTCCAGAAGCTGCCCCACAGGAAGTGGACCTGGTCGAGCCCCGACGGTTCGACAAAAAATGAGATTGACTTCATTATGACGACCAGACGACAACTGTTCAGTGATGTCTCAGTGATCGCGAGGGTGAAAACCGGCAGCGATCACCGAATGGTTAGAGGCACACTGAACCTAAACGTTAAGTTGGAGAGGTCTCGTCTAATGAAGTCAACGCTCCGTCCCCCTCGTGCTCTAATCCAAAGTACCGAAACCTTTCAGCTCGAGCTACGAAACCGTTTTCAGTGCCTAGAGGATTGCAATGCAGCGGACGATATAAATGGCAAGCTTGTGGAAACTGTCCATGCGGTCGGAGCTAAGTTTTGCAAGACCCGCCGCAGAAGAACACAAAAACTCTCCGATCACACTCTTAATCTCATGGCTGTTAGACGGGATATGAAGCTGCAGTCTTCAGTAGATTTGACAGCGTACAGGCAACTGAACAGACAGATCTCCAAATGCATGCGGCGGGACTTTCGCAACTTTAATACTGCTCGTATTGAAGAAGTGATCGAGCGGAACCAAGGCTCCAAAGTCTTTGCAAGAGATCTGTCTGCCAGAAAGAGCCAACTGTCGAAGCTGAAGACCGAGCGTGACAGCGTCACTTCCGGGACACCTGAGATTTTGAGTGAGATTGAGAGGTTCTATGGGTAGCTGTACACATCATCGTTTGAGCCACACGCATGTGTGAGTAACGATCCAAGGGGGAGTTTTATCCGACATCATTCCGATGATATCCCGGATGTCAGTCTGAGCGAGATTAGAATGGCTCTCCAGGACCTTAAAAACAGCAAGGCCCCAGGCGAGGATGGAATTACAGCAGAGCTTCTGAAAGCGGGTGGAAAACCGGTACTTGAAGTCCTTCAGAAGCTCTTTAATTCCGTCCTCCGTGGTGGCATTACACCAGAGGCGTGGAGCAGAAGTGCGGTGGTCTTGTTCTTCAAGAAAGGCGACAACGCTCTCTTGAAGAACTACACACCGATTTCCCTTCTGAGCCGCGTCTACGTGCTGTTTTCGAGAGTCATTACGAATCGTCTCGCGCGCAGACTTGACGACTTTCAGCCTCCCGAACAAGCCGGTTTCCGAAAAGGCTTTAGCACCATAGATAACATACATACCCTTCGGCAAATCGTACAGAAGTCCGAGGAGTACAATTTACTTACTTATATTTACTTATCTTCACGCACAATCCCTGACGGGGTAGCCAGAGAGAACAGATCGCCAAGTGTCACGATCCTTACATACCTCTTTCGCTTCTTTCAGATTCATTATCTTCTTCATGCATGCACGTCTAAGTATCCGAGTACTTTTGACCCTACCCTCTTCAAGTAATTTGCTCACATGGTCTTCGAAAGTTAGTCTCGGTCTACCTCGACACCTTTTAATATTAACTTTCGCGCTATATATTTTCTTCACCATTCGGTCTTCACTCATTCGCTCAACGTGCCCAAACCACCGAAGCACGCCCTTATCAATTTTTGTGATAAGGTCATCTTTCAAACCTGCCATATTGCGAATCTCTTCGTTTCGCTTTCGGTCGGCCATGGTAACGCCGCACATTTTACGAAGAGATCGCATCTCCACTGCATTCAACTTACTTTTATGCTTCTTCTGGCATACCCAGGTTTCGCTGCCATATAACAAAGTCGGTACCAACACTGCGTTATGTATTGCAAGGCGTGCACTCTTCGCTACGCCTTGCCTTTTGACTAACGCAGCCAGGGCACCATTGACTTTGTTCCCGGCAGCGACACGCCTGTCCACATCTAAATCACATCTTCCATCCCGGCTAGAAGCACTCCCCAAGTATACAATTTCATTTACCTGTTCTAGACATTCCTGATTTACCCATATTTCACACTTCGTTCTCTCTTCGCCCCTTTCAAATACCAGAACCTTAGTTTTATTAGCATTCAAACGGAGACCTTTAATTTCATGTTCCTCTTTCATACACGTGACTAATGCCTGCAGTTCTGCCTCTGATGGTGCAATAAGCACTGCATCATCAGCATACAGCAGACAATTTACTTTAATGTCACCCAATTTCACACCCAAACAACTATCTTTCAGCTTCTGTAAACAGCTGTCGAGATACAGTATGAACAGCCAGGAAGACATGACACAACCCTGCTTTACGCCCGTTTGGACGTTAAACATGGGTGACAGGTCATGCCCTACCCGCACACAGGCTTTACAGTCACAGTAAAGAGACTGCACAGCCCTTAGCAATTGACCATCCACACCATACCCAGGCAACAGTTCCTACATTTTCTTCCTTACAACCTTATCAAATGCTTTCTCAAGATCCACAAAAGCACAGAAAATCTTCTGGTTAGCAGCCAGAAGCTTCTCCGTGATCATGCGGAGAGAAAACATTTGACCCGTGCATCCTCTTCCAGGTCTAAATCCGCATTGTGCCTCCCATAGAAATCTTTCCGATTTCTCTTGCATCCTACGTGTCAAAACCTTCGAGTAAACTTTACTTGCTAAACTGGTCAAGCTGATCGCCCGATAGCACCCGCAGTCAAAATGTGAACCTTTACCTTTATATAAAGGCACAATGACTGCGGATCGCCAATCATCCGGGACATCCCCCGTCCGCTAGCACAAATTGCACAGCAGACGAAAGCTGTCCCAGACGCGAGGCCCACCATACTTGACCATTTCAGCAGTAACTCTGTCTAGTCCCGCAGTCTTACCACATTTCAAACTTCAAATCGCACGTTCAATCTCTTTCACACTGATGACCTCAGTGTCATCGAGGTCCGGGTCTGGCGTACCAGTCACGGCGTCATCCCCGGATCCCTCACTAAGATCATCACACGCATACATTTCTCTATAAAATTCGCTCCATCGCTGCATGACGTCCGATTTTTCTGAGAGGACGTCATTAGTTCTCGAAAGCACTTTGTTCATTCTTAAGGCCGTCGCACCACTTCGGGCCCTTCCAACCTCTTTCCAGAAGAGTTTGGAGTTCTCCTTAAAGTTGTGCGACAACCGTTCGTCCGCTTCCATTCTACACCTTTCACGCACTTCCTCAATCAGTGCTTTCGTGTGAACTTTCTGCAGCCTATATCTTTCTTTCATCTTCTCTCTCATATCCTTATCATTACTGGAGGCCAAGTAGTCTAACCATGCTTTCTTCTTCTTCTTTACAGCTTCTTTCACTTCATCATTCCACCATGCATCTCTTCTTTTACTACTGCCTCTTTTTGTTGTTCCACACACTTCTTCCGCTGCACTTACCATTCCATCCCTAAGGTTCTGCCATGTTCTTTCTACACATTCTTTTCTGCCATCGATGGTGTCAAGCTTTTCGGCTACCCTCGCATGATATTTGTCCCTAGTATCCGCTTCCTGAAGCTTCCAGCTTCGGATGCGACAGACCGACTGTGGTTCTGTTACTGCCGTCCGGTAGCGCCAACCCGCGAACAGACCCCTAAATCTGGTAATCACTAGATAGTGATCCGTTTCCAGGTCAGCACCCCTGAACACTCGCGTATCCATCACCTGTTTTCGCAGTCGGTCATCCACCAGGAACAAATCGATCATACTTCTCTCATTCTTTCGTTCTCTAGTATACATATGGATTTTCTTGTGATTAAACATAGTGTTTGTCACAAGAAGACCCTTTTCCTTGCACACCGCCAGTATAAGCTTGCCAGCATCATTAACCCTTTTATCGCCAAACTTTCCAAGTACCGACTCGTACCCTGGTCGAGCGGTACCAACCCATCCATTCAAATCACCACATACAACAATTCTTTCGTTTCCCCTTGCCAAATCTAGAACTTCTCTTACATTCTCCCAAAACTCCTCCAGCTCAGCCCTGGACGACGAAGCTACCGGCGCATAAACAGCCAAAAGGAATAACTTCGTCAGTCCCAATTTAAAGCGAACCCAGAGAAGTCTTGAGTTCACAACCTTATATTCAGTCATAACATCGACCAACCGAGAAGACAGCAGCACCCCCACTCCCTGGCAGGCGTTCTCGCTCTCCGGGACTCCGGACCATAGAGCTAACGCCCCGCCAGGGAGCTCTTCAGTACCACTGCCCTTCCGCTTGGTCTCCGACATACACACGACATCTAATTCTCTTTCTTTCATTATTTCGATCAACTCATTCGTCTTATCTCTCATGCCTCCTCTAACATTCCACGTGCCAACTCTGCACTCTGTCCTCCACCTTCCGCCGTGTCGGGCTGTGCGTGACGGGTGGCGGTCCCCATCGCCGCTTTGCGCGCTGCATTTGACACCAACGGGGACGAGCTGGTGTGCGTCGCCTTGGGGGGACGCCCTAACCCTCGTTGGCATGGGTGCGCAGCTAGTAGAATTGCAGCCCTGAAAAGGGCTGGCAGGGGTCGCGACGAGCACGCTTCTACAATGACCCCCAATACAATTTGCCACTATTTTTGGCGTATGTGGACTATGAGAAAGCCTTTGATTCCGTCGAAATTTGGGCGGAGCTGCAGTCCCTTCAGCGGGGCCAAGTTGACTGTCGGTATATCGAAGTGATGAAGTGCTTGTGCAGTAGGGCTACGATGGGTATCCGAGTACAGAACCAGAGTACGAAACCTATCCAATTGCAGAGAGGTGTAAGACAGGGTGACGTCATACCCCCGAAACTCTTCACCGCTGCATTGGAAGACGTTTTCAAGCTTCTGGACTGGAAAGGATACGGTATCAACATCAATGACGAGTACATCACTCACCTTCGATTTACCGACGATATAGTCCCTATGGCAGAATCGCTGGAGGACCTAAGCACTATGCTCAATGACCTCAATAGTGTCTCCCAACGGATAGGTCTTAAGATGAACATGGAAAAAACAAAGATCATGTTTAATATCCATGTCACACCTATGCCGGTAGTTGTTGGGAGCACTAAGCTCGAAGTTGTTGACGAGTATGTTTACCTGGGACAAATAGTCCGACTAGGTAAGTCCAACTTCGACCGAGAGGTCAATCGACGGATTCAACTCGGTTGGGCAGCGTTCGGGAAATTACGGCACATCTTCTCGTCAGGTATACCTCAAAACTTGAAAACTAGACTGTACAACCAGTGCGTGTTGCCAGTGATGACATATGGAACTGAGACGTGGTCCTTCACTGCTGGCCGAATAAGGAAGCTCAAGATCACTCAGCGAGCTATGGAGAGAGCTATGGTCGGAGTTTCTCTGCGTGATAAACTTATAAATGAAGATGTGACCGACATAGCCCAACGGATTAGTAAGCTGAAGTGGCAATGGGCCGGCCATATAGCTCGAAGAACCGACAACCGATGGGGAAGAAAGGTTCGCGAGTGGCAGCCCCGTACCGGCAGGCGAAGTGTAGGGCGTCCCCCCACTAGATGGAGTGACGACCTGGTAAGATATGCAGGAATTCGACGGATGCAGGTGACTCAGGACCGTGCTTTGTGGCATTCCTTGGGGGAGGCCTATGTTCAGCAGTGGACTTGTGAAGGGCTGTAATGATGATGATGATGATGAACTCAAAAACTATTGATCAGACCTTGATCATATTTATATGTAATTTAAATATAATTTATATGTATAAGCACCAGCTTCCAAATAAAAAAAGATCATCGAAATCGGTTTACACAGTAAAAAGTTATGAGAAAACACACATAAAAAAACATATAGTCGAATTGAGTACAAATAAGAGCTACTAACTTTGCCTCTCAGTATATTAGCGAAAATTTAATGCATGTTCCCAATAGGGTAGCCACCTTATATTTTGAACAAATATAGCATTTTTCCCAAACAAGATGCAAAAATATAGTAATTTTGGGAAATTCAGGAATAAAAGTACACATTTATTTTTAATCTTTAGGTATATTTCTATAGGTATATATATATATATATATATATATATTTGTTAACTACAAATAACAAATAAATATATATATATATATATATTTATTTGTAGTATATTTGTTATTGTTCTTCGCTTTGGCCATCGATGATCTATATGATGATATATAATAATTATATCAATCAGAACAATTCCATTCCATTTTACATTCATGACGTATTTTTTTCCCGTAAAACTTACTTGTTCCAGACTTCCAGTCACAGTTAATATAAAAAAGCACGACAGTTGAATTAAGGCTAAAAATATAGTATTTTTCGTACTATATTATTTTTCTAAAATATATGGTACAATTGACTGAAATATAGTACGATACTATGTATTATAGTACGGGTGCCAACCCTAGTTCCCAAAAACAAAAGTAAATTTAATAAAAAGTGTTATAAATTGTGTAAACAATAGCAACAAACATGCTAATGATACCAGTTACTCGATTCCACAGATTTAGAAATTCATACATGCGAAATCAAATATCCTGCAAAATGTACAAGGTCTCTCTATAACCAAGTTTAATTTAAACAGAAACTGTATAAACTGACTTTCAATAAGTTTTATGTACTATAATCTACATTGAATAAAAATGATTCTATTCCATTATTCTATTCTATAAAAAGGGTTAATGTAGACATGTAAATGAATACATGTTCCGTAATAATCCCTGGGAATGAGGTCGCTTTCAATCTGTTTCTTAAATAATTTTTGTATTTAATTTGTACAACCTGTGTACTTAATTTGTAAAAGTTGCGCTGTGTTTTTTTTTTTGCTGGTCTTCGTGCGGCAGAGATTTTTTAAACCAGTTCATTCTTTTGCTGTGAAATTTACAGCGTGCTTCACCTCTGAGCTACCACTGCTCTAATCGGAACAAGCGAAGATAATATTGTTATTATGTATTTAATTTTTTTATACACGAATTATGAACCAAAATCAAATGTGTATCTAACACTAATGAATTCACAGGTTTCATCCGTCCTGGGCCGTTCCATAATTGGTTTTATGAAGTCACCGGAATAAATTTTGATGGACTAGAGGAGGAGGAGGAAGACGTAACCAGTACGTCAACAACATCGACAACCACGACTAGTGTGCCACCAACCACGACCACCTCATCAACTGCGGCACCAACTACGACAACCTCAACAACTGCGGCAACAAACACGACTACCTCAACAACTGCGGCACCAACTACGACAACCTCAACAACTGCAGCACCAACTACGACCACCTCAACAACTGCTGCACCAACTACGACCACCTCAACAACTGTGGCACCAAACACGACCACCTCAACAACTGCGGCGCCAACTACGACTACTTCAACAACTGCGGCACCCAATACGCCCACCTCAACAACTGCGGCACCCAACACGACCACCTCAACAACTGCGGCACCAACTACGTCCACCTCAACAACTGCGGCACCAACCACGACCACCTCAACTAGTGTCCCAACAACGGAACAACCAGGGAGCGAAGAATCAGATAAAGAAGACGAATCTGATTCCTCTTCTTCAGAGGAAGACCCGGAGCTTTCTGAGCTGATGAAGAGATTAGAGGTTAAGGTTAAAGTTAAGGTCAAACTTAGCAAGAATGAGAAGAAACATGAACATGAACACAAGGTCGATTTTTAGTAAATATTGGCATTAGTATTATATTTTTCAGTAATAAATATGTTTTTGAATAAAATATATAAATTGATTTTGTTTAAATTATAATATTAATTTCTAATTCCATAAGTTGCTGTTGGAATCATTAAAAACTATAAGAAGTTTCTACATGCATGCAGGCTAGCATTATATACGACGACCGAATTCTTTCTGATCGGCTCGATTCACTGGCGCTGCGATGGGATGTTGCATCCCTTTACATTTTCTATCGCATCTACCACGGGGAGTGCTCTGAGGAATTGTTCAGATTAATTCCAGGCGCCAAATTTCACGAACGCACATCGCGTCAAAATTCACGATACCATCCTCACCATCTGGATCAGGGGCGTAGCTAACGCCGTATCAGCCGTATCAATGATACGGGGCCCCCGGGCTACAGAGGCCCCGAACGTATGTAAGCAAAAATTCTAAGGACTTCTATGGGACAGGATGTTGGTTTGAATTGTTTGGCTAGCTTAGTTCCTAGGAGTATTAATTGCTAGTAATAACTTATAATCAATATATGATTATTTTAATTCAATGTGAGAGTTTTTGTTCCTTTTGTAAAAAATCTTTACCTTTCATTTGGGCCCCCCGACAAATTTTGATACAGGGCCCCTCTAAGGCACGCTACTTCACTGATCTGGATGCTTGGCGGTCCACGACTGTGCGTTTTACTAGGAGTTATCTTCCTCGTACAACTTCTCTGTGGAATTGTTTACCACCGGTGATTTTTCCGGACCGATACGACTTAGGGACATTCGAGGTAAGAGCTTACTCGTTTCTAAAAGGCCGGCAACCAACCTGCAATTCCATTACCATCAGGTGAGCCGCATGCATTTTTGCCCCCTTTTCTATATAAAAGACAAGCGTTTATGTCATGTAAATTGTGTAATGTAATAAATTTATGAGTTTAATTAAATTTATAGTTCATTTTCTTCTTTTATAGAGCATATAAATAAAATATAGTTTTTTTTAAATTACTATTTTTTTTATTTATTTATTTTTTTTAGTTATCGCTGGACATGTTTCTAAGTGTGTTCACTTCATTTATTGCGTATTAGTTGGTTTTTTGGGCTTTTGATCGCCATCTTAAACCCGCCATCGTAGATCCGCCATCTTCAATTTTTTTTATCGCCAGCAGCCAGCAGTTTACCCTTGTCGGTCACTTCAACATTGTTTCGAGCACCAACAAACTACCCCTAACCTTTGCTGAGTTATAACTCTTTCTCTTTTTTGGTATAGATGCCATTTTGTTTTCCGCCATTTCGATTTTTTTTTCACTACCGCCATATTAATTAACTTATTTATTTCGGGATTTTACCACAACAGAAAACAAAAGCGATACGATTAAGATTTTGAGTGACAATAAGTTTCAAATTTTTACATGTCTTGAAATTATGCAATTACTAAATCTGCTATAATATTGTATTTTACCACCATACTGAATAAAAATACTGAAAAAAAATATTTCTCTTCCCCTTTATATTGTCATGATGAATTTTGAGCAAGTCAAAATTCTTTGCCGATCACGGGTCTTGTGATTAGAATATAGACTATTTTAATTCAATCCTCAAAAGCATTTTTTTTATATTTTGTGACAAACGAGCACACAGTCCACCTGGTGGTAAGTGGTTGCTGTGGCTCATAGACATCTACATCTATCCTCGATTACGAATCAATATGCAGATGCGTTGTCCCCGCGTGAGGACTAAGATTGAATGCCTCTTTTCCAGTAAAATGAGTCTCCAGTTCTCTACACGCACCATACGAAACACAGCAGTGTTAAGCAGTTATTTTACGCTGGTATTCTGTGAGAGCGTGGTCCTTCCCCCGTCGAGCCTACCCATTCGTGCTACAACTACACTAGTAATATAACTGCAGCACGGCTCCTTAATTTCGTAAATTGAACTCATATACACATTACGAAGGTGCAATATTGGTAATGATTAACCGTAGAGTGGCGGTGTAAGAATATCCACTACACCATTATGTCCCGTGGGTTCCGTAAGGGGCGGCAGAAGGAAACAAGCTATGGGGAGCAGCATTTTTCCGATAACAGCAAAGTCATAATAAAAAGAAACTGCGGTTGCCAACCTGCTCACCAAGCGTGGCTACTCTGGCAACATACATCCCAATGTACAAGAAACGGCCCCCACTTCCCGCCATCCTAGATATACTATGGTGACCATGGTAACGGCGGGGCAGGGAGTGCTAAGAATCTCCGATGGAGGTTCGGTTGCGACCTTAATTCTTATTGAAGACTTTAAACAAAGAAGGGCTATAAGAGCGTTGTCACGTCTACGGGGAATGCCTAACAGGCTGTAATTATACTAGCTCTCTTTACCCTTGAAACCGGAACACAGTAGTGCCAGCACTGCTATTTGGCGGCAGAAATAGGTAAGGTAGGTAGGAAGATGGTGCTGGTTCTGGGTACAGATGGACTCCAAGGCAGAACAGGAGTCCTAAAACAGTTCTAGATAAAAATTAAGAAAAAATAATGTTTAATTAGGTAGGTTTATAATTTATTACGAGTTAACTAATTGAGGATTGAGTAGATATCTAAATGAATAATTATGATAATTAGAATGTAATATAGAGAATTGTCTGAATAACTATGAGTAGTAAATTAATAGTAAAAAAATATTTTTAAAAACAAGCTTTTATTTACATGCTCTATAAAAGAAGAAAACAAACTTAAAATTAATTTCTAACCAATCAATTTATTACATTACTCAATTTATATGATATAAAAGCTTCTCGCGAGATTTACCCATTTTATAAAAAACATTATTTTTTTCTTAGAATTACCTATTTGTGTTAATATCAAGTTACTTATTGTATTCTTGTTTATGTACACAAGTAAATCTCACAACAACTAGCGCATCCAGCGCAGAGCGGTACGAATCGTCGACGACCGAATTCTTTCTGATCGGCTCGATTCACTGGCGCTGTGTAGGGTTGTTGCATCCCTTTACATTTTATATGACATCTACCACGGGGAGTGCTCTGGAGAATTGTTCAGATTAATTCCAGTCGCCAAATATCACGAACGCACATCGGGTCAAAATTCACGATATCGTCCTCACCACCTATATGCTTGGCGGTCCACCACTGTGCGTTTTACTAGGAGTTATCTTCCTCGTACAACTTCTCTGTGGAATTGTTTACCACCGACGATTTTTCCGGACCGATACGACTTAGGGACCTTCAAGATAAGAGCTCACTCCTTTCTAAAAGACCGGCAACGAACCTGCTATTCCTCTGGTGTTGCGCTTGTTCATGGGCGGCGGTAGTCACTTACCATCAGGTGAGCCGCATGCACGTTTGCCCCCTTTTGTATAAAAAAAAATAAGTAGACCTTTCGTAGCAACGAGACGTCATCCATGTTTAAAAAAATCTACGTTGAGTGAATATACAGACGAATATAAACGCGTCGCCTCGCACTCGTCAAGGAGTAACTGCGAGTTGTTCGGCCGATAATCTAACGTTCCATTTGCGTTAATACTTCTTATTAGTTTGTGGTTCCAATATACTATACTCTTTGGTTTTATCTATACTATAGGACAAATAGAGGTTTTGGCGGGAACTTAACCGACGGCGGATTGCTGCTCCTGTATTATTGTTTAAATAATGGTTTGAAGTGGAATTTCATATGTAAAAGTGGTGCGATTTTGTGTACTAAGTGTCTGTCCACGTGAACTATTAGTGGAAACGTTGAAACAAGTGCTTTGATGGTGATGTGATTCTCAAAGTAAGGTGTCTGTCTGCTTAGGCGCCTTGAGATACCATCGCCAACCGTCAGCTGTCTGCTGGCTCAAGTTGCCGTCAAAATCTCCCAAGGGCTGCACAATGTGACGCATCAACATTTTGTGAAGCAGTATACTATGAAAGATAATTATACATTGTAACTTCAGGCTTAGAAGGGCTAGAACCCAGAGCCGTAAAGACAGTTATAATAAAAATATAATAATATAGGACAGAAATGCTACATAAGTCTATGGGATAGAAGGACAGATATGATTTATGCGCTAAAGCGCTAAACATCAAAATAAGGTTTTTGGTGGGAACTTGACCGGCGGCGGTTTGCTGCTCCTGTATTATTGTTTAAATAATGGTTTGAAGTGGACTTTGATATGTAAAAGTAGTGCGATATTGTGTATTAAGTGTCTGCGCATGTGAACTATTAGTGGAAACTGTGATACAAGTGCTCTGATGGTGATGTGATGCTCAAAATAAGGTGTCTGTCTGCTTAGGCGCCTTGAGATACCATCGTCTGCTGGCTCAAGTTGCCGTCAAAATCTCCCAAGGGCTGCACAATGTGACGCATCAACATTTTGTGAAGCAGTATACTATGAAGGATAAATATTATAATATATTGTAACTATAGGCTCAGAAGGGCTAGATCCCAGAGCCGTAAAGCCAGTTATTAAGAAGAAGACATCAAAACAAACAGTCAAAATTCTTGTTTTTGATTCAATTCACTCATAATAATAGATAATAGTCTGTGATTCACGTCATTCGCATAAATCATGGCAGAGGATTTTGTTTCATTTTTCATATTTTTTTATTAAACCTAGTTTTTGAAATGAAATGGAGGGATCGAATGTAAAAGGTAAGCACAATAATCTTCTTAGTCTTTTGTTAAAGATATTTAATACGTATAAAATGTGATTGTTTTGTATGAATTTATCAGATAATATTTTGAGTGGGCGATACTTGTTTTATGTTGAGAATTACCTTTTGTTTAGACTTGACTTGCCTATTTTGATGAATTTACAGCGTAATTAATGTTGCAACACATGCTGTTAGATGAAACTTTAATTCTGTGAGTTAGACATCAAATAAGTTCCCTCTTTATGAGGTAATGTAACATTACTTCCGCGTTTTTATTGTTAAATGCTGCTCATACAATACCAGATTGAATTTATTGGCTACGGTAAATATTTTCTGTTTCATTATTTTTAGCAGTGCCATATTATCAAAGCCAATTTCGTAAATTGAAATTATGTAAACAATGCAGTTGTCATACTACAATGCCTCTGCAATTGTTAGCATGTAACATTATTTCTGACCTTACTTAGAAACTATTTCTCATATAAGACAGCAGCAATATAATCTTGTTAAACTGTCATGTACAATGCCCTGTTAAGAATATTAACCATATTCATTACACATCACTGCACTACCACCTGAGGATGCTTGAGGTAGGGCGGGAAATACTCTTCAATCTAGGTAAAACACTTCAGTTTATTTTATTAAGCAGATCTCTGCAAATTAATTTTTAACAACTTTTACTATGGGAAATGCCGTTAAAACCTTATGACTTTATATGATGGTGTATAATTATCTTGTATATGTGAAAGAGTATCTTGTATATCTAAAGTGCGACACAGAAGATAATTTTCTTTTCTGTGGTGTAAGGTGTCTGCGTCTGGGCAATCTGATAAATGTGACTACCAAATATGATCAAAGCCTACCTAAAATGGATGAGTATCATGGCCATGGGTTTTTATGGGCCTATAAGGAAGAAAAAGAATTTACATAGCTATACAGTATAAAAATAATAATCTTTTGATATGCTTTGACTATTATTTATAAGGTCAAAAAAAATGGATATGTATGAATGATGCTATATGAAGCCATAAATATGATATTATAATATATGTGCGGATATATTATAATATCCTTAAAACCTGTCACTGTTATTGACCATCCATAATTAATTATTTTAGATCTACCACCTAATATAGTATTAAAACTTACCACCTTTTTTTAATACAATTTAACCCAACTAAATTAGATACACACTTAAGAAAGTTAATAGATTGCCCTGTGATATTATTAAGTGACAATTAGTATAGAATAGGGTATTGTTTATATAATATATTGATGTTATAATAGTTATTCAAAGTAATTTTTTATTAATTATTACTTTTTATAAAATAAATGTTTGTCTAACAAGAAACCCAGTGGTAAAATTTTAAAAAATACAATATTTTTAAAATTATTTACAATACCAGTAATATACTCTTTAAAACATATACTAACATACTTATGTCATATTTAATCATGAATATTTCTATAGAAATTATTGATGAATATTACTAAATCACTTAGTCACTATCAAAAGCACACACTTTGAAATGTTATTATGTAACAGTAACATTATTTGAATATCACATATCACATTATTTCTGCAATCCTGGATGTATGTGTAAATAAATATATAAATATTATGTATGTTACAGTTAATCTTAGTATAAAAAATAAACTTAAGATTAGCTGGCTAAACAAAGGTTATATTTGATTGTATTCTCATATTGGATATAATGTTCATTTATAATAACTTTTACATATTTAGCTAAATAACTTATATATTATATAAATGTTAGCGGCTTTAGGGCCACACCTGTACCTACTGGTTATTATATATCTTTATATATAAAAATTACGTGTCACATTGTTTGTCCGCGAAGGACACCTAACCTACTGAACTGATTTCAATAAAATTATGCACACTGTGTGCATTTTGGTTCAACTTGAGAGATAGGATAGTTTTTATCCTGCTAAATGACCCTCAAAATTTTTTATTGCGATTTTATGGATTTTTATAGGAAGGGTCGTTGGAAAGGGCAGAACAACGTCTGCCTGGTCAGCTAGTATATATATAAAAAATTGAAATATTGGTCTGTAATATTGAAATAACTGCCTTATATTATGTTGAGAGGGCATACTGCATGCTATTAAGACATAAATAAAAATAAGCATTTTTAAAATTTTTGTCTGTCCAGTAGTCCGACCTCAGCTTCGGTTTCAGCCATCTATGGCCAAAAAAATCATCTGCGACAAAACCTTCGGCTTCGGCTAAAATAGGCTAAAGTTTGAAAATTAAAAATTGAACAAACTGTTATGAATGAGCATGAGCGCGATGTATGTGGCGATGTGACTTAATGTGATCTAATGACAAAAGATTATAATTATAAATTGTTGTTGCTAATACAGTCATTACCTGATTATTTATAATTATTGTAATTGGCATTTTTATTTTTTATTTTCTAAAATTTTCATAACTGTGCATTAAATCGACTAACGTTTATTAAATTTATTTGTTAGTCAAGTTTCGAACTAATCGAGAAATATATATATATATTGATTGATCTAATTGTGATTGCTAAATTACTTTAAATTATATGTATAAATATAAATTATAGTTTTATCATCCCAATTAACTTCTAGAGATTATTAGAATTACCTTTTTAGGGTTCCGTGTGAAAATGAATAATGTTTTATTGCTTTAGGACGGGAATAAAAAAAAATTACTTTGGTGTTTTTAGGGTTCCATACCCTAAGGGTAACCAATGGGACCCAATAACTAAGAATCCGCTGTCCATCCGTCTGTCTGTCAGCGGGCTGTATCTCATCATCCATAACAGGAAGGCAGTTGAAATTTTCACAGAATGTGTATTTCTGTTGCCGCTATAACTACAACCACATTTGCCGTGTGGTGTGCGGCGGAGTAGAATACCACCACCCCATATCTACCTGTGGGTGTCGTAGAAGGCGACTAAGGGAGTGTGGAAAAGGACTGAACCCCTGTACCTTTTTCACTGATATACCTACTGTTCCATCTGTCCGAGTCCCTCTCCGGTCGTAACGGTCTCCGTTCCACTGGGTCCAGAGGGGCAAAGACGAGTATGTGCACCTGTGTCCGCGCGTACACTTGTGCACGTTAATATGTCCTGCGCAATTGACCTGCTTCCAAATAGGACTCCGATCTATAACCAATGTCCTACGGCGATGGGAGGAGGTAGAGAGGCTTGACGTGATGCCCGTTGAGTTTTGTCTGACTCCTGCACGTAGGCGGTCTTGGGGGTGTAGTGTACATCGTGGTCGCTTCTGCTCTGCAACGGGGTGACAGAGCGGACTCGGCAGCACCCAAGGTGACAAAGCAGCCCTATTCAGGGAGGCACTGCTTTCCTCGCTCAGACGGGGAGGGGGCTAGAAAAGGTGCCCTAAACAAATGCTCACTCCAACCCCTTTAGGATGGTAGCAACCGCGGCTGCCTCCGCATCATAAATTCGCGGTCGGCGCTACAGGAAAAATAATGGAAAATTTAATTTATCAAAATCAATGACATTTGGCGCGTGGAATGTGCGCACACTTCTTGACCGCGAAGCAAATGCCTGCCCTGAGCGAAAAACTGCCATTGTAGCTCGGGAACTAAGTCGCTATAATATTGATGTGGCTGCACTCAGCGAAACACACCTCCCCGAGGAAGGAGAGCTGGTAGAATATGGCGGCGGGTATACTTTCTTTTGGAAAGGACTCGCTTCCTCGGAGCCGCGAAGGTCTGGTGTAGGCTTTGCTGTCAAGAACTACCTTGCTGCTCAACTGCAAGAGTACCCTGTACACATCTCGGACCGCATTACCACATTGCGCCTTCACATGGAACGTGAAAACTATCTTAATATCATCAGTGTCTATGCCCCTACGCTGGACAAGTCTGATGATATTAAGGATAAATTCTACGAAGAATTGACGCGGTGCGTAAATCGTATTCGTCCAAGAGAGCAAATCCTTCTCATGGGCGACTTTAACGCCCGAGTAGGACGAGACTATGACGCCTGGCCTAAAGTTCTCGGCAGACATGGTGTTGGTAAAATGAACAGCAGCGGCCAATTGTTGCTTAGTCTTTGTGCACAATTGGATCTTGCAATTACAAATACTATGTTCAGACTGCCTGCCAAGTACAAGGCAACGTGGATGCACCCCAGATCGAAACATTGGCACCTTATCAATTACGCCATCGTGCGTCAAAAAGACATATCTCAAGTCCAAGTCACCCGTGTCATGCGTGGTGCTCATTGTTGGACTGATCACCGGCTTGTTATTATTAAATTAAATCTTCGTCTTCCACCTCCTTGTAGAGTGGGAAGATCTAAACAGATACGTCTGAACCTCGAACGACTCCAAGATACTAACACGAAGGCTAAATATGCCGAAACCTTGAACACTGCTCTGCAGCCCCTCGATCTAAAATTAGGTGAGATCGATGTTGTCTGGGAGTCTCTATCTTCTTGTGTTCTCGACACTGCTAAATCTACTTTGGGTTTGAGAGTTCGAAAACATGAGGACTGGTTTGATGAGAATGATGGGATACTTACAGGCGCTATTGATAAACACCGTAGGCTCCTAAAGCAGCACAGTAGAACTCATCAGCGTGGAGGTGCTATGGAGTTGCGTCAAAGTGATCTGGAGCTGCGTAAACTCGCACGACAAGCGAAAGACAAGTGGTGGCAGGAGAAGGCTCGTCAGATGCAGTGGCTCGCTGATACCAACCAGCTCGGTGAGTTTTATGCTGAGGTGCGACATCTACTCGGTACGTCCTCTATGGCAAAAGTTCCACTGAAGTCAACTAGTGGTGGAGCGCTTTTTAAAAGCAGGGAGGAAATACTCGGGCGATGGGCGGAGCATTTTAACACCCTACTTAACGTGGATCATTTTGTTGACCTAGACCACGTTCGCTGCCTACCTCAACAACCTTTCGCCCTCGAGCTAGATGAGCCAATCTCGCCTGGCGAGGTTGCTCTTGCCATTAAGCAACAGCAAAATAAACGCGCGGTTGGTGTTGATTTTATACCGGGTGAATTATTGAAGTATGGCGGTGGGGATTTGTATTCAGCGTTATGGGAACTTTTTGTCATTATGTGGGAAAAAGAACAAGTCCCTAATACTTTTAAGGTATCCCTCATACGAGCCCTATATAAAGGCAAGGGTGACCGGTCAAACTGCAATTCTTACCGTGGCATTTCTCTACTTTCAGTGCCTGGAAAAATCTTCGCCAGACTTCTTTTAAACCGCCTCAGGAAACTCTCTGAAAGGATTTTGCCGGAATCCCAGTTCGGCTTCCGACCTGACCGTGGTACCTGTGAGGCGATTTTCTCATTACGTCAACTACAGGAAAAAAGCAGAGAACAGGGTCGTAATATGTATCTCTGTTTTGTAGACCTTGAGAAGGCATTCGATAGTGTACCACGTGAAGCCCTCTGGATAGTGCTGCGGAAAATTGGATGCACGGAGAAGTTTGTGAGACTTCTGAGACTCCTGCATGATGGCATGCAGAGCTGCGTCGCTGTAAACGCTGATCAGTCAGAATTTTTTCCCGTTACCTGTGGAGTAAAACAAGGGTGTGTCCTTGCACCCACACTTTTCGCGTTATACTTTGCAGTTGTAGTCCAGGAAGTCTTAAAAACTACCCATGATGGAATTCGCATTCGTTTCCGCAACGATGGTAATCTTTTCAGCTTAGCTAGACTTAAGGCCCGTACGAAAGTGTCTTACGCACTTATTACAGAGATCGTCTACGCAGACGATTTATGTTTTGTGGCCGATTCCCCAGCTGGCCTGCAACAGCTTGTGACCACCTTTCATGAGTCGTGCCGTATTTTTGGTCTGAAGATAAGTGTTAAAAAGACGGAAGTGATGTCTTTAGATATCTACGGTCAAGAGACACTGGCCGTCAAACTCGGTGATGATATACTTAAGCAGATCAATACATTTCGTTATCTGGGGAGCACGATAACATCAAAGTGTGACCTTGATGCTGAAATCAACAGTCGAATCGGTGCCGCGGCTGCGGTATTCGGTAAACTGGATCGCAAGGTCTTTGGCTCACATGACCTAAAGCTGGCTACCAAAATTGGTATTTATAAGGCGGTAGTGCTGCCTAACATACTGTACTCTTCAGAGTCATGGACAGTTTACCGCCGTCATATACGGACGCTGGATCGCTTCCACTTGCAATGTCTGCGCAAAATTCTCAACATCCGTTGGTCTGATCACATTCGGAATACGGAAGTGCTGCGTAGAGCCTATACCATGGGGATTGAAGCCTACCTTATGGGGCGACAACTCCGTTGGTGTGGACACTTATCGCGAATGTCAGATCAGCGTACGGCTAAGTGCATCTTTTTCTCTGAACTTGAGAAGGGCAAGCGTAAGCATGGCGGACAACTTCTCAGGTACAAAGATGTACTTAAGCGCCACATGACGAAGTGCGACATTGAGCCTTCAGAGTGGGAGCAAGCAGCCGCTCGACGACCGGAGTGGAGATCTTTGGTGAAAGCCAAGGTCAAAATGTTTGAGGAGAATCGATGCTCTGAATTGGACGCCCGACGTGATGAACTCAAAGCACGCCCACCTTGTGCGATTAACTATAATTTCTGTAATGGTGTGCTCACCTGCCCGCATTGCACGCGAACATTTGTAAATAAGATCGGCTACGTTAGCCATGCAAGAGCACACCAACGACAAGATCGGAGCTGAAGAGGTCGCCGTGGCCGAAATCGGTCGAGGAGATTATTATAACTACAAATAATAAAAATTAATTATAAATCAAAGGGGGCTGCAGTACTAGAAATGTGTTTTATAATGGTACAGAACCCTTGATGCCACTTTGTTGGTTTTTTATATTATAACGTCAATAAAACCTTTAATTTAAAAGTTTTAAAATCATTTATATTATTAATTTTAGCCAATCTTGAACTATATTTCTTAGAGCATTTCAGCTTACTGCTTCAGCCGAAGATTGTGGCGATTGCCGATTAATCGGCTTCAGCTTCGGCCAGATTTCGACCTTCGGTCAGGTACTACTGTCCGAGCCTCACCTTCGGAAAGGCTGAACCAATTGTGATGAATCTTTACCAACAAATAGAGAGCAATGACAGGAGGAGGGATTTAGGCTAAATATATCTTATCCGAAAAACATAAAGATTTTTTTTTAAAAAAGAAAGAAAAAAGAAACTGAAAAATTTATAGAATAATGGTCTTTAATAATCTTAAATCTTAATCTTATACATTAATAGATCCTACTTGAGTATATACATATAACATATCGTTTTTTTTTTCAGAATCCCTAAGCTGTGCAGGGTGCCTTAATGACATTGGTGAAGATGACTATATATCGGCGTTGGGACAAGATTGGCACAAAGACTGCTTTAGGTAATTTTGAAAGGAATTAGAGATGTCATTTTGTCCATCCACAAATATTTATAATGATAACAAAAACTGATTGATTAGAAAATGCATTGTTTGAATAGAATATTTTTATTCACAAGAATAGTAATTCCCAGTTAGTTGAAGATGAAAACTTTAGTGTTTTATTTGTGAATGTGAAGTAACAGAATTGTTTAAATATTTTTAGTGAGCAAGGCCTATGATGGCCCTGATAGTCCTTAGTCCACTCACTTAGTTACGTCACTAGACTTAATAAAAAGTAAAAGTAGATAACTAAAAAAGGTAAAATAATTTCCACATGCAATACATTCTGCAGTCTTCAATATTTCTATACACTACTAGCTGGCCAGGCAGATGTCATTCTGCCTGTTCCGACGACCCTTTGTTCTATAAAAAATCACAATTAAGGGCACTTATGAGAATCAAAACTACCCTATCTCTCAAATTGGAGCAAGCAATACACATTTACAAAATTTCATTGATATCAGTTCACTAGTTTCATGTGACACATAATTTTTATATATAAAGATGTATTGTCACCGATTTTTGAAGTTATTATAAGGAAATTATTTTATTATTTTTAGCCATTGCCAAGTCGGCTTGTACTTTATATTAAGTCTAACCGTTTTTGTACTGTATCTGCAATAGAACTTGGAAGGCTTTTAGAATATCTATATCTCTACATAGTATAAAACTAAGTTGCTTCTCGTATTCTGAACGCTTAGGTCTTTTAAACTACGCAACGGGTTTGATGCGGTTTTTATCAATAGACAAAATGATTAAAAAAGAAGGTTTACATGTATAATACATGTATATTATCTGTCAGTGTGTATGTTGTTGTGAGTGTGATTAAGTTGATCAGTGTTTTAGATTCACAAATGGGACCCGATAGGTGGCGTTGTTGTCGAGATCCCGAAATGAACCATGCGAATAGAAAATAACTGGAACGTGTGGTGGCGGCGTAAGAGAATCCATCCTCATTTCGTCCGCTCGGTGTAATTTTTTTTATAGTATAGAGCTATAGGGTGACAAACGAGCACACAGTCCACCTGATGGTAAGTGGTTGCTGTGGCCCATAGACATCTACATCTTTCCTTAACAAAGAATCAAAATGCAGATGCGTTGTCACCCGTGAGGACTAAGATGGAATGCCACTTCCAGTAAAAGGGATCTCTACACTCACCATACGAACACAGCAATGTTAGGCTGCTATTTTACGCTAGTATTCTGTGAGAGCATGGTCCTTCCCCAGTCGAGTCGACCCATTCGTGTTACGACTATACTATTAATATAGCTACAGCATGGCTCTACCACATATAAAACGTGTCTAAATTAGACTATGGGTAATACCAGAAAAATGTTATGGCTTCATGTTGTTGTTCATCTCGTATTATTTGCCAGACGTAAAATTCCCAGTACGCGACGCGTATCAGTGTCAAGAGTGCGAGATGTCTGATACTGTGACATACCTCATTACATACACATATACGTGGCAGAGCCATGCTGCAGCTATATTAATTGTATAGTTATAGCACGAATGGGTCGGCTCGACCGGGGAAGGACCACGCTCTCACAGAATACCAGCGTAAAATAGCAGATAAATGCTGCTGTGTTTCGTATGGCGAGTGTAGAGAACCGGAGACCGTTTTTACTGGATACAAGGCATTACATCTTAGCCCTCACGATCTGCATTTTCATTCGCAAACGAGGATAGATGTAGATGTCTATGGGCCACAGCAACCACTCACCATCAGGTGGACTGTGTGCTCTCTTTTCACCCTTATCCTATAAAAAATACAATGGGACAAGCTCATGTTCATTTATGGTCTGATGATGAAATGTATGTGCAGGTGCTCTGTGTGTGACGCGGCGCTATCGACATGGTACTTCGAGAAAGCGGGGCTTCTGTTCTGTCAGAACGACTACTGGGCGCGGTATGGCGATAACTGTCAACAGTGCGCCCAGGTGCGTTCCAAGCATTATTTGTTGCAAAATAACTTGCGTTCAGCTGCTAGATGATTTAACGAGTTTTAAAGTGGCTAAAATGGAACTGCAGTGCAATTTATAAGTGCAGTGAAGTTTAAATATGGTATTAAAAAGATCCAATGGTATATTGTATATTTAAAAAACGTTTAGTTTTTCTGTACAAACAGTTCTACGATGCAGAAAGTGCATGAAAAATCCTTTGTGTCTGCTTATAAGCTGTTTTAGTTGTCGTAAGTTGCCAAAAGAATAGTCAATAAAATTGTATGTATAAAAAATTATAGGTTTATCAATCCAATTTCTTCATATTTATGCTCGGATAGTAAAAATCGTATAGTGAGCCGTGGTAGCTCAGATGGTTAGCTCTTGCTGTAAGCTTAACAGTACTCGAGCAACCCGGGTACGATCCCCGCCGGCATCAATGAAATTGTTAAGTGCAATTTTAAGTGCTGATTTACCACATGCTCAGCTGTGAAGGAAAACATCGTGAGGAAACCTGCATGTCTGAGAAATAAGAAAAAAAAAATATTTCGACGATATATGAAGTTTGCCAACACGCATTTGAGGCAGCGCGGCGGACATTTCCTTGCCCTAAAACCCTCTCAGAAATGAAAGGAGGCCTGTGCCCAGCCGTGGGACGTAAATAGTTTGCAACTTTACTTTAGTAAAATTTTACCCAAATATATGGAATGACAGATATTGCTGCCACTTTCTTTTGTATCGCGCTGTCCTACTTTGTAAGTCCTGTTATTGTTAGAATATGACAGTTATTTATCTATTGTCTTTGGTAATATTTTCAGGTATATTTTAATAATGATTTTCTTTTGAAAACGTTGCAGGTGATAACGGGTCCGGTGATGGCGGCGGGCGAGCACCGTTTTCATCCCGAGTGCTTCGCGTGCACTGCGTGTGGCGCACACGTAGAGGACGGTGAACCTTACGCATTGCTTGAACGCTCCAAATTATACTGGTGAGTGCTTTATTTGTGTTGGTAACTCGTCGTTTATTTATGATGGTTTAAAAAAATATATACACTGTGACCACTGTAAGGTGTGACGTTAATGCAGTGTACTGTGAAGTCGTTTCTTTTTAGTTTGCTATATTGGTTACTGCTTAAAACGGAACGCAGTCCAGTATCGATTTTTCGACACTGTTTTCAAATGAAAATATTTATCATGTACATGTTTTTTGTTCAACTAGAAAAATTATTATTAGAATGATGTTGTTTTTAAAACTTAAGTCCGTCTTTATTTGAATAACAATATTAAGAAGTAGAAGCTCTGCTTCTGCGTTTCGTCTGGTGAGTGCAGGTGGCCGGAGGCCCAATTCCCCCCCCCCCCCCCCCCCCCCATCAACATGGTAGCGGAATTACACGAAGAACTACCCCAGGAGGGTACCAGTACCCCTGGAGAATCCCTCGCTGAGCATCCACGACCATGTTATTCCGATCCTGAGCGTGGGTGCTCAGGCTGTCCCGCGTATTCTGGGGGGCAAACTGAGCAAGAACACCAAGGCGATCCCTGCCACGCTATCCGTGAATTTCTGCAACATCAGGGGACTTCACTCTAACCTAAACGCCGTCCACTACCATCTCGAGACGGCGAAGCCGGCCTTGCTCTTTCTGACCGAGACGCAGGTTTCCTCTCCGGCTGATATTTCGTATCTCTTCTGCCCGGGGTACAAATTGGAACACTCCTTTGTGCTTCGGGCTGGAGTTTGCGTATACGTCAGAGAGGACATCTGTTCTCGACGCCTCGGCAGTCTTGAAGGTTCGGACCTGTCCATCCTTTGGCTACGCGTAGACAGCGACGACCATTCGCGCGTCTACGGGTGCCTCTATAGGTCCCATAGCGGTAATGCCGAAACAGACCGACTCATCGACCACGTCCAAATGGCTACAGATTCCTTGCTACAACAGGTCCCATCCGCAGAGATCGTGATCCTTGGCGATTTTAACGCCCACCATGCCGAATGGCTCGGTTCACGTCTAACCGATCATGCGGGGAGATCTGTTTATGACTTTGCCTTGGCATATGGTCTGACACAACTGGTTACTTCGCCTACGCGGATTCCAGATGTGGAGGATCATACACCTTCCCTGTTGGACCTTCTGCTGACCTCTCATCCGGACGGATATCAGGTTTCCGTCGATGCCCCTCTCGGCTCTTCGGACCATTGTCTGATCCGGAGTGTGGTGCCACTCACGCTCCCTTCGCGGTTGCGTTCTGCAGGTTGCCGCCGTGTTTGGCATTACAGGTCGGCGGATTGGGACGGAATGCGGTCCTTCTTGGCATCCTACCCATGGGGGCGGGTTTGCTTCTCGCCGGATGATCCCAGCGCTGTTGCTGACTCTGTCACTGATGTGGTGCTACAGGGAATGGAACTATTTATTCCATCATCTGTGGTACCCATCGGAGGCAGATCTCAGCCTTGGTTTGGTCGCTCCTGTAAGACTGCATTACGCAGTAAGCAGGAGTGTTATCAAGCCTGGGCTGCGGCTTCGGCGACTCGGGATGTAAATGCCAGCACACTTATAAAGAAGTATAACTTCGCCTCCAGGTCCTTCAAAAGAGTTATTGCCAAGGCAAAGTCAGAGCACATAGGCAGAATTGGCGAGAAACTAGTTCGCCTTCCTTCGGGAACCCGTGCATTCTGGTCTCTCGCCAAGGCTGTCCAAGGGAATTTCTGTAAGCCATCACTACCATCTCTGCACAGGGAGGATGACTCACTGGCCCATGACGCAAAAGACAAAGCCGACCTTTTAGGCTCCCTTTTTGCGTCCAACTCAACTCTTGATGACGGGGGGAAAACACCGCCGACCATCCCGCGGTGTGAGTGCTCCATGCCGGATGTGCTGTTCTCACAGCGCTCGGTTCGCAAAGCACTGCTCTCCCTGAACATCCAGAAGTCGAGTGGGCCTGACGGAATCCCCCCAATTGTGTTGAGAACGTGTGCTCCGGAGTTGGCACCGGTCCTAACGCGTCTTTTCCGGTACTCCTACTCCCAAGGCGTAGTCCCGAATTCATGGAAGACAGCTTTTCTCCACCCGATCCCTAAAAAAGGCGACCGCTCAGACCCATCCAACTATAGGCCTATCGCGATCACCTCCTTGTTCTCCAAAATAATGGAATCCATTATTAACTGCCAGCTCATCCGGTACCTTGAGGATCACCAGCTGATTAGTGACCGCCAATACGGTTTTCGTCGGGGTCGATCAGCTGGTGATCTTCTGGTCTACCTGACCCATAGATGGGCGGAGGCAGTAGAGTCCAAGGGGGAGGCGTTGGCCGTTAGTCTGGACATTGCGAAGGCCTTCGATCGGGTTTGGCACAAAGCGCTTCTTTCGAAGCTGCCTTCCTATGGGCTTCCCGAGAAATTGTGCAATTGGATCACCAGCTTCCTTGCAGATCGGAGCATCAAGGTCGTTGTAGACGGTGCATGCTCTGACTACAAGCCTATTAACGCTGGTGTTCCACAAGGCTGTGTGCTATCACCAACGCTGCTTCTTCTGCATATCAATGATATGTTGCTAACTGGTAACATTCATTGCTATGCGGATGACAGCACTGGTGATGCTCTATACACCGGCCGTGCCAATATTTCTCGGGAAACGTCGCTGAGTACCGGAACAAACTTGTGTCTGAAGTCGAGTCTTTGCTGAACAAAGTCTCGGATTGGGGGCGACTAAATCTAGTCCAATTTAATCCTCAGAAGACACAAGTTTGCGCGTTTACCGCTAAAAAGAATCCCTTTGTCGTATCTCCTTAGTTCAAGGCACTCCCCTTCTTGCCTCAGCCAGTATCGGTATCCTCGGAGTCGACATATCGAGTGACGTGCAGTTTCGTGGTCACTTGGAAGGGAAGGCCAAATTGGCCTCTAAAAAGCTTGGCGTGCTCAGCAGAGCGGGACAGTATTTCATGCCGGCACACCGCCTGAAACTTTACAAGGCGCAAGTTCGGCCTCACATGGAATACTGTTCCCATCTCTGGGCAGGGGCTCCCCAGTGCCAGCTCTTTCCACTTGACCGCATCCAACGCAGAGCGGCTCGAATCGTCGACGACCGAGCCCTTTCCGATCGGCTCGATTCATTGGCACTGCGAAGAGATGTTGCATCCCTTTGCATTTTCTTTCGCATCTACCATGGGGAGTGCTCTGAGGAATTGTTCGGATTAATCCCAGCCGCCAAATTTCACGAACGCACATCGCGGCAGAACTCCCGATACCATCCACACCATCTGGATGATTGGCGGTCCACCACTGTGCGATTTAGAAGATGTTTTCTTCCTCGCACGACCTCCTTGTGGAATCGATTACCATCAGCGATTTTTCCGGACCGATACGACTTAGGGACCTTCAAGAAAAGAGCGTACTCCTTTTTAAAAGGCCGGCAACGCATCTGCGATTCCCCTGGTGTTGCAGTTGTTCATGGGCGACGGTAGTCACTTACCATCAGGTGAGCCGCATGCTCGTTTGCCCCCTCTCCTATAAAAAAAAAAATTAATAATAATAACACTCATTCGTGAAAGCTGTTAAATCTCTAGGCGCTTTTATGTTTATTGATCACGTGATTAAAATACTTAGAGCACCTTACCTCGAAAGCGTCAGTGCTCACAGAACAAAAATGCCGGCGATTTATGACGTCATATATTTTCCTAGTGTACTGCGGCAGTATACTGGCAGTTCATAACGGAACGAATTTTTCACCAGTGAGAGCATTGAGCAGTGCTCGCAGTGTATATCGGAAAAATTTCAAATGCGCAGCCATTTGCAAAGACTAAAATTAAATTTCTCTTAGTCTGTTTAACTTTATTTAACTAGTGTTTTATTATAAATGTCTTTTTTATACTTCAATTCTAAATGCCAACAGTGAGTACTTGACCTTTTAAATAAAAGTACTGGTACAACAACTACTACCAACTAATACAGAGGTGATTAGATGCCGAAGAGAAGTATACTGGCTGAAATATTGTGTGCAAAATGAATTGTATGTTTATTGAAATTATTACAGATATAGGTAATATAACAGAAAGGGCGCGCAGAATTTGATTTTACGTAACTTTAAATAAGTAATAAAATGTAGCAAAGGTTGCTTGTGTAAATTATACGATGTGCATATCGTTGTGCAGCGGTGCGTGCTGTGGTGCTGCGATGCGCAGTACGCGCGGTGCGCACGCCATCCGCGTGCTGCGCCTGCCGGCACGCGCGCTGCGCCTCGCAGCCGGGCCCGGCGCACAGCTCACGCTCGCACAGTGAGTACACACACACACACATTCACACACACACACACACACACACACACACACAATCACACACACTTTCCCTAGCCCCTGCACGCCGCACACCGCATGCTCCCGCTTGCTCAATGAGTACGTGCACCTGCCTCCTCGCTCCCTCCTTCCCTCTCTCACCCCGCACACGACACCTCGCAGCTATATTGTACACGCTACACTTCGCATATTACAGACGTGATCTATACTCTCTATCCTAACAAAATAATAAATTTGAATAATTTTTAATCGATTTAGATTACAAAAGTACTTATTGAAAATCATTTTATTACTAATTCGGAAAAACCTCTGTCCTGTGAAGAACTAGCATAAAACCCAACACTTCTATTGTGACCTTGATGCTGTACAATTAAATATGAAAAGATTTAGAAATATCATGGTAGTAATCATTTAATTCCCAGGGGTTATTAACAAATGATGTACTCTACTAGTACTATAACCGTTCTTAAACAATTCAATTAACAAAATTTTCATCTTCCATTAACAAAAATAATGATAGATGTGAATTTTTTTATAGTCTTACATATTATATCTAAATTAATATTTTCGTAATATACAGTCTGTTCCAAAGTTCGATGCATAGTTTTGAGAGGGGGGGAGGGGGGGGAGCTCATCTCTTGGGGCACATTTTTGAGTAGGTTACCCTAACGTAATATCTTAGAATTCCTACTACTACAATCAGTACATAAAAACTTGTTTCTATCATACCTTAATGTGTATTCAATCGACAAACACCAATACCATCACCTGTATCTGTATCATTGACTAAATTGGACATGCTAAAGAGTTAGAAGTTCTTTACTTAGTTACTTTTACTTGCCAAAAATTATAATTTTCACAATAACTAGAAATTCTAAGACTAGTTAGGGTAACCTGCTCAAAAATGTACCCCACGAGGTGACCTGTCCTCTTCTCCAAGGCTTTGCATCGACCTTCCGAACTCCTGTATACTATACCTATATGATATTCATTTTATTGAAGAAATTATTACTATACTTTTTTTAATTAATTTTATCTTTATTAACTCTGGGTAACCATTTGTCTCTTTTACAGCTTCACCAATCATACCTGTGATCATTTTACATTATTAATTACTTTTGTATTATTTATGTACGATTCATATTTGGAGAAATGTTATATCGTCTAACGGAAAGTATTTAACTTGACTAGAATTGTAGAAAAGTATTTATATGTTAGACTGTCCGTCCCCTTGAAGACTCCACTTTCTCTACGATCTGGTTATTGATAGACACATCAATAGATAAAATTATTTATTCTTGTGTCTACCGATCGCATAGTGGTGACCAGGAGACAACTAGGCTATTTGAACACCTCAGTGAGGCCTTTGATGTGGCTCTAAATCGGTACTCTAATGCACAGTTGGTTTTTCTAGGGGATTTTAATGCCTGTCATCAGGACTGGCTGTTCCTATACCAGAAGACCGACCACGCTGGGAGAGAGGCGTGGAATTTTGCCTTGTCACTGGGGTTCTCCTAGCTGGTATGAAAAGCGACTAGGTACCTGATGTCGATGGGCATACAGGCAACTGCCTCGACCTTCTGCTGACGACTGATCCAGACAGGTACGATGTATAGGTTACGTTACCCTTGGGAATTTCTGACCACTGTCTGGTGAAATCTGTGTCATTATACTCCCCACCTAACTACAATTTCCACGGTGTGCGGCGAGTGTGGCGATACAAGTCAGCAGATTGGGATGAGATGCGGCATTTCTTTGCATCTTATACTTGGCGGCAAGTCTTCTTCTCGTCTGAAGATCCGTCGAGCTGCGCGGATGCCATAACCGATGTGTACGTCAAGCGATGGAGTATTTCATCCCTTTTGCTAACGTGCCCATTGGTGGTGAAGTTCGCTCATGGTTCAATGCCGAGTGCGCTCGTGCTGAAAAGCACAAGCATATGGCGTACTTATCCTGGGTCGATGCTCGAGACCGCAAAGCTCCGGATGTTAGCCTTAGAAAGAAAGCCGTTAATCAAGGCGTTACGACAAGCCAGTTTCGAACGCATTAAACGCACCGGTACAAAGCTCTCTGTCAAACCATCTGGCAGTAGAGCTTTTTGGTCTCTCGCCAAAGATGTCGAAACAAACTTCTGTCGTCTGTCTTCTGTACACTGCCTCCGCTGGTAAAACCAGATGGCTCACTGGCGCATACGCCTAAGAAGAAAGCGGACTAATTTGCTTCTCTTTTTGCTTGCAATTCGCGTATCGTCCGTCCGTATCACCAACAAGGAGGTTCTTAAAACCTTGCGAAATTTAGACGTGAACAAAGCTAGTGGACCTGATGGTATACCAGCTATAGTTTTAAAGGTCTGTGCACCTGAGTTGTCTCCTGTGTTGACGCGCTTGTTCCGCCTCTCATTCAGGACTTGAATAGTGCCCAAATCTTGGAAGCTGGCCAACGTGCAATCCTGTGCCTAAAAAGGTAGCTGTACCGACCCTGCCAACTATCGGCCAATTACAATTACCTCCATACTATGCAAGATTATGGAGGGTATATTTAACGCCCATCTCATGGCATACCTAGAGTAGAATGATATCATATCATTGACCGCCAGTACGGGTTTCGCCGAAATCGATCAACTGGGGACCTTCTAGCATTTGTCACTCACTTATGGGGCGAAGCCCTCGAGAACAGTGGGAAGCACTTGCTGTTTCCCTTGATGTTTCGAAGTCCTTTGACAGGGTTTGGCACGCTAGCCCATTGGGGAAGCTTTCAGCGTATGGCGCATCCCCTGGCCTGATTGACTGGGTGAAGGAGTTTCTGAGTGAACAATTTCTCGAACGAACGAGTCGTCATCGATGGCTACTTGTCTTGTTCTATCTCGACAAATGCCGGAGTTACTCAGGGGTCCGTTCTCTCTGCAACTCTCATATCAATTATCTGCTCATTCCCGGTATCTATGGATATGCAGACGACAGCACAGTTGTGGAGAGATACCAACCAAGTTCCCGGGCCAGTTGGGATCAAATCCAGTCCGAAAGAGAAGCTATGGTTGAGCATGTAAGTCTCACACTACAAGCAGTCTCCGAATGGGGCGATGCCAATCTCGTGAGATTCATCGCCTCCAAAACACAAGCGTGTCTTTCCACCACTGAAAGTAGCCCGCTCACCCTGGCTCCTACTTTCCGGAATGTATCCTTGGTACACTGACCGCCTGCAGTTATTAGGGGTTGAATTTTCTCCGAACCTCAACTATGAACGGTTCATTGAGTCCAGAGCCAAAGCAGGCGCAAGGAAACTTGGTGTCCTTGCAAGGGTGTGGTAGTACTTCATGCCGGGGCAGCTTCTTACCTTATATAAAGCGCAAGTCCGGTCGTGCATGGAGTACTGCTGTCACATATGGGCTGGTGCTGCAAAATGCCACCTGGCAGCATTAGACTCAGTGGAGAGACGTGCTAAGTCTCATTGGTGACCTTGATTTGGTTGAAACCAATCTTGTCAGCCTCGAGCACAGGCCCAGAGTAGCCAGCTTCTCGGTATTCTATAGGATGCATTTCGGTGAGTGTGCACAGGAATTACACGTTTTAATTTCTCCCTCTCCTTTCCACCATCGGACAACCAGGTGGTCGGCGAGTCATCGCCCCGTTGTTGTCGATATTCAACGCATTAGAACCAAACGGTTTGCTTCGCCTTTTGTAATGCGTACAGCAAGAGAGTGGAATAATTTGCCGTCGTCTATCTTTCCGTCTGAATACAATCTGGGTGTCTTCAAGGCAACAGTGAATAGGCTTTTGTTACGTTAAGACTTTTGTTACGATTTACCATTTAGGGCTACATCACCACTTACCACCAGGTGGGATTGTTGTCAAGCACTAGCTTATAATAAGTAAAAAAAAATTCAATTTAAAGTACTTTACCTTCCCTCTGAGCAACACGCTTCCTCACGATTCTATAAACCATTTAAATAACAATTGTAGACAAAAAATATAATACAAAGCTCTACCTATGACCTAACATCATATTCTTTACAATATCAGATTATTCATTCATCATCATCATCATCATCATTACAGCCCTTCACAAGTCCACTGCTGAACATAGGCCTCCCCCAAAGAATGCCACAAAGCACGGTCCTGAGCCACCTGCATCCATCGACTTCCTGCATGTCTTACCAGGTCGTCACTCCATCTCGTGGGGGGACGCCCTACACTTCGCCTACCGGTACGAGGCTGCCACTCGAGAACCTTTCTTCCCCATCGGTTGTCGGTTCTTCGAGCTATATGGCCGGCCCATTGCCACTTCAGCTTACTAAACCGTTGGGCTATGTCGGTTACTCTGGTTCTACTGCGGATATCCTCATTCCTAAGTTTATCACGCAGAGAAACTCCGAGCATAGCCCTCTCCATAGCTCGCTGAGCGACCTTGAGCTTCCTCATCCGGCCAGCAGTGAAGGACCACGTCTCAGATCCGTGAGTCATCACTGGCAACACGCACTAGTTGTACAATTTCGTTTTCAGGTTTTGAGGTATGTCTAACGAGAAGATGTGTCGTAGTTTCTCGAACGCTGCCCAGCCGAGTTGAATCCGCCGATTGACCTCTCGGTCGAAGTTGGACTTACCTAGTCGGACTATTTGTCTCAGGTAAACATACTCGTCAACAACTTCGAGCTTAGTGCTCCAAACAACTACCGGCATAGGTGTGACATGGACGTTAAACATGATTTTTGTTTTGTCCATGTTCATCTTAAGACCTATCCGTTGGAAGACACTATTGAGGTAATTGAGCATAGGGCTTAGGTCCTCCAGCGATTTTGGCATAAGGACTATATCGTCGGCAAATCGAAGGTGAATGATGCAATCGCCATTAATGTTAATACAGTATCCTTTCCAGTCCAGTAGCTAGAAAACGTCTTCCAATGCAGCGGTGAAGAGTTTCGGGGATATGACGTCACCCTGTCTTACACCTCTCTGCAATTGGATAGGTTTCGTACTCTGGTTCTGTACTCGGATAGCCATCGTAGCCCTACTGTACAAGCACTTCAACACTTCGATATACCGACAGTCAACTTGGCACCGCTGAAGGGACTGCAGCACCGCCCAAATTTCGACGGAATCAAAGGCTTTCTCATAGTCCACATACGCCAGACATAGTGGCAAATTGTACTCTTCGGACTTCTGTACAATTTGCCGAAGGGTATGTATGTGGTCTATGGTGCTAAAGCCCTTTCGGAAACCGGCTTGTTCGGGAGGCTGGAAGTCGTCAAGTCTGCGCGCGAGACGATTCGTAATGACTCTCGAAAACAGCGCGTAGACGCGGCTCAGAAGGGAAATCGGTCTGTAGTTCTTCAAGAGAGTGTTGTCACCTTTCTTGAAGAACAAGACCACCGCACTTCTGCTCCACGCCTCCGGTGTAATGCCACCATGGAAGACGGAATTAAAGAGCTTCTGAAGGACTTCAAGTACCGGTTTTCCACCCGCTTTCAGAAGCTCCGCTGTAATTCCATCCTCGCCTGGGGCCTTACCGTTTTTAAGGTGCTCGAGAGCCATTCTAATCTCGCTCAGACTGACGTCCGGAATATCTTCGGAATAGTGTCGGATGAGACTCGCTCTTGGATCGTTACTCACACTTGCGTGTGGCTCCAACGATGACGTGTACAACTGCCCATAGAACCTCTCAATCTCACTCAAAATCTCAGGTGTCCCGGAAACGATGCTGCCACATTCTGTCTTCAGCTTTGACAGTTGGCTCTTTCTGGCAGACAGATCTCTGGCAAAGACTTTGGAGTCTTGGTTCCGCTCGATCGCTTCTTCAATACGAGCTGTATTGAAGTTGCGTAAGTCCCGCCGCATGCATTTGGAGATCTGTCTGTTCGGTTGCCTGTATGTTGTCAAATCTGTTGAAGAATGTAGCTTCATCTCCCGTCTAACAGCCATGAGATTAAGAGTGTGATCGGAGAGTTTTGGTGTTCTTCTGCGGCGGGTCTTGCAGAACTTAGCTCCGACCGCATGGACAGTTTCCACGAGCTTGTCATTCATATCGTCCACTTCATTGCAGTCTTCTAGGCACTGAAAACGGTTTTGTAACTCTAGCTGAAAGGTTTCGGGACTTTGGATTAGAGCACGAGGAGGACGGAGCGTTGACTTCATTAGACGAGACCTCTCCAACTTAACGTTTAGGTTCAGTGTGCCTCTAACCATTCGGTGATCGCTACCAGTTTTCACCCTCGCGATCACGGAGACATCACTGAACAGTTGTCGTCTGGTCGTCATAATGAAGTCAATCTCATTTTTTGTCGAACCGTCGGGGCTCGACCAGGTCCACTTCCTGTGGGGCCGCTTCTGGAAGAAAGAGTTCATCATAAAGAGTCCCCCTTTCTCCATGAAGTCGGCCAGCTGCTGGCCCCTTGGGTTCCGTTGCCCTATTCCAAATTTCCCTACTTTCAGCTCACCGTTCTCTCTTGTGCCTAGTTTTGCATTAAAGTCTCCCATTAACACCGTATATTGGGTTTTGGAGGAATGCATGGCTCTAGAGATATCCTCATACATTTCCTCCACCTCCTCATCGGGGTGTGCCGAGGTTGGTGCGTAAACCTGTATGACCTTCAGCGAATACCGTTTGGTGATTCTGAGTATAAGGTACGCAACCCTCGTCGACACACTCCCGATCTTTACAACGTTGTTAACGAGAGACTTGTGGACGATAAATCCGACACCTCCTTGGGACAGATGGTCGCCCTCCCGGTGATAGAGCAAGTTGCCGCATTCGAGGATTACCGTGTCCTCCCCCTCTCTTCGGACTTCGGATAATCCTATAATATGCCAGCGCAACTTGTCTATCTCTTCTTCCAGCTCCACGATCTTCTCGTCAGTCCTCAGGGTGCGTGCGTTGTACGTTGCCAGGTCGAGTCGTCTAAGGTGGCAGCCGAACCTCCACCGGAGATTCTTAGCACCCCCTGCCCCGCTGTTACCATGGTCGCCACCGTAGCCAGGAATAACGGGGCCGCCGGGGACTGGGGGCCGTTTCTTTGTTACTGTCATTCTAAGGGGGGCATTTGCCATAGTTGCCACGCTTGGCGAGCGGGTTGGCAACCGCAGTTTTTTTTATTGTTAGTTTGTTGTTATCAAGAAGATGCTGCTGCCCATCTCCTGCCTGTTTCCCTTTGTCGCCTTTTACGACACCCACGGGAGGATATGGGGTAGTGGATATTCTTGACTGCCACTACACGGCTTCATTCATTAAAGCCCATCAAAAGTCCACTGCTTTACATAGGCCTTCCCCATAGGTTGCTTCATCAGGGGATATTTGCTATAGTTGCCACGCTTGGCAGGTAGTCAGAAGGATGCTGCTGTCCATCTTCTCTTTTAATTTTCTCTTAGGAACACCCACGAGATGATATGGGATAGTGAACTCTCTCATGAATAACAAAAAAGGCGACGCATTTTTTGTCATAAAGCGGAAGTGTTATACGAACGAACGAAAAGTCCACCTCATCGTAATGGTCAACATTTTTTGCGTGCTAGATGACAATAAATTGTCCTTTATTATGTTACTTACACAATTTTAATTTGCCATTTGTGAATCGTACATATTTGTTCAAGCAAAGCACATCATAACCTATGACACTGGTAAATAACACCACATCATTAACAATTGGATGCATAGAGGTCGCTGCGTCAGCAAGCTGTCCGCGTTGGTGCGCGCTTTACTCCGGGCAGCCGTCTCCGTCTGCATACAGCTCACCTGCCATAGGTACTAACTTGTTCTAGACTGATCTAGAACGTTACAGGTGTTGCATGGTTTGCTGCTTGATTGGACTGTGCGTTTAAGCTGAAATATATTTGCTTTATAGACATTGCATTTTTCAGCTGTACTGTACAAAGTTTGGATTTCATTGTAGTTTAGACCTTTTTAACATTTATTTTGAATGAGTACTTGTCACAAATTGGTTCTTATTTAACTCTAATATTATCACGATAGTATTTTAAATAAAATTTAGAATAGAAAAGGACAAAAATATTGCACCTTAATATGGTTATAATATCGTAAAAACGTATCTCTAATTATTAAGTGTTGTGACTACTAAGATAAATCAACAACTAAATTTTTACAGCGTGTGCTTCCCATTTAACCTTCGCACGAAACTCAAATGATAAACAATATTTAAAATTTTGCCCTCGTGTATTATTATTGGTTCTGGTACACTTCGTTTGTTTAAATAGAATAAAATATTTTTTAGTTAATATAGATTACAACAATATTATCTTATTGAATGTCATTTAAGATTTACCACTGGTATGAAAAAAAAACCTCTGTCCTGGGAAGAATCAGAAAGAAACCCAGTGGGACCTATTTATATCTTAACTTACAATATAATATTTTATATAATTAAGTATGAAACAGAAACAGCATGTTAGCAATCACCTAATTTCCAGGGTTTATTATCAATTTATTATTTACTCTTTAGTTCTATAATAACACTTATTAAAAAAATGCTTAATTTTTTTTTATATTTTATAGATAGGTCCTGCATACTTTCTGGGATTTTGTTGTAAACGCGTATACATTGCTCTATGAAGGAATTACTGATTCTTTGAAGTAGAGTAACTGGTGTAACTAGCTTGTGCAACTTTGACTGCCCTTTATACAAGTATTTATTTTTATACCCTGACCCTGCATGTGTAAGGGATACTTTTTGTTAATGTTAAATAACGCTTTGGTAAAAAATATATCTATTGTTATGCTATTGTAGGCTAAGCGATATATTTTTGGACTTCAGCATGTGCGAGGCAGGTGTTGTATCATATGGTATGGCCTTGTTGAATTGGTTTTTTATCCTAAATAGCAATTCGTAAACCGCATTAAAGCATTTTTTTTTAATTTCCGATATTTTGCTATTAAATTGTGTTATTGTGTATAGTAATTGTTTGTAGTAGTAATAGTTTTGTTGATACTTTATTTTTTTTTGTTTCAATAATAATTTTTGTCTTGACAAAAAGTTGGATGTTTTAGGGAGATCTTAGGTTTTGATGTTTTAGAAGGATATATTAGTGCTGTCATATTTATGTTTGGATATAGGTTTTAATAATTTTTGAAAAAAAAAAAAGAACTATATAAAAGCTCATTTATGTAGTTTTATTTATATAATGATTTATTTTCATATATTAGAATCTATTTAAAATAATTATTGATTTTAAATAAAACTAATTTTACGAATTTTATCGCGTATATTAATCTACTTTTATATTCCCGACGTTTCGGGTGCTTTCCAGCACCCGTGGTCACGGGGGACTGAGGTGTTTGACGTCCTGCTGTCATAGTTAGCCCGGCTACCTTCAGTTTTTTAATATTAATTTTTGGTCCGATTTACGCAGAATGAGCTTACAGTATCTTGAAGTCTAGCAGTGGTATACTTGGGTTTGGATTTGATTTTATTAATTATGGGATCCCAAGCAGATGGCAGCACCCATCCATCTTCTCTATTGAAATTAGGATGTTTTTTAATTTCAATAGCCTCGCGAATCATCCTTGGGAGGAATCGGTGTTCTTAAACCTCCCCAAAGACGAATTTAAAGCGTTGTACAACTTACGCAACAGACCAGAGCTCACGATTCTCCGCGCGGATAAAGGAAATGCTACGGTAATAATGGACACGTCAAAGTATAATTTCAAAATACAACAACTTTTATCGGACGTAAGTACATACAAAAAGGTCAAAATAGACCCTACAACTAATACACTTAAAACAACTACTGATTTAATAAAGAAATACTCCGAAAAATTAGATCTCGACGTGAATTCGACAATACCATCATGTGCCAAACCACCGAGGTTGTATGGGTTACCGAAAATACACAAACCAAACGCTCCACTACGTCCTATAGTAAGCTAGATCGATTCACCAACTTATAAGTTGGCTCAACACTTGGCTAAAATACTGTCACCACTAAGAGGACATACCAGAGCACACACAAAGGATTCATACCAATTTGTTAGTGAGATTAAAGACCTACATCTCGCTGACAATGAAACTATGGTCAGTTTTGATGTTCAGTCACTATTCACATGCCTACCTATTGAAGACTGCATCTCAATTGTTACTAGAAAGCTAGAAGATAACAACATGCCTACAGAATATGCAGTATTACACAAACACTGCCTCACATCTGGCTATTTATTGTGGAAAGAAGAGTTCTACATGCAAGTAGACGGAGTGGCAATGGGCTCACCTGTATCTCCCGTAGTCGCCGACATATTCATGGAGGACTTTGAGGAGAAAGCCCTTCTTACTGCTCCTGTAAATCCAAGATTCTACAAGCGGTACGTAGACGATACTTTCACAATTTTACCATCTGACAAAGTAACTGCATTTTTAAACCACCTTAATTCCATAAACCCCCTAAAATACAATTCACAATGGAGTTAGAGGCAAACAATACTTTAGCTTTCCTAGATGTTTTAGTCATCCGAAATCCTGATAACACTATTGGTCATACTGTGTACAGAAAAAATACCCATACCAACCGATATCTAAATGGTGAATCTCACCATCATCCTTCACAGTTAGCTACCGTGGGAAAATCTTTGTCTCAGAGAGCACGAGGGATCTGTGACAGAAAACATCTGCCCGCCGAGCTTCAGCACGTCGAGCAAGTACTGCAAGACAACAACCTTCGGGTCCCGCGCCTACGTCACAGTGACCGAGTGAAGCCAGCCACAGTCGAGCGTGTGCCTGCTGTACTACCCTATGTCAGAGGAGTCACAGACAAGGTTGGCTAAATCTTGAAGCGAGCTTCCATTAAAACATACTTCAAGCCGCTGAAGAAGATTGGTCAATTTTTACCATCCGTCAAGTGTCATATCCCTCTACAAAATGCAGGAGTGTACAAGCTGGATTGTGAATGTGGTCTCTCCTACATAGGACAAACAAAAAGATCTATTAAAACCCGCGTTAAAGAACATATAGCTGACGTGAAGCACCGACGTATCGGGAAGTCTGCAGTTTGTGAACATGTTCAAGATCGTCCCCGCCATTACATTAGATTTGATAGACCACTAATCCTCGCAAAAGAACACCGATTCCTCCCAAGGATGATTCGCGAGGCTATTGAAATTAAAAAACATCCTAATTTCAATAGAGAAGATGGATGGGTGCTGCCATCTGCTTGGGATCCCATAATTAATAAAATCAAATCCAAACCCAAGTATACCACTGCTAGACTTCAAGATACTGTAAGCTCATTCTGCGTAAATCGGACCAAAAATTAATATTAAAAAACTGAAGGTAGCCGGGCTAACTATGACAGCAGGACGTCAAACACCTCAGTCCCCCGTGACCACGGGTGCTGTAAAGCACCCGAAACGTCGGGAATATAAAAGTAGATTAATATACGCGATAAAATCCGTAAAATTAGTTTTATTTAAAATGTGTAGTGTTCGCGTAAATATAAGAAATCATAATTATTGATATATGAATAGATTATTTTTTTTTATCAAAAGAAGTTTCGAATGTGGTGTCACCATCACCATCATCATTATGTATATCGCAAATATATAATACATTCGACCTATTTCATCGATTCAACAAGCTGAAAAAATAATAATTTGTTTCAGCACAAATTTTAGCTATGAATAAGTACCAACCGTACCTAACTTGGACTCTTCTTCTTGAAATCATGTTACGCGTAGATATTTTAAAGTCTTGAAAAAGAAAACTAATTATAAAATAAAATTGTCTGCTTACAATTAACATACATAAAAGGGCTCTTACAATATCGAAGAGATTTCTAGTGTGACTTTTTTTGAAGCAGAAAATATCGCGTTAAGTAGCTTTGCGTTGTCACCGTCACAAGCAACATTGGTCCACAGAATCGACTCGAGCTGCGGCATGCTGACGCTGCACATCGGCGACAAGGTGCTGGAGATCAACGGCTCGCCGGTCCGCGGACGAACGCTCGTCGACTTCGATCCCGACACTGTCGTGCAGGTACTCGCTTTTTATATATGACAGTCGAATTATTTTTCGGTCTGAATATTTATTGCTCGGCGATGAAGGAAAACTAGAAATAAAAACATCCAGAATATATGTGAAGTCTAGCATCACGCACTTTTTACGTGGTAGAGCCTAGGTGTCTTCAAGACAAAAGGAAATAGGCTTTTGTGTCAGTGGGTGTTACCATCTTCGACTGAATCACCACTTACCATTAAGTGGGATAGCAGTCAAGCGCTCGCTTAGAATAGTAAAAAAATAAAAAGAATCTAATTGAATTTACATTTTAAAATATATAAGTATTTCTATCCACAGTTAACAATAGAACACAATCCAAACACATTAAATATGAAGCGAGGTCCATCAGCGAAAATACCAACCGATAGACAAACAGAATGCGACGATCGACCTAAACTTGAAGGCAAGTCACCGATAGAGAGGAAAATTTACAAAGAAGACTTAAAGAAACACATTCCTAACAGACATTCCAACGACAATGGGGACCAAAGAACTGATAAGAGAGACTCTGAAGAGGGTGTAGTTAAGAAAGAAAGACTGTTTAAGAGGAAAGGGGAAGATGGTGGGAAGAGAGTAATCAAAAGGCGGCAGACGCCGTCCTCTCCGCTCTTGGGTGATAAAGAACGAAGCAGTAGCATGTCGAAATTGCTAGATGTGTAAGTAAAAATAATTTTGTACTTTTTACCTTCTATTTACTGTGTAAGAATGGCCATTACCCCTATAGTCCCGTGGGTGTCGAAAGAGGCGCCAGAGGGAAATTGAAACAGGAGATGGGCAGCACAACCATTTTGATAACAACTAAAAATTATAAAAAACTGTGATTTGCCGCACAGATGGTCTCATAGAGGTATTAAAAAAACCTCTATGAGACAATCTGTGGCGGAGGTCTATATCGTACTACATAATGGATGTATGGAATGGAAACTATTAGAAGTCTTGACACTAGCGATTATGAATCTAATTCAATAACATGCCTTTCATATCGAAAAATATTTGGTTGTCGATTAAAAATTCGCTAAGTTTTTTCCGGATGATTAAATTATAATTTTTTTATCTTGATGAAAGCCATTCGTTTAAAATGTTTATTGCGTACATTATGTATGCGCATTGCGCATATTTTTTTTCTCAGACGTGAAAAAAGAGCATATACTATTCCAAGAAGTATAACAACACTTGAGCGGCAAAATCGTGTCTAAAATAATCTGTAATTGATTGCATTCAGTAACGTGGACGGTGTGGAGACGAGCGGAGTGCTGTGCGACTTGAGCCGCGCGCGCTCGTTCCGCGCCGAGCCCGCACAGGGACAGAAGGTGTTCCGCGCCTCAGACTTGTTGCAGGTGAGCAGCCGTTATACTCGCAGCTCTTTGGCTGGGACAAAAAAGTCCGTCCCTCACGTGTCTTTTAGATGCTAGAGTCACGCTGCAGCGTATATTACCTGCTGCAGGAATGCTCGGTGCGACAGGAAAGAACCAAACCCGCACAGAATATTAACGCGAAATAGCAGCATAATGCTGTTGTGTTCCGTTTGGTGAGACCCTCTTTATTGGTAATATGAAATTCTATCTAAATACTCAGGGCTGTGCCGTGTAGTGGCGGTTAAGAATATCCACTACTCCATCTTCCCGTGGGTGTCGTAAGATTCGACAATGGAAAACAGACAGGAGATGAGTAGCAGCATCTTCCTGATAAAAATTTAAAAATTACAATAAAAAAACTGCGGTTGCCAACCCGCTCGCCAAGCGTGGCAATTATGGCAAATATCCCCCATGATGAGAGTAACAAAGAGACGGCCCCCAGTCCCCGGCGGCCCCGCTATTCCTGGCTACGGTGGCGACCATGGTAACGGCGGGGCAGGAGGTGCTGAGAATCTCCGGTGGAGGTTCGGTTGCCACCTAAGACGACTCGACCTGGTAACATACAACGCACGCACCCTGAGGACTGACGAGAAGATTGTGCAGCTGGAAGAAGAGATAGACAAGTTACGCTGGAATATCATAGGATTATCCGAGGTCCGAAGAGAGAGGGAGGACACGGTAATCCTCGAATCCGGCAACTTGTTATATCACCGGGAGGGCGACCATCTGTCCCAAGGAGGTGTCGGATTTATCGTCCACAAGTCTCTCGTTAACAACGTTGTAAAGATTGGGAGCGTGTCGACGAGGTTTGCGTACCTTATACTCAGAATCACCAAACGGTATTCGCTGAAGGTCACACAGGTTTACTCACCAACCTCGGCATACCCCAATGAGGAGGTGGAGGAAATGTATGAGGAAATCTCTTAAGCCATGCATTCCTTCAAAACCCACTATACGGTGTTAATGGGAGACTTCAATGCAAAACTAGGCACAAGAGAGAACGGTGAGCTGAAAGTAGGGAAATTTGGAATAGGGCAACGGAACCCAAGGGACCAGAAGCTGGCCGACTTCATGGAGAAAAAGGGACTCTTTATGATGAACTCTTTCTTCCAGAAGCGGCCCCACGGGAAGTGGACCTGGTCGAGCCCCGACGGTTCGACAAAAAATGAGATTGACTTCATTATGACGACCAGACGATAACTGTTCAGTGATGTGTCCGTGATCGCGAGGGTGAAAACTGGTAGCGATCACCCAATGGTTAGAGGCACACTGAACCTAAACGTTAAGTTGGAGAGGTCTCGTCTATTGAAGTCAACGCTTCGTCCCCCTCGTGCTCTATTCCAAAGTCCCGAAACCTTTCCGCTCGAGTTACAAAACCGTTTTCAGTGCTTAGAAGACTGCAAAGAAGTGTACGATATGAATGACAAGCTCATGGAAACTGTCCATGCGGTTGGAGCTAAGTTCTGCAAGACCCACCGCAGAAGAACACAAAAACTCTCCGATCAAACTCTTACTCTCATGGCTGTTAGACGGGAGATGAAGCTACAGTCTTCATCAGATTTGACAGCATACAGGCAACTGAACAGACAGATCTCCAAATGCATTCAGCGGGAATTGCGTAGCTTCAATACAGCTTGTATTGAAGAAGCGATCGAGCGGAACCAAGGCTCCAAAGTCTTTGCCAGAGATCTGTATGCCAGAAAGAGCCAACTGTCAAAGCTAAGGAGCGAGTGTGGCAGCATCGTTTCCGGGACACCTGAGATTTTGAGTGAGATTAAGAGGTTCTATGGGCAGCGGTACACGTCATCGTTGGAGCCACACGTAAGTGTGAGTAACGATCCAAGAGCGAGTCTTATCCGACACTATTCCGAAGACATCCCGGACGTCAGTCTGAGCGAGATTAGAATGGCTCTCCAGCACCTTAAAAACGGCAAGCCCCCTGGTGAGGTTGGAATTACAGCGGAGCTTTTGAAAGCGGGTGGAAAACCGGTACTTGAAGTCCTTCAGAAGCTCTTTAATTCCGTCCTCCATGGTGGCACTACTCAGGAGGCGTGGAGCAGAAGTGAGCGTGAGCGTGCGGTGGTCTTGTTCTTCAAGAAAGGCGACAACGCTCTCTTGAAGAACTATAGACCGATTTCCCTTCTGAGCCGCGTCTACGTGCTGTGTTCAAGAGTCATTACAGACTTGACGACTTTCAGCTTCCCGAACAAGCCGGTTTCTGAAAAGGCTTTAGTACCATGAACCACATACATACCCTGCAGCAGATTGTACAGAAGACAAAACAGTATAATCTGCCACTTTGCCTTGCGTATGTGAACTATGAGAAAGCCTTTGATTCTGTCGAAATTTGGGCGGTGCTGCAGTCCCTTCAGCGGTGCCAAGTTGACCGTCGGTATATCGAAGTGCTGAAGTGTTTGTACAGTAGAGCTACGATGGCTATCCGTGTACAGAATCAGAGTACGAAACCTATCCAACTGCAGAGAGGTGTAAGACAGGGTGACGTTATATCCCCGAAACTCTTCACCGCTGCATTGGAAGACGTTTTCAAGCTACTGGACTGGAAAGGATACTGTATTAACATCAATGGCGATTGCATCATTCACCTTCGATTTGCCGACGTTATAGTCCTTATGGCAGAATCGCTGGAGGACCTAAGTAAGCCCTATGCTCAATTACCTCAATAGTGTCTCCCAACGGATAGGTTTTAAGATGAACATGGACAAAACAAAAATCATGTTTAACGTCCATGTCACACCTATGCCGGTAGTTGTTGGGAGCACTAAGCTCGAAGTTGTTGACGAGTATGTTTACCTGAGACAAATAGTCCGACTAGGTAAGTCCAACTTCTACCGAGAGGTCAATCGGCGGATTCAACTCGGCTGGGCAGCGTTCGGGAAACTACGACACATCTTCTCGTTAGACATACCTCAAAACCTGAAAACGAAATTGTACAACTAGTGCGTGTTGCCAGTGATGACTCACGGATCTGAGACGTGGTCCTTCACTGCTGGCCGTATGAGGAAGCTCAAGGTCGCTCAGCGAGCTAGGCTGGGCAGCGTTCGGGAAATTACGACACATCTTCTCGTTAGACATACCTCAAAACCTGAAAACGAAATTGTACAACCAGTGCGTGTTGCCAGAGATGACTTAAGGATCTGAGAAGTGGTCTTTCACTGCTGGCCGTATGCGGAAGCTCAAGGTCGCTCAGCGAGCTATGGAGAGGGCTATGCTCGGGGAACTTAGAAATGAGGATATCCGCAGTAGAACCAGAGTAACCGACATAGCCTAACGCATTAGTAAGCTGAAGTGGCAGTGGGCCGGCCATATAGCTCGAAGAACCGACAACCGATAGGGAAGAAAGGTTCTCGAGTGGCAGCCTCGTACCGGTAGGCAAAGTGTAGGGCGACCCCCCACTAGATGGAGTGACGACCTGGTAAGACATGCAGGAAGCCGATGGATGCAGGTGGCTCAGGACCGTGCTTAATGGCATTCCTTGGGAGAGGCCTATGTTCAGCAGTAAACTTATGAAGGGCTGTAAAGATGACTCAGAGCTGATAACATATCTATATTTTAATTATAATCCAGGCTTCTGGAACTCAAAAGATTTACTTGGAGATGTTTTTACGAAATAGAAAAATTAAATGATTAAATCTTGACTTTGATAATTTTGGATTTGATTAATGGATCTCTATCCTAACCAGGCGAAGCCGAGTTGTGTCGCTAGTAAAAACTTTAAACCGGCTTTAAAGAACTTAAGTACTAAAACACTACTATTTTCGTATAACATTATTTTACAAGGCAAAAATTCAATAAATTACTTTCTATTTCATCGAAAATCGAAATTGCTCATTTGCTATTTTTAATATTTGGACAAGCAAAAAAAAATCTCCATTCACTAATATCACTAAACAGTCATGAATATATTTTTTTCTACAGTAATTGACACAAATATACTTAGAAGTTATTTATACTCCACTTAGTTCGATTTGCCATGGCCCTGTATGTCCAAGAGTTGTTTATTTATAAATGAACATCGTTTAACAGGGCGAGCTTCTAGGCTCCGGGTTCTTCGGGCAGGTGTATAAGGTGACCCACCGCGACACGAACGAAGTGATGGTGCTTAAGCAACTTTACCGTGTCGATGAAGACGCGCAGAGAAACTTTTTAAAAGAGGTGAATTATTATGTTGTAAACACTTTGAAGTATACTTGATTTCTTTATGTAGAGTAACTTATAGATCCGAACAAAAGAAAAGAGAAATCTACGCTCTTTCCCTGTGCCTTTATATACTGTTTTGATCAATGAGCAAAATCAGTTAAATAATCACAAAGATATCGTGTGGCTAATGTTTTAAGTGGGTTAATCAAATCGACTAAATTCGTGAAATAGTATAGGATGATAATACCTTTAGGACAATCTGATAGGTGTCATTTGTTGTGACTCCCATGTGCAGGTGGCGGTACTGAGGTCGCTGCAACATCCCAACGTGCTCCGCTTCGTGGGCGTGCTGTATAAGGATAAACGTCTACATCTCGTCACGGAGTACGTCGCTGGTGGTACACTGCATCAGTTATTACAAGTTAGTAGAGTATATTTTTGAAGTAAAACTTCTTTAGGCACGACTTAAAGGTAACTGTCGATATTCCACGCATTAGAACCAGACGGTTTGTTTCGACTTTTGTAATACGTACACAGCAAAGTAGTGGAATAATTTGCCGGCGTCTATCTTTCCGTCTGAATACCTGGGCGTCTTCAAGGCAAGAGTGAATAGGCTTTTGTTATGCTAAAACAGTGTGATTTGCCATCTTAGGCTGCATCACCACTTACCACCCGGTGGGATTTTGGTCAAGCACTGGCTTATAAGTGAATAAAACAGATCCTTTTTTGGATGGAAGTAACTAGAGAGTCCATATGATGGTAAGTCCATCAGGTGGACTATGTGCTCGTTTGCCCCCTTATACATATACTACATTTATAAAAAAAGACCGATACAATTTGTCCAAAGGAGAAAAAGCTTTATAAATGTAAATTAAGATTGCGTCTTTTTTGCATCAATAATTTGAACGTTATCTATTTTTATGCCTACACATTTTATTACTTGACAGAGGCCATTGACCCTTATTATCGGGTACATTCTCCAGCAACGTGATGCAATGCGCAACTGGGTGTAGTAACGATATTAAGAAGCGCTTCCACTTGCAGGACAGTCGCCGTCCGCTGGGCTGGGCTCGGCGTGCAGCACTAGCGCGTGACGTGGCGGCGGGCGTGGGCTACCTGCACCGCATGAACGTCATACACAGAGACCTCAATTCGCACAACTGCCTCGTCAGGGAGGTTAGCTTTATGAATTAAACTGTATTTATAAGCAATTTTACTTATGTATCCTGGATCAAATTCTCGGAAAAAAGTGTTAGCTGACGTACCTTACACACTATGGCGTCAGTAACCAGATACCTAATTATCTAGATCTACCTATAAATAATAATATCTTACCTTTCGGTATCCTTACGAACAGTAAAGAATGAAAAGTCGACATTCCTATTGCTATTTAAGCACCCGTATGCTATGCAGTACCTTTTGGCTTTTTGAGAGGCCATATTCGAATAAAACTCAAAAATATCAAAAGTGTTTATTTATTTATTTATTTATTTATTTATTGACACACCAACAGCATAACATACAAAACATTACAATAATCTTCGTCTTATAAATAGTTTGGTATGCATGCCAATTACTGGTGCATACATCACTCTCATTAGAAGACATTAAATTAATTTAAGTTCAAAATAAATTTCAATTTACAAATTTTGAGTTGCAGCAAATTAATAAGTAAAAATCAAAAATCAAAAATCAAAAGTATAACAAAAAGAAGAATTTTAGTAGCATAAATATTAAATTACAAATCTAATTTACCAACAAAAATGTGCGGTAAGCTTTTTTTTCAGATTTGTCACTGAGTCATGAAAAATATCAAAATCTTTAATGGACGCGGAAAATCGATTGTACTCAGAACACATCCTTGATAATGGAGAATGTTTTAGAGCATTTGTTCTACTTACTGGTACAACAAGTATGTTAGTGAGAGGATTTCGTGGATATCTGTACGGGATTTTGAAATTTATTTCATTAAGCAATTCACTGCATGCCATCTGTCCTGACAACAGCTTTTTGAGGAATGTTATATCTAATATTATGCGGCGATTATAAAGTGACATCATTTTAAAGTGTTTCAGCCGCAAGTCATAGGTGGCCTTATGAGAGATGCCGGAAGTGTGATATGTCAGGTATCTAGTAAAGGATCTTTGTAGTCTCTCCAGACGTTGAGATGGTGCCGCGTATTGGGGACTCCACACAACTGATGCAAATTCTAGTTTGCTGCGAACCAGTGAGTTATAAAGGATTATTTTGGTTTGAGGAGAAACAAATCCTTTGGTATTTCTTTTAAGGAAACCTAACATCCTGGCCGCTTCTTTTACAGTTTTGTCCATGTGCACTTTGAATTTCAATTTCGTGTCCATTGTTACGCCCAAATCTCGAATCTCCTTAACCTCCTGTAACGTATCTAGCTCTAATTTATACGATGATGGCAATTGAACTTTTTTCTTTGTGTACTTAATGTGGTAAGATTTCTTCGTATTAATAATCATGCCGTTCAATTTGCACCACATATTTATTCCATCGAGATCAGCTTGGATGAGCTCCACATCATTATTTGAAGTAACGGTTTTGAATATTTTTAAATCATCGGCAAAAAGTGAGTATTTACAGTAATTTATAGATGAGGTAATGTCATTTATAAACACCGAGAAGAGAACAGGGCCTAAGTGGGATCCCTGTGGTACTCCTGAACATGCAACATACTCATGTGATATGTGACCGTTCAGCACCACAAACTGAAGTCTTTTTGCTAGGTATGAATTAAACCATTCCAGTAAGGTCCCACCAATACCAGACCCGCTCAATTTATGTATAAGAAGCGAGTGACACACCTTATCAAAAGCGCTCGAGAAATCCATGTATATACAGTCTACTTGTTGGCGTCTATCTATTTCTTTACTTAGATAGGACATAAATGACACCAAGTTCGTTTTGATAGAACGTCCTTTTCGAAACCCATGTTGAAATTCTGACATCCGACTTTCCAAGTGGCGCGTGACAATTGGGCAAACAAGGGATTCAAACAGCTTAGGTATACAAGAAAGTATGGATATAGGACGGTAGTTTTTGATGTCACTGCTGTCACCCTTCTTGTACACTGGAACGATCTTAGCTTTTTTCCACAATTCAGGAAATACCCCGTCATGCAAAGATCTATTGAAAAGAAGTGACAGTGGCAGAGTAAGAGTAGGACCGCAGCGCTTTACAAAAACAGGAGGGATCTCATCCGGACCGGCACCCTTGAAGATATCTAGTTTTTTAATGGCACGTTTAATTTCATGTTCACTGAATCTAATTACACTCAAATATGGCAAACCGTGCACTGCGGACTCTAGGCTATCAGGTAATACTGTGTTACTAAACACTGATGAAAAATTTTTAGCAAATAGTTCTGCAATTTTTGTACCAGTGTTTGCAATTTCGTCATCAAGGCTCATTTCGGCAGGTATAGTAGTTTCACCACCTCGCCTATCCTTAATATAGTTCCAGAAATATTTAGGATTCCTGACAATATTACCCTCGACCCGTTTTTTATAACTTTGTAGGCATGCGTCTATTATTTTCTTACTTCGCTCACGAAGTAATTCATACTCCAACCTATCGCGTGGATTTTTGTATTTCACAAATTTTTTTCTCTTGCTTTCTTTTTCCAAGATTATTCTGATCAGAGACCTGCTAAACCATGAGGGGAACCTGCTTTTTTTTGGCTTCAAAATAGGGACGTATGTTTTCACGGCATTGTTTAAAATACGGTAAAATACTGTGGTCATCTCGTTAACGTTTTGACACCTATCGAACTGTTGTGACCAATTAATTTCCCTAAGATGAGCCAAGATTAGATCATAGTTCGCTTTGAAAAAGTTGTGTCGAGGTTTTTGGGCTGGTTTAAGTAAGTTCGGTTTTAGTTCCGGTACAGTAATCAATAACGGAGGATGCTTTCGGTCAATTTTACTTATAACATTTAAGGAGTTAGAAACCTCTAAAGGAACACAGTTGGTTAGAACAAGGTCCAGCACTCTGCCATCCTCGTTAGGAATAGGGTTCATTTGTGTAATATTATTTAGCGCCATGAAATCAGTGAGTGCCAGACCCTGTGGTGAATCATAATTAAATGCACTGCATGAAACACCGTCCACACTGCGAGACCAACCAATGAAGCCCATGTTGAAGTCTCCCAACATTATAACTTGATCAGCTTTGTCCAAAATATCGTTAGTATGCTCTAAAAACCGAGTAAGGCTTTCCAGGTTTACTGGTGGAGGAAGGTATACCACACAAATTAGTATTTTGGTAACAATGTTATTTGTTTTTATATCAATTGAGACCCATAGATCCTCCGCATCGCTCTCCCAGCTTGAATGTCTGAAAGACGGTATATCCCTAGAAACAGCGACTAAAACCCCCCCTCCGTCTTTTTTAGTAGTTTCTGAGCACAATCGATCTCTCCTATAAACAATATAACGCTTATCTATAATTTCTAAGTTCGTTATATTGCTATTGAGCCACGTTTCAGTAAATACAATTACGTTGTAGTTATTAATCAGAATATTTTTAAAGACATCCTCTGTTTTAGTTCTTAAGCCCCGCACATTTTGATAATAAATATTTACAGGCATTGTGGCAAAAATTACTATTGACTACTACTTGGCTAATTTTAAAGCAATAACTTTAAGCTTTCGTCGTCTTTAATATAAATAGCATGACTTTGTTCGTTTTTCCTCGCAAGAATTCTTCCATCCCGTATCCACACAAACATGAACCCAGCCTCCTTGGCTTTCTTTCGGGCTGCAGCATGTAAATGTTTATTTGTGGGCGTCAGGTGTTCAGATACGAATACGGGCTCGCGACGTCCTCCGAGTCCAAGATGCTCGGTGTTGAGCTTATTATCCTTGTTCTTTTTGTTGAATCGTGTCACTGCAGCCAATAATTCATCGCGGTGTCGCTGACTGCGAAGCTTTACGATGACAGAACGAGGACGATTGCTCTCCTTGTTTAATTTGGCAATTCTTGTTACATGTAATATATCAGATTCAGCAATAGGACTCTCGACAATTCTACCAAGTTGTTCAACAGTGCTCAGGAGGTTCTCTGACTTGTGTTCGGGAATACCTGTAATTTCCACGTTACAAACGCGCATATTTCGCTCTATCTGCCCCAGTCTGTCCGTCAGGTTTTTAACCTGTGTTGTTAATTTTTCGTTCTTTGAAACCAGTCTATTGATTGTTTCTGATTTCTCGTTAACAGACTGCATAAGATCATCGTATTGTTTGCTTATAAATGACAGGGACTCTTGAAACCCAGATACTTGAAGGTTTAAGTTCGCTAGGTGCTCGGATACTAGAGATTTAATAGTGTCAGTAATTTCCTGTTTTATAATCATGCGCAACCTCTCCTCAGTTACACAAGAATCGCTGTTACCAGACTTGGAACATTTATTTTTTATTCTCGTAGTAACATTACTCTCCTCACTAGGACTCAGGATGGAATCTTCCTTAGAAGCAATGGGATGATTAGTTATACGTACAGGAGTATTCGAATTACCTGTTTTTGGTAGCTTACTGCGACATTGTTGGCAGTTCCATTTATTCCTACTTTCTGCATCCATCTGATAGAAGTGTTTAGATGTCAAGTTTGCGCAAAGCAAATCGTATCCAAGCTTACACGTGACACAAATCATATACTCCCTCCTTGGCAGAGAATTATGACACCCGGCACAAGTCTTCTGTGACGACATCGTATATAACCAATTTTTAAAACGTTGTAATTATTAAAGAGAAAAAATAAAATAAAATAAAATAAAATAAAATAAACCAAAAAAAAAAAAAAACTTTATGCGGGGATTTGATCTTACGCCCTAACGAGTGTTGTGTTAGCCGTTAAACTATGTGCAAGCCACTAGACCACTAAGTAACTGATCATAAGTTGCGAAATTTTTAATTCGTATGAACTTTTTACGATTTCTTCTCAATAACAATGAGTAGATAATAATGAGTACAAAGTCCAATCCTTTGTTCACAGTTAAATTTTTCCGTTAGCAATGGATGATTTCAAAACTACTTTTTAGTTTTAGCACTTATTCAGACACTTTTTAATTACCGTTTTACAACACTTCGTCAGCTTTTTATCTATTGAACACTCTGATACAACTCAATACTAAAATTTTGTAGATATTTCACCATTTATCAATTTTTTTCTTCCACAATTACAGAAACACGTCTTCTCTCAACAAGCGCCCGGGTGAATCTCAGTGTTCAAATACTTATAAGAGAAAAATCATTTTTGTTAGTAACGCGCTCGTTAGTTCGAGCGCGCGCCTTTTAACCTCACAGAATTAGCCCCTTAGCGCAACGCAGCATAGGTACACTTTCATGCCTGGTAATATTTTCGCTGTATGTATCCAAAATATAGAATTATTAAATGATTATAGTTATCTCCGATTACGAATCAAAATGTACATGCGTTGTCACCCGTGACGACTACGATGGAATGCCTCGTTTCCAGTAAAAAGGGCCTCCTGAACCGCAGATTCTTTTCCTCAGACAAAGGAAAAGAATCGGCGGTTCTCTACACTCACCATATGAAACACGGCAGCGTTAAGCTGCTATTTCACGTTGGTATTCTGTAAGAGCGTGGTACTCCCCTGGTCGAGCCGACCAATTCGTGCTGCAACTATATAGGTGCAGCATGACTCTACCACGTATATTATTTTTAAAATGTGTTGAAAATTGCTTAGGACCAGACAGTGATCGTGGCGGACTTCGGGCTGGCGCGCATCGTGCAGCGCACCGCCAGCAGCTCGCTGCAGCGCGCGCCGCACGCGCACGCCTCGCTGCGCCGCAAGCGCTACACGGTACCGTCCCGCTCGCACGCACGCACCACCACTGTCCCTGTCCCGCTCGCACACCACCCACCTCGATATAGGCGCGCATCGTGCAGCGCACCGCCAGCAGCTCGCTGCAGCGCGCGCCGCACGCGCACGCCTCGCTGCGCCGCAAGCGCTACACGGTACCGTCCCGCTCGCACGCACGCACCACCACTGTCCCTGTCCCGCTCGCACACCACCCACCTCGATATAGGCGCGCATCGTGCAGCGCACCGCCAGCAGCTCGCTGCTGCGCGCGCCGCACGCGCACGCCTCGCTGCGCCGCAAGCGCTACACGGTACCGTCCCGCTCGCACGCACGCACCACCACTGTCCCTGTCCCGCTCGCACACCACCCACCTCGATATAGGCGCGCATCGTGCAGCGCACCGCCAGCAGCTCGCTGCAGCGCGCGCCGCACGCGCACGCCTCGCTGCGCCGCAAGCGCTACACGGTACCGTCCCGCTCGCACGCACGCACCACCACTGTCCCTGTCCCGCTCGCACACCACCCACCTCGATATAGGCGCGCATCGTGCAGCGCACCGCCAGCAGCTCGCTGCAGCGCGCGCCGCACGCGCACGCCTCGCTGCGCCGCAAGCGCTACACGGTACCGTCCCGCTCGCACGCACGCACCACCACTGTCCCTGTCCCGCTCGCACACCACCCACCTCGATATAGGCGCGCATCGTGCAGCGCACCGCCAGCAGCTCGCTGCAGCGCGCGCCGCACGCGCACGCCTCGCTGCGCCGCAAGCGCTACACGGTACCGTCCCGCTCGCACGCACGCACCACCACTGTCCCTGTCCCGCTCGCACACCACCCACCTCGATATAGGCGCGCATCGTGCAGCGCACCGCCAGCAGCTCGCTGCAGCGCGCGCCGCACGCGCACGCCTCGCTGCGCCGCAAGCGCTACACGGTACCGTCCCGCTCGCACGCACGCACCACCACTGTCCCTGTCCCGCTCGCACACCACCCACCTCGATATAGGCGCGCATCGTGCAGCGCACCGCCAGCAGCTCGCTGCAGCGCGCGCCGCACGCGCACGCCTCGCTGCGCCGCAAGCGCTACACGGTACCGTCCCGCTCGCACGCACGCACCACCACTGTCCCTGTCCCGCTCGCACACCACCCACCTCGATATAGGCGCGCATCGTGCAGCGCACCGCCAGCAGCTCGCTGCAGCGCGCGCCGCACGCGCACGCCTCGCTGCGCCGCAAGCGCTACACGGTACCGTCCCGCTCGCACGCACGCACCACCACTGTCCCTGTCCCGCTCGCACACCACCCACCTCGATATAGGCGCGCATCGTGCAGCGCACCGCCAGCAGCTCGCTGCAGCGCGCGCCGCACGCGCACGCCTCGCTGCGCCGCAAGCGCTACACGGTACCGTCCCGCTCGCACGCACGCACCACCACTGTCCCTGTCCCGCTCGCACACCACCCACCTCGATATAGGCGCGCATCGTGCAGCGCACCGCCAGCAGCTCGCTGCAGCGCGCGCCGCACGCGCACGCCTCGCTGCGCCGCAAGCGCTACACGGTACCGTCCCGCTCGCACGCACGCACCACCACTGTCCCTGTCCCGCTCGCACACCACCCACCTCGATATAGGCGCGCATCGTGCAGCGCACCGCCAGCAGCTCGCTGCAGCGCGCGCCGCACGCGCACGCCTCGCTGCGCCGCAAGCGCTACACGGTACCGTCCCGCTCGCACGCACGCACCACCACTGTCCCTGTCCCGCTCGCACACCACCCACCTCGATATAGGCGCGCATCGTGCAGCGCACCGCCAGCAGCTCGCTGCAGCGCGCGCCGCACGCGCACGCCTCGCTGCGCCGCAAGCGCTACACGGTACCGTCCCGCTCGCACGCACGCACCACCACTGTCCCTGTCCCGCTCGCACACCACCCACCTCGATATAGGCGCGCATCGTGCAGCGCACCGCCAGCAGCTCGCTGCAGCGCGCGCCGCACGCGCACGCCTCGCTGCGCCGCAAGCGCTACACGGTACCGTCCCGCTCGCACGCACGCACCACCACTGTCCCTGTCCCGCTCGCACACCACCCACCTCGATATAGGCGCGCATCGTGCAGCGCACCGCCAGCAGCTCGCTGCAGCGCGCGCCGCACGCGCACGCCTCGCTGCGCCGCAAGCGCTACACGGTACCGTCCCGCTCGCACGCACGCACCACCACTGTCCCTGTCCCGCTCGCACACCACCCACCTCGATATAGGCGCGCATCGTGCAGCGCACCGCCAGCAGCTCGCTGCAGCGCGCGCCGCACGCGCACGCCTCGCTGCGCCGCAAGCGCTACACGGTACCGTCCCGCTCGCACGCACGCACCACCACTGTCCCTGTCCCGCTCGCACACCACCCACCTCGATATAGGCGCGCATCGTGCAGCGCACCGCCAGCAGCTCGCTGCAGCGCGCGCCGCACGCGCACGCCTCGCTGCGCCGCAAGCGCTACACGGTACCGTCCCGCTCGCACGCACGCACCACCACTGTCCCTGTCCCGCTCGCACACCACCCACCTCGATATAGGCGCGCATCGTGCAGCGCACCGCCAGCAGCTCGCTGCAGCGCGCGCCGCACGCGCACGCCTCGCTGCGCCGCAAGCGCTACACGGTACCGTCCCGCTCGCACGCACGCACCACCACTGTCCCTGTCCCGCTCGCACACCACCCACCTCGATATAGGCGCGCATCGTGCAGCGCACCGCCAACAGCTCGCCTTGTCCCGTTTGACGCCGATACACCCCACCTGTATTACTTGCTTATTTCGCTCGCATCCCACCCCGATACACCGTACCTGTTTCACTAGCTCATACACTATGCTAGTCTTAATCGCACCTCACTCCGATTCACCATACCCATCTCAGTCATTCATACACAGTACTTGTCTGCACAGCATCTCACCCCGAAACATCGGACCTGTCCCACTAGCTCATACACTGTGCTAATTCCGCTCGCACACCACCCCTATACACTCCAACTGTGTTACTCGCTCATACACTATGGTCGTCTCGTTCGCATAAGATGACCTCATGATCAGCAAACGCGCTTACGACTACTAGACCACCAAACAGTCGCTAATAGACTATACTAGTCACAGTCACACTATGTGCGAGCGAGACAAGTACACAGTGCTTGTCTCGCTCGCACACCACCCTGATACACCATACCTGCCTCACTCATTTCATACCTTACCCAGTAGTGTTTATCTGCCTCTTGTATCACATTGTATCACTTTTGAACTATTATATAAGGTAGTTGTCTCTCTTAGACTCGATATAGTTATCGATGTCTTCACACACTTCATGACTTAACATAGCCCAATAATAAATCTTTCATGTACCTAAAATATTGAAACACGTAAAATGAATATATGAATAACATGAGCATGAGCTATTCACACATTGTTAATTTTCTTATTTCGACTTATTTAACGCACACGCATCCATAAACGGACGCACGCACAGATGGACGCCAACCGAGGTTTTTTTTTCCAGAAATAGTTTACTGTTTCTTATTATTTTGGGTTGTTATCAAGAACATGCTGGCCATCTGCTCGATTGTTTCCCCCTGTCGCCTCTAACGACATCCACGGAATGATATGGTGTTGTGGATATATGTACACTTTCACTACACGGTTTACATCGCCACTACACCACTGAACCAGAAATTATAATCAGCCACAAATTTTTCAATATAGTAAACCAATTCAATATTATTTTAATTACACATTTTTTTTAATATTATTCAGTAATGGTTTCTTATATTTACGCGAAGACTACACATTAAATGAAACTAATTTTTACGGATTTTATCGCGTTTAATTTAACTTTTTAATCTCTGACGTTTCGGGTGCTTTACAGCACCCATGGTCATGGGGGGGGGGGGGGGGGCTGAGGTGTTTGACGTCCCGATGTCATAGTTAGCCCGGCTACCTTCAGTTTTTGAATATTAATTTTTGGTCCGTTCTACGCAGAATGAGCTTACAGTATCTTGAAGTCTTGCAGTGGTATGCTTGGATTTGCATTTAATTTTATTAATTATAGGATCCCAAGCAAATGGCAGCACCCATGCATCTTCTCTATTGAAATTAGGATTTTTTTAATAGAAATAGAAAGTAGAAATCGGTGTTCTTTTGCGAGGACTTGTGGTCTATCAAATATAATGTAATTGCGGGGACGATCTTGAACATGTTCACACACTTCAGACTTCCCGGAACGTCGGTGCTTCAAGTCCGCTATATGTTAACGTCGCGAATTAAAAAGTTAAATTAAACGCGATAAAATCCGTAAAAATTTGTTTCATTTAATATTATGCAGTAATTGTTTAATCATAATTTTTAACAGTGGTAGAGCCACGCGGCAGCTTTTGCTATCGCACGAATGGGCCGGCTCGAACCGGGGTAGTACCACGACCTCACAGAAAACCAGCGTGAAGTAGAGGTTTACCTCTGCGTTTCGCTTGGTGATTGCAGGTGTTAGGTGCAGTTTTTACTGGAAATGAGGCATTCCATCTTAGTCCTCACGGGTGACAACGCATCTACATTTTGATACGCAAACGAGGATAGATGTAGATGTCTATGGGCCGCAGCAACCACTTACCATCAGGTGGACTGTGTGCTCGTTTGTCACCCTTATCCTATAAAAAAAATGCTGAACAAACCTTGTATATTATCTGGAGGCTTATTACAGAAATTAAGAGTATGTATTATTATTTTAACAGGCTTTTGAATAAGTTCTAATTATTTAAGCACGTATTAAAGTTGTTGTTTCTTTTTATAATAAATTATTCATTTCTAAAGGTGGTGGGGAACCCTTACTGGATGGCTCCGGAAATGATGAATGGAAATGTATATGATGAGAAGGTGGATGTGTTCTCCTTTGGCATCATACTGTGTGAGGTAGGTATAGAAAAAGCACTTGATTGACCACGCCTTACCACCCTTGACTCTTAAATACTAATATAATCTTAACACTAACACACAATAATTGTAGAGCCACACTGCAGCTGTATTAGACTGGCCTGTTGGTCTAGTGGTTAGTGACCCTGACTGCTATGCCGGAGGTCCTGGGTTCGATTCCCACCCAGGACAAATGTTTGTGTGATGAGCACGATCATTTGTTCTGTGTCTGGGTGTAATTTATCTATAATATTTATGTATTTAGAAATATATAAGTATGTTTATCAGTTGTCTAGTACCCATAACACAAGCTCTGCTTAGCTTGGGACTAGATGGCGTTGTTTGATTGTTGTGGAATATTATTATATTATATTACTAGCTGTGCCCGCGGCGTAGCTCGCGTATACAGGTTTTACATAAAGAATTTGTCGTTTAGGTAAGAGAATATTAAACGATTTATTTCATTACTGTATCAATAAGTGGTAACAAAATAAATCATTATCATCAAAGTTCTAAGTCGTTTATGATAGAGCTTCTGTGTAAACGACGTTAGAAGTAGGCTTAGCCGGGGTATACACAAAAAGGTTACGGGGGCTACTAACGCGGGAAAAAGCAACATAGAGTTGGCCATGTGCAAAACAGTCAGTACTGAGGTACACTCCTACAACGCGTAAAGTTTGACCTTGCGCTTTATTTATGGTCATCGCATAACACACACTCACTGTAACTGGGAACTGAACGCGCTTAAAACTGAAAGGAAAGTTACTTCTTAATAGAGGGTTTTTGGGCAGTGCTGCCAAATAAAAAAAAACTCATTCAGCTCTAAGAACACAAAAAGCGCTAGATTTCATGAAAACAGCACTTTATAAAAGCCCTAGATTTCGCGCTAAATTAACTACAAACAAAGTTTGTGTTTTTTTTATATAATCATAATAAAGAAAACAACATTAAGTTTTTTTTCTGGCAATATTTTTTTGATGTATCAATACTTCGCAGGACATCGACTTATAATTATAGCAATTGCTGTCAACAGTAGTTAGTAGGTACTGTACGAACAATAAAAATGTCATTAATTGTTTTAAAGTGCAATGTATTTCGCAACTTAGTTTCAGATGTCAGCATCTGATTGCGGTTGCTACACAGTTTCTTTGTGTTTTAACTTCTAAGTAACTTTTAACTTAGCTGTGCTCTAAGCAACTGACTAAAACTGAATAAAGCAAAATAAATGCGTTGCCAAAACCATGAACGAAAACTTTGATAAAGGGGATTTCCCCGCTTATAGTCGTCGGTAAAAAAATCAAGTCCTAAAGGGGAAGCCAGGAGATCCATAGCACAGGGTATCCTAGTTTGGACTCGTCTCCCATGCTCTTTGTTTTGTTGAAAAAATATGTTTGAAAAAGATAAACTGCAATGTACTATTTGTGGGAAAAAATAATAAAGGTCATTATTATTATTATCGGTAATGTGGACTAACAGTGCTGCTATAAAAGAGACTACCGTAGAGAAGAGATAACCCGCTTGTCGCTAAAATATTGAAATGTGTGCTAAATACACCAAAAAGCGCTGGATTAAGCGCTAGGTGCTAAAATTTCGAAATGCGTGCTATACATTCCAAAAAAGTGCTAAATCTAGTTCCCAAAGCGCTAAAATGGCAGTTCTGATTTTGCGTATATTATAAATACAATATCACGACATTTCGTTGCAAAATTTTTATTTTTGGTCAGGTTCCGTTGTATGGCTTCGATGGACACAAATTTCTTCAGTAAGCCTCAATACGATTCATCGGCGAAAAATCTCAACACAGCAATTCAGAAAATTCTGTAATTTGTACAACTCCATCTATTACGTCCTTTGTGTGAGAAAACATCCTATCTCTTTTTGTGTTTTAAGTATAAATATATTAATTTTTATGGAACGTTTTTTTTTTACACAGAAATCTTTTTATTACTATTTCTGAGATTTTATGGCGCCATTGAACAAATTCGAACCTACATTTCATTATAATAATCATTACTTTCGATAGAATGAACCAATTTTAATAAAACAAAGATTAAATGTAACTCGAAGATACGCTTTATGATATTCTTAACGATTTCTTTGAAAATAAAAGATGTTTACTTTAGACGTGATGCGTTCATATAATAACAGACAAATAGACAGACAGACAATTCTAAAAATTATAAAATGTTCTTATTTAATTATTTTCAGTTCCACATAATGATTTTAGCCACCAAAATATATATACAATGTACAGAAAGAGACACAACATGTTATCATCATTTTTATTATATGTATATATTTAAAGAGAGATGGCGCTGCTAACATCATCAATTCTAAAAATAAAAGAGATTAATTGACGCGATTGATACATTATATAAAACGTAAGAGAACTTATAAATCAGTGCCTGCACAGTAAGCAAAAAATAAAGTTTGACTCTCGGCAAAACCAATGCAATTGTTAATAGCTCTTTTAAAATTTGATTTACCACATAGAGTACTCAGCGGTAAAGAATAAATTGAGTTTGTCAACACGCAGTAGGGCAGCGAGTAATATAATAAAGATTAGCAGTAAAAATGAAAACTCATCTACAGGAAAAAACCACATTTGCAATTGCATTACATTTTCACAACACCACCATCTATCGAAGAAATGGGTTAACTATTGTGCTTCAGATTTAGTTAATAAGGTTAATATATTTTTGTATAATATATTTAATACGTTCTTTATTACTTTTGTTTACTGCGTTTTAGATATACATAATTATATCATTATTTTACATAATTTAACTATGATTTATGATATGATATTAGTTTAAAATGCACTTGATGACTCAAACAAAGCCACCGTTGAGCAAATTCGTACCTATACTTACCTACCCATACTTCAGAATATTTATCATAACTTTTGATGGAATGAACTGATTTTAATGAAATAAAGACTAAATGTAACCCGAAGATACACTTTATAATTTCCTTAACAATTCTTATGATATAAATTAGTACTTTATATGTGATACGTTAACAAACAAACAGACAGACAGACAGACAGACAGACAGACAGAAAATTCTAAAAATGGTAGAAATGTATTTAATTACTTATTTTTAGTACCCCTCAATCACTTTTGTTACAAAAATATAAAATGTACAGACATCTGCTATTTACAGTTTTATTATATGTATAGATTATGGTTGTAGCACGAATGGCTCGACTCGACCGGGGTCACGCTCTCACAGTATACCAGCGTAAAATAGCAGCTTAATGCTGCTGTGTTTCGTATGCTGAGTGTAGAGAACCTGAGATTCTTTTTACTGGAAGCGATGCATTCTATCTTAGTCCTCAGGGGTGACAACGAATCTGCGTATTGACTTTTTATCGAGGATTGATTTATATGTCTACGATTGTTTTGACGATCACAGTACCATATTAGGGGATCGCAGTACCACATATTTTACACCTGGCATAAAGCGATGGTAATCGGACTTTTTTTTCCAATATATGATTCCCCTTACTACTCCCACGGGACTGTTTCGACATCCACGGGACGTAATGGGCTGCTAGATTCTCTTACTCTGTCATAACATTACCGTTATCGCTACAGCTGATTACTGATCAAGTCCACTGCTGAACATAAGCCATCCCCATAAGCATAGTTGCCACGCTTGGTAAGCTGGTTGGCAACCAATTTTTTAGGGTTCCGTACCTCAAAAGGAAAAAACGGAACCCTTATAGGATCACTTTGTTGTCCGTCTGTCTGTCTGTCAAGACCCTTTTTCTCAGGAACGCGTGGAGGTATCACGCTGAAATTCATATCAAATACTCAAGCTGTGAAAAAATCAAACTTCTAAGCCAACGCAATCAAAAGATACAGCCGTTTATGCCGTAAATTTTCGACATTCGCAAGGGAATCAAAACCTACAGGGTACTTCCCGTGAACTCAGGATCTTAATATTTGGTACTAAGCAACGTATTATAGCACAGATAAAGGAAAAATTGCGAAAAGCATAAATTTTTTGTTACTTCACATAATAAAAATATTTTTAATAATTTTAAACTTATATACCTACGGATTTGTTCAGAACCCTCGGTGCGCGAGTCCGACTCGCACTTGGCCGGTTTTTTATTTTATAATTTTGTTTCCTTTGTCGCCTTTTACGACACCCGCGGCATCCAGCGGGTGTCGTAAAAAATATCATCATATGGGACAGTAAATATTCTTATACCGCCACTACTCGGTAACATTACTTAATTTTTATTGATGTAATTTGTAGATAATTGGTCGCGTATCAGCCGACCCAGACTTCCTGCCGCGTCGCAGCGACTTCGGACTGAACGAGGCTTTGTTTATGGAGAAATTCTGCAAGCCCTCCGCTTGCCCGGAACCCTTCTACAGAATCGCATTCCTCGCCTGCCATCTTGATCCTGACACCAGGTCTCCTTAATCCTATATGTAAATTTTTGTTTTTGCAGCATTTCATTTAATATTTAACATTTAACACGTCACGTGGTACGTGTACGCGTAATCCGTCAACGGCCGAAGTTTGCTCGGGCGATGACTGCCGAACTCAGACGATCGAATGAAGTACTTGCAAAAGAAAGATAGTGCGTACCTAAACACGACCGTCATCGTCCGATGACGCACGAAATCGGCCGATCAACCGTTGAGTCCGAACTTGTTGGTATTTCTCGCCAGATTGCCGGCGTCTACAGTGCAAATTGAGTGTATTTATAGTTTAATTTAATAATTTTGTCTTTATTCTGTTGTTTTTGTCAGTGTTGTTATCTACCTAAACTACTATGGATATTTAAAATTAATTAGTTGTGTTTATAATAGACTTACAATAATCGAGGGGTTTCGGAACGGTTATGGGCTGAAGTTGGATCAGAAATGGATATAGCGGTTCCAGACATTAAAAAAAATCCGTCTTCACTCTGTTAAGCAACACAGTCAACTACAGAATACAGGCAACGTCCAACTCTGTTAAGTAACACAGTCAACTACAGAATACCGGCAACGTCTAATGTCTGCACACGTGGTATACTGTTGTAGTGTAAGCACATACACGTCCGAGTTACTCATCCGAGTAGTTCTGTTCGCCATCGGCCAATAAAATCGGTTTTGGTGTACACGTACAGTAAGAATATCCACTACTCCATATCGTAAAAGGTGACAGAGGGAACGAAACCAAGTAGCATCTTCTTGATAACAACTTAAAATTGTTAAAAAAAAACTGCAGTTGCCTGCCTGTCATGCGTGACAACTATGGGAAACGCTCCCCCCCCCCCCCCCCCATGAGGTATTGTTCTTTAGAGTGGTCTATGTTCAGCAGTAGACTTTTATAGGCTGTTTTTTATAGAATAAGGATGACAAGCGAGCATACAGTCCACCTGGTGGTAAGTGGTTGCCGTGGCCCGTAGACATCTACATCTATCCTCCTTTACGAATCAAAATGAAGATGCGTTGTCACCCGTGAGAACTAAAGTAGAATGCCTTTTTTCCAGTAAAAATGGTATCCGGTTATCTCCACTCACCATACGAAACACAGCAGCATTAAATAAAGCATAAATTACGTTATTTGAAACAATGAAAAACAATTTTAACTTATTTTAATTTGTTTAATCAGGCCACCATTCGAAGTAATGGAGATATGGTTAGAGAGCCTAGTCCTCCATCTGTCCAACGCAGGCCCGCTGCCGGCCACGCTGCTGGCCGACGTCGAGCAGTACGCGCGCGCCGCGCACGACGCGGGCGTGCCCGGCCGCGGCCACGCCACTCCCGAGAGCTGCCCGCACCACGACTCGGGCATCTTCTGCGCCAACCGCGACAGCTGCCACAGCTGCCACACTTGTCACACTTGCGGTTCCGCCCAGCGGCTTCAACGCTCCCCCAGCGGTGCTCCAAATCTCGACTTCACAGAGGGTGTTATTAAGGTACTTTGTGCTTAATTTTTTCTTATTGACGACCACGTGACCTAGTGGTCGGGGTAGTAGCCAAACGAGAGCAGAAACAGAAACTTTTTTAATATAATTTTTCAATATAGATTATAAATAATACTTATTGAAAGTCACTCTTTTGTTTAATTTGCGTTATTTAGTTCGGAAAAAAAAAACCTCTGTAATGGGAAGAACCAATAAGTGTCCCTGCGGGACTTATTTTTCAAAAATAAAACCAGTTTACAATCATATATGGTACACATTTAACAACACAAAACAAATTAGAAATAGCTTGGTAGCGATCACCTCACAGTTTACCTGATGGTGAGAGGATGCAATGGATCATAAATTACACATCTATCATAATCAAGAATCATAATGAGAGACAGTCCCCCGTGACAGTGCAGTACACGAATCGTCGGGAATAAACACGATCTGTAACTATGTATATAAACTAGTTTAATTCAAATGTTTAGTTTTTGCGTAAACATAAGAAATCATTAATAAAATCCGCCCAAGTGCGTGTCAGGCAACGCACAACGTAGAGGTAGGATTCCGTAGTAGCCCGTCATAATATGTGAAGTTAAAAGGGGCCTTCTTGATACTATGAGCATATTAAGTGAGTACAAAGACACCTGTTTAGTTGGTAAAGGGGGAGAGGGGTACACATGACTAATAAGAAATACCACTTTAAATCTAAATATTTCCCAAACAGGGGTCCCCTGAATCGAAAAACTTGTTACACACTCAATATTTTTGAAAAACTTATCCAACGACATGACACACAATGGAATAAACGGGTAAAAAAGTCCCGTCTTTTATTTGTATCCAAAATAAAAATGTTTTTCATGATTTTATTTCACTACTTTGTAGGCGTGATCAATATCTATTATAATGCTCTGAATTACAGCTTTGTAGCATGAGTCTTTGAATAAAACCGTGCATAGACATGGCGAAACTATAAGGGTTCATTGTTGTTTAACTACGGTACTTTAAAAACGGTGGAAGTGTCGTGAATGTATGTGTGCTTGTATGAATATGTGTGTACGTGGCCTGGGCTAGATGACACAATACTGTCCTGGAGAAGGTATCCGCTGGTAGCCTCGGAACTATTCCCCTCTTGAGGCACTCTTTCCGTTTTGTCACGTAATGGTACAGCCAAACGTAGAACTTCAGAGGAAAATCACTATCGGAGTTGCACAATTAATTTGACAGAAATTAATAAGTCCTAAAGAACAATACGTGTTCTCGCAACGATTTACGCGGGTTATACTTTCGTAACAAATATAGGCGCTAAACTAAGACGTCAGTATAGATCGCAAAAAACTTTACAATGCTTGTCGAGAAATCCGGCCGATACCGCTGTTGAATGCGGCCGGGTGGGGGGCGGGTGACCTTGCTGTCGATGCTACGAACGCACGTTAAAAGATTTACGTTTCAAATGTATAATATTTTTGCCTAAACAAACCCCCGCCCCGGACATAAGGAATTATGTCCGCGAGTAGATTGGCAAACGGGACAAGGTCGTGACGGCACGTTGCAAGACCGAATCTCCGACCAAAACCTCGGCCACTCTAGGCACCCCATCCGTTCCATACAACTTAACAATGCGCCCACGGCGCCAATACAAAGGTAGAGCGTTGGGTTCTTTGACCAACACGAGGTCTCCCACCCGAGGAGGTTCTGTCTTGTCAGACCACTTAATGCGCTGCTGCAAAAGATGTAGGTACTCCAGAGACCATCGGTGCCAAAAGCTCTGAGTCATCTGTTGCAGCAGAGCAAACCTGCTCAGCCGCGAAGCGCCCGTTTCCCTGAAGGGGTACTCGGGCAGAGCGTTAAGCGGCCGGCCAATCAGGAAGTGTCCCGGGGTTAGAACTCCAAATCATTCGGGTCGGATGAGAGGGGACAGAGGGGCCGAGAGTTGAGTACAGCCTCAATTTTACAGAATACAGTGGCGAGCTCCTCAAATGTCAAAATAGTTTCACCAATAACGCGACGGAGATGCGTTTTTGCCACTTTAACCACCGCCTCGAAAATACCGCCCCAGTGGGGACACGCCGGAGGGTCGAATTTCCACTGGATGCCCCTTTTTGACATAGCATTGCCTAAATAAGTCCGGTGGCTAGACAGAAATTCGACGACCTCCTTTAGATACCTATCCGTGCTCTTATAATTCGTTCCGCAATCCGACCGGATCAAGTCCGGCAAACCGCGTCGCGATACGAAACTGCCAAGCGTGGCCAAGAAGGCTTCCGTGCTGAGGGCGCTTACAAGTTCCAAGTGAACGGCTTTAGTGGAGAGGCACACGAAGACGCAAAGATAGGCCTTATGCGAACGCGCGTTACGAAGGTTAGAGGACTTGACGAGGAAGGGGCCAGCAAAGTCGGTTCCGACTCCAGCGAATGGTCGGATGGCCCTGACGCGGTCGGGCGGCAAGTCACCCATAAGAGGCTGCGATATGGTGGCCTACAGTTTATAAGGACACGGGCACCGTCCTTAGGGAGCAGCAACGGGTGTCAAGCCCCGTACGGCAGTTGAGAATTTTTCAAACGTTCGCCAACACGCAGCATCCCCGCGTCATCCAGAAAGAGGTTCAGGCGGGCCAGGGCGCACTTGATAACGGAGCCACGCTTCAAGTTTTCAATGACGGGCTCAAAATGCTCCGTTTGGACCATACGGGTCCAGTGCATCAAAGCTTCACGACGCTCGCTAGAGGACAAAACGCTATCAGAGAGTCGGTTGGACGGGTCTCTCGAATTGCGGACAAAGCGGCGCAACCAAGCAGTAACTCCTAAGAGCTTCTCGAGAGAGCTGTACCGTTCCAGAAGAGAGAGATCCCGAGTGAGCTTATCCTTGCCCACTCCTACTCGGGCTCGTAGGCCCGGCAATTCGGTAGGTTCGGAGTAATTACCCGGTGGCCAGAATGACTGAGACTCAGATAACCAACCGGGACCCCACCACAGTGGGTGGTCAACCAGCGAGGGGGCCTCACAGCCGCGAGAAGCGCAGTTTGCGGGATTCAACTCCCGTGGGACATGTCTCCAGTTGAGAGAAGTCTCAGAACTCTGGATTTGAGACACGCGGTTCGCCACAAAGACCTCAAGATTGTGAGGTGCAGCTCGGACCCAACAAAGTACTATCTCACTGTCCGACCATGCGTAGACGCCCGTAATGTCGATTACAGGCTTCAAGGACGAGTGAACGTGGTTGAGGAGTCGCGTGAGAAGAGCGGCACCGGACAGTTCCAATTTAGGGATAGTTAAGCGGGACCTAGTGGGAACAACCTTGCTTTTAGCGAGTACGAGATGGACGGCAGTATGACCAGAGGAACTCACAGTCCGCAAATATAGGACAGCAGCATAGCCCTTCTCAGAGGCGTCGCAAAACCCATGTAGGGTAGCCCTGCATTTCCCTAGGGGAAGGAAGCACCTTGGCATGGAAACCCGGTTGATGTCCGGAAGGGAGGAGAGCATGGAGAACCACTCTCGCAACAGGACTCCGCTAATAGGCTCGTCCCAACCCAACCCGGACATCCAGAGCTTTTGAAGAAAGCACTTAGCCAAAAAGATGACCGGGGTGATCCATCCGTTAGGGTCGAAGGTGCGGGCTACGGTAGACAGCACGGAGCGTTTGGTCCATGCTTTGGGCGGTGGGTCAAGTTTAACTCTATACGTGAAAGTGTCCTGAACAGGCTGATATTGAATGCCCAGCACAGTCAACAAATTAGGATTCTCAGGGTGCTCGAACAGATGAGGGTCTTGTTGATCCTCTCCTGGGAGGTCCTTCAAAATATGAGGGGAGTTCGACAACCACTTGGGCAATTCATAGCCTCCGGACTTCAAGATGGCAATTAATTCGTCTCGCAAGACCAGAGCCACCTCGACGGTGGAAACGCTCGTACAAATGTCGTCCATGTAAACCGAAGTCTCCAAAATAGAAGCTCCCCGAGCGTATCTCAGACGCTCTCTCTCAGCGAGTTCAAGGAGGGTTCGCATGGCGATATACGGGCTGGACCGGAGTCCGTATGTGGTGGTGTTCAACTCAAACACCTGTATAGGATCGCTGGGCTTCTCGCGCCACAATATCATCTGATATCGACGGTCATCACGATGGACCACTGATTGGCGAAACATCATCCGAATGTCCGCTACAAAAACCACTTGGTGTCGACGGAATTGGGTCAAGATGTCGGATATGTCCTTGATCAGTTTAGGACCCGAGTGAAGACACTGGTTCAGAGACACACCATTTGATGTGGGGGCGGAACCTTCAAAAACTACCCGAATCTTACTCTCAGGGGTCCTCAAGACCGCATGGTGAGGGAGGAAGTAGTGCTCCTGTGAACGCCATTCGAAGTTGGACGGTGACATGTGACCCAGCTCTTGATACTCGCGCATGAACTCGACATATTTGTCGCGAAAGGTTCGGTCGCGCCGCATGCGGCGCTCCATGGAAAGCAACCTCTTCTCGGCTAGAGCACGAGATTGACCCAAAGAGGGACGTGAGTCCAGAAAGGGTAAGCGAGTGACGAAACGACCGTCAACCCGCCGGCCGGTATTGTTCTGGTAGAACAACTCACACTCACGGTCCAGAGGGTCGACTCGATCTGCATGTGGTGGTTCCTCAATTTCCCAGAACCGCTGGACGGCGCCCGATAGGGACACGCCCACGACGGAGAGCGGGTCGGCCGTCGGAGGGGGAGGAGACCACATGACCGATCCAAAGAAGCTGTGCCCAAATATCGTAGAAATGGCTGACAGGCAATCGGGCTGTAGAGCTCGTATCTCACCTAACAAGATGACCCCCAGCGTGTCGGCCCCCAGTAACAAATCTATAGGCCCAGGTTGGGCCCACCGAGGGTCTGCCGGTCTCAAAACCGACGCACAGCGAACCGCGCTGTCATTTATACGAACGTTAGGGAGAAACCCTACAATGTCATCGAGGACATTTACCTTGACTAAAATGCGAAGGTGTTCGCTGGCAGGGCTGAACACCAACTCCGCTTGTCCCCTAAGAGCAGGAGGCTCGGCACCTCCGATACCTACCATCGGACGTGATTCAGAGCTCCAGGGGAGCTCCAGTCTTCCCACCAACCAAGTAGAGGCCACACTACGTTGGGAACCCGAATCCAATAGAGCTCGAACCGTTAAGCGGTCGCCGCTCGGGTTGTACACCTTCACTGAGGCCGTCGGCAATAGAACAGTTTGACAGGTGGACTGCTGACGGCTCAAAGGCTCAGTGGAGGTGGCCATGGCGGGAGCTAGGGCGGCAGCCTCCTATCTGGAGCTGCCTCTGTCGGACCGGCACCCGAACCGGGGACCCCGAGAGCGGCACTCCGACGGCGTCCCGATGACCCTCGACTGGAATTCCCCGAACGGGCCGACCTGGGGAAATTCGGGGATCCTCGGCTCCGAGGCCCGGGGCCGATACGCAGTCTCCGGAACCCGGTAGTACCGGCATCGACCAAAGGGGGGCGGGCGGCGTTCCAGTCGCGGCCACTCAGCCAACGGGGGTGAGAACGGTCTAGCTGACCGCTGAGTGGCTGCGAATACACTCTCAACCCGCTGAGGGGGATGAAGACCCCCCCGCCCCTGGGGGAACGACTCCCCGACCGGTCGGGGGAGGGATTCCCCTCAGAAAGAGGGGCGCTGTGGTCAACCGGTGAGCGCCGAGCGTCGCCCGACAGGGGGCGTGGCTGAGCGCCCCCGCCCGTGGGAGTCGGGGGGCTGGCAGGGCCCGGAGAGGACGCGCCGCGCGCACCCAGGCACAACAGGATGTGGTGGTTGCCCTGGCAGTGCGTGCAGGGCCGCTGGTGCTGGCAGTCTCGTTGTAAATGCCTCTCCAGGCACGAGTAGCACCAGCGGCGCTCCCTGGCGATGGTTCGCCTCGCCGTAGCAGGCTTGCGCAACAACTTAGGGCATGACGCCGCCCGGTGGTCGGATGCTCGACAATAGGAGCAGGGAGGCGCCTCCCGGGCCGCTAGGCCACTATAGGAGGGTAGGGGGGGCGCCCTCCCGCGGGGGCTCCGCTCGGCCTCAGGGCGGTGGGTGACGCCTTAGCCGTCTGATTCCGCCTCTCCCTGGGCACCGCTCGGGAGGCGGCCGGGGGGCCCTCGACGGCGCCTGCTGCGTTCTCTAACTGCCTACACTGCTCCACCAGGAACCGCAGCAGGTCCCTAAAGGGGGGAATATACGAGGCGCCATCCCCTCCGTACCTCTCCTCAAAATGGAGCCGAAGGTCGAGGGGACAGCACGATATGAAGTAACAAAAGAGACCACTCGTCCATCGGTAAATCCAGCCGCCGCAACGAGTTGCACGCTACGACGACTGGATTCACTATGTCCTCACGTAGTCTGGTCCGGTCCCTCAGCAGCGGGAGGTTCAGCAGCCTCCGAACATGCTCGTCAGCAATCCGCCGGACGTTGGCGTACCTTCTCGCGAGGAGGTCCCTGGCGTTTTGGTAGGTGTCGTCCGACAACTTAAGGTAGCCGACGACGCCCAGGGTCTCCCCCTCCAGTGATGCCAGGAGGTACCCCATTTTTTGGCAGGGGGTCAAGTCCCTCCGGGCGTCCACCAGGTCGTCAAACATACCGACGAAGGTCAGCCATTCCGAGAGGACCCCGGAGAACCTTGGCAGGTCCAGCGTGGGGAGTCGTCCTAACAGCTCTGGCTGAGTGGGCGGCTTCCGAGGGTACTCCTCCGCGTCCTTGGCCCCCGCCTCGATCAAGTCGTCCGTGAGCGCGAGGAACTGCTCGTAGTCCACGTGGCAGTAGTCCAGGACTCCCTTTTCCACCTCCGAGTCCTCGAGCTCAGCGTAAGCCTCCTCCACGGCAGCCCTTCGAGCATCGACCTGCTCGAAGCTCTTCCTCATATTATAAACCCTATCCGGTCGGCCTATCAAAGCGTGTACGTTGGTAGCCCAGCGCAGCTCAGTCTGCAAGCAACGAATTAGTAGCTTATGTGACGGCATCCCTACTAAATACAATAACAAAAATAACAAATATAGTTCCTATCAATCAAGTTAAATAGAAATTACACAATTATTAAATTAAATACAAATTAGCACGAAAAAACACAAATCAAATTAGCAAGTAACAACCCTAGTACTATCAACAAATTATCCGATTACGTGACAACCTTATCTACCTAATCAAAGTACTTCGCCTCAACAAAATTCCCGCTTATTAACCTACGGGCGTGGCGTTAGCAACTACCTACTAACAACAAAAAAGGCGAGCAACAAAGCAACAAAAGAACAGAATTATTATTTATATTAATTATATTATATTAATTTTACGTATTACGGCCGGGCGTGATTGTAGACACAATCAACCACGCTCTGCTACCAAATGATACGGCGTGCAACTGCCTATCTAATAGTAGGATCCTCCCGGGCCCGTGGTAAGAAGAACCTACAGGCAGATGCAGGTCGGGCCTTTAAGGCCAAAGTGGAAGGTCTCTAATTAAAATAAACAAAAGGGGGAAAGATCGGTAAGGGAAAGGCACTTACCTGCTTCTGGAGCGGAGACGGTTCACCAGGACCTGCTCGGCTGATTGAAGTGTCGTGAATGTATGTGTGCTTGTATGAATATGTGTGTACGTGGCCTGGGCTAGATGACACAATACTGTCCTGAGAAGGTATCCGCTGGTAGCCTCGGAACTATTCCCCTCTTGAGGCAGTCTTTCCGTTTTGTCACGTAATGGTACAGCCAAACGTAGAACTTCAGAGGAAAATCACTATCGGAGTTGCACAATTAATTTGACAGAAATTAATAAGTCCTAAAGAACAATACGTGTTCTCGCAACGATTTACGCGGGTTATACTTTCGTAACAAATATAGGCGCTAAACTAAGACGTCAGTATAGATCGCAAAAAACTTTATAATGCTTGTCGAGAAATCCGGCCGATACCGCTGTGGAATGCGGCCGGGTGGGGGACGGGTGACCTTGCTGTCGATGCTACGAACGCACGTTAAAAGATTTACGTTTAAAATGTATAATATTTTTGCCTAAACAAACGGTATTGGCAAGTTGAAATAATACAACTTCGATTTTTAATTCAAGCTTAATAATAATTCTACTGAATCAGATCAAGAAGTTACAATAACTTTTTGGTAATATTTTACCAGGATTTTGATTTTATTTACAATTCATTCATTGAATTCTTCTCATATGTTGTAGAGTTATTACTCAAATGTAATGTAAATGTTTGTAGAAAAGAATTTACATTTCATGAAATAGAATCAGGAGGTATAGTAAAATATATCATCATCATCATCATCATTACAGCCCTTCACAAGTCCACTGCTGAACATAGGCCTCCCCCAAAGAATGCCACAAAGTACGGTCCTGAGCCACCTGCATCCATCGACTTCCTGCATATCTTACCAGGTCGTCACTCCATCTAGTGGGGGGGACGCCCTACACTTCGCCTGCCAGTACGAGGCTGCCACTCGAGAACCTTTCTTCTTCATCGGTTGTTGGTTCTTCGAGCTATATGGCCGGCCCATTGCCACTTCAGCTTACTAATCCATTGGGCTATGTCGGTCACTCTGGTTCTACTGCGGATAACCTCATTTTTGAGTTTATCACGTAGAGAAACTCCGAGCATAGCCCTTTCCATAGCTCGTTGAGCGACCTTGAGCTTCCTCATCCGGCCAGCAGTGAAGGACGAGGAGGTATAGTAAAATATAACTTATAAATATTTTATATATGGAAAAAATATGGATAGGTGTAATTGTACTATTTCTTGTGTTATTTTCTTAATGCAATATGATGTATTGAAAAAATGGTAAGTTGGTGTCCGATTACATAATTTAAACGAAAATTATTATATTTTATTAGTAATTTAATTATTATATTTTTTTGGTATTTAATAGTTTTAGATATTTCATTAATATTTAATGAAATGGCGTTTTACAGGGAGTGGGCGATCTATTTATTACGTTTGAATCATGAAGTCCTTTGTAACGGATATTAGTTATGTTTAAATATTTTAAGATACCTTTAATTGTCTGTGCTGTCTTGATCAAAATTTGATTTAAATCAAAGTGACTGTGAGACCATGAGATATTTTAAAATTGAGTAGCGTTTGATTATTTGGACATTATTAATATAGTTTTCGTAATGTTCCTGCTGTAACTGTGACTATTGTCGGAGGTACACAATTTTTTTTATTTTGCTTTTTGTGCAGTCGCAGTCGAACACTACACTGGAGTGCGTGTTAGCGGGCAGTGCGGCTGCTGCGGGCGGCGGGCGCGCGCTGGGCAAGTGCGTGTCGGCGAGCCAGCTGGCGCCGCGCCGCCTCACGTGGGCCCTGTGCGCCGCGCGCTCGCGCTCGCACCACGCGCTCGCACTCGCGCGACCGCCCGGCTACATCCTGCGCACCGATGCGCGCGGCATCAACATCACACAGGTACGCTTCTAGCGCTAGCGCATCGCATCGCATCGCCTTACACAATGTTATATACGTGCTAGAGTGCGTGTCGGCGAGCCAGCTGGCGCCGCGCCGCCTCACGTGGGCCCTGTGCGCCGCGCGCTCGCGCTCGCACCACGCGCTCGCACTCGCGCGACCGCCCGGCTACATCCTGCGCACCGATGCGCGCGGCATCAACATCACACAGGTACGCTTCTAGCGCTAGCGCATCGCATCGCATCGCCTTACACAATGTTATATACGTGCTAGAGTGCGTGTCGGCGAGCCAGCTGGCGCCGCGCCGCCTCACGTGGGCCCTGTGCGCCGCGCGCTCGCGCTCGCACCACGCGCTCGCACTCGCGCGACCGCCCGGCTACATCCTGCGCACCGATGCGCGCGGCATCAACATCACACAGGTACGCTTCTAGCGCTAGCGCATCGCATCGCATCGCCTTACACAATGTTATATACGTGCTAGAGTGCGTGTCGGCGAGCCAGCTGGCGCCGCGCCGCCTCACGTGGGCCCTGTGCGCCGCGCGCTCGCGCTCGCACCACGCGCTCGCACTCGCGCGACCGCCCGGCTACATCCTGCGCACCGATGCGCGCGGCATCAACATCACACAGGTACGCTTCTAGCGCTAGCGCATCGCATCGCATCGCCTTACACAATGTTATATACGTGCTAGAGTGCGTGTCGGCGAGCCAGCTGGCGCCGCGCCGCCTCACGTGGGCCCTGTGCGCCGCGCGCTCGCGCTCGCACCACGCGCTCGCACTCGCGCGACCGCCCGGCTACATCCTGCGCACCGATGCGCGCGGCATCAACATCACACAGGTACGCTTCTAGCGCTAGCGCATCGCATCGCATCGCCTTACACAATGTTATATACGTGCTAGAGTGCGTGTCGGCGAGCCAGCTGGCGCCGCGCCGCCTCACGTGGGCCCTGTGCGCCGCGCGCTCGCGCTCGCACCACGCGCTCGCACTCGCGCGACCGCCCGGCTACATCCTGCGCACCGATGCGCGCGGCATCAACATCACACAGGTACGCTTCTAGCGCTAGCGCATCGCATCGCATCGCCTTACACAATGTTATATACGTGCTAGAGTGCGTGTCGGCGAGCCAGCTGGCGCCGCGCCGCCTCACGTGGGCCCTGTGCGCCGCGCGCTCGCGCTCGCACCACGCGCTCGCACTCGCGCGACCGCCCGGCTACATCCTGCGCACCGATGCGCGCGGCATCAACATCACACAGGTACGCTTCTAGCGCTAGCGCATCGCATCGCATCGCCTTACACAATGTTATATACGTGCTAGAGTGCGTGTCGGCGAGCCAGCTGGCGCCGCGCCGCCTCACGTGGGCCCTGTGCGCCGCGCGCTCGCGCTCGCACCACGCGCTCGCACTCGCGCGACCGCCCGGCTACATCCTGCGCACCGATGCGCGCGGCATCAACATCACACAGGTACGCTTCTAGCGCTAGCGCATCGCATCGCATCGCCTTACACAATGTTATATACGTGCTAGAGTGCGTGTCGGCGAGCCAGCTGGCGCCGCGCCGCCTCACGTGGGCCCTGTGCGCCGCGCGCTCGCGCTCGCACCACGCGCTCGCACTCGCGCGACCGCCCGGCTACATCCTGCGCACCGATGCGCGCGGCATCAACATCACACAGGTACGCTTCTAGCGCTAGCGCATCGCATCGCATCGCCTTACACAATGTTATATACGTGCTAGAGTGCGTGTCGGCGAGCCAGCTGGCGCCGCGCCGCCTCACGTGGGCCCTGTGCGCCGCGCGCTCGCGCTCGCACCACGCGCTCGCACTCGCGCGACCGCCCGGCTACATCCTGCGCACCGATGCGCGCGGCATCAACATCACACAGGTACGCTTCTAGCGCTAGCGCATCGCATCGCATCGCCTTACACAATGTTATATACGTGCTAGAGTGCGTGTCGGCGAGCCAGCTGGCGCCGCGCCGCCTCACGTGGGCCCTGTGCGCCGCGCGCTCGCGCTCGCACCACGCGCTCGCACTCGCGCGACCGCCCGGCTACATCCTGCGCACCGATGCGCGCGGCATCAACATCACACAGGTACGCTTCTAGCGCTAGCGCATCGCATCGCATCGCCTTACACAATGTTATATACGTGCTAGAGTGCGTGTCGGCGAGCCAGCTGGCGCCGCGCCGCCTCACGTGGGCCCTGTGCGCCGCGCGCTCGCGCTCGCACCACGCGCTCGCACTCGCGCGACCGCCCGGCTACATCCTGCGCACCGATGCGCGCGGCATCAACATCACACAGGTACGCTTCTAGCGCTAGCGCATCGCATCGCATCGCCTTACACAATGTTATATACGTGCTAGAGTGCGTGTCGGCGAGCCAGCTGGCGCCGCGCCGCCTCACGTGGGCCCTGTGCGCCGCGCGCTCGCGCTCGCACCACGCGCTCGCACTCGCGCGACCGCCCGGCTACATCCTGCGCACCGATGCGCGCGGCATCAACATCACACAGGTACGCTTCTAGCGCTAGCGCATCGCATCGCATCGCCTTACACAATGTTATATACGTGCTAGAGTGCGTGTCGGCGAGCCAGCTGGCGCCGCGCCGCCTCACGTGGGCCCTGTGCGCCGCGCGCTCGCGCTCGCACCACGCGCTCGCACTCGCGCGACCGCCCGGCTACATCCTGCGCACCGATGCGCGCGGCATCAACATCACACAGGTACGCTTCTAGCGCTAGCGCATCGCATCGCATCGCCTTACACAATGTTATATACGTGCTAGAGTGCGTGTCGGCGAGCCAGCTGGCGCCGCGCCGCCTCACGTGGGCCCTGTGCGCCGCGCGCTCGCGCTCGCACCACGCGCTCGCACTCGCGCGACCGCCCGGCTACATCCTGCGCACCGATGCGCGCGGCATCAACATCACACAGGTACGCTTCTAGCGCTAGCGCATCGCATCGCATCGCCTTACACAATGTTATATACGTGCTAGAGTGCGTGTCGGCGAGCCAGCTGGCGCCGCGCCGCCTCACGTGGGCCCTGTGCGCCGCGCGCTCGCGCTCGCACCACGCGCTCGCACTCGCGCGACCGCCCGGCTACATCCTGCGCACCGATGCGCGCGGCATCAACATCACACAGGTACGCTTCTAGCGCTAGCGCATCGCATCGCATCGCCTTACACAATGTTATATACGTGCTAGAGTGCGTGTCGGCGAGCCAGCTGGCGCCGCGCCGCCTCACGTGGGCCCTGTGCGCCGCGCGCTCGCGCTCGCACCACGCGCTCGCACTCGCGCGACCGCCCGGCTACATCCTGCGCACCGATGCGCGCGGCATCAACATCACACAGGTACGCTTCTAGCGCTAGCGCATCGCATCGCATCGCCTTACACAATGTTATATACGTGCTAGAGTGCGTGTCGGCGAGCCAGCTGGCGCCGCGCCGCCTCACGTGGGCCCTGTGCGCCGCGCGCTCGCGCTCGCACCACGCGCTCGCACTCGCGCGACCGCCCGGCTACATCCTGCGCACCGATGCGCGCGGCATCAACATCACACAGGTACGCTTCTAGCGCTAGCGCATCGCATCGCATCGCCTTACACAATGTTATATACGTGCTAGAGTGCGTGTCGGCGAGCCAGCTGGCGCCGCGCCGCCTCACGTGGGCCCTGTGCGCCGCGCGCTCGCGCTCGCACCACGCGCTCGCACTCGCGCGACCGCCCGGCTACATCCTGCGCACCGATGCGCGCGGCATCAACATCACACAGGTACGCTTCTAGCGCTAGCGCATCGCATCGCATCGCCTTACACAATGTTATACAGGGTGTTTTTGGAACGCTCCCGAAAACTAAGACAGGGGACAACACCAAGTATACCTTTGATCATGGGTCACAAATAAATTCGATCCTGATGAAAAAAAAAATCATCTTTTTACAAGGTTTTATTAGCTTTATTCACGCGCCATCATGTTAGTACAGCTAAATGAAACGATAATTTCATAAAAAATATCATGAAAATACTGAAACATAAAACCAGCAGTGGAATGACTGAATTGATATCACCTGACCTGAGCTAGATAAAGGTCAATGTACGCGCGAACACAAATTCGCGCGGCCCGCAACTAGCGGGCCATCCCACAATAATAATTTACAACACGTGTCTAAATACCTAACTTATCTACTTAACCTACTATTTTGCCACTGTGCTTATCTCCACGTAGCCACTTTAATCCGAATTTACAGGTTAAATAACCCAAATAACTGGTGCGATTCCCCGCTAATGAAGAAATACTTAAATGAAATTTAACCAAGGTTGGAGTCATGCGTTTTTATTCATCGTGTAGGTATGTTTATTATTCTCATGTATTCAGTTATGTACCTATTCAGATTAGTCTAGTACTAAGTTATTTAAAAAAAAATAGTTATGAAACAGCTTACTGCTCTAAATCCTCCGTGGTCTTATGAGATGCGGCTCAAATTGTGCTCCATTCATTTCAAGGCAGATTTGGGTGCAGGCGGGGCATCATCGTGTGGTCTTCGACACAGTCCGTACGTAGTTTCTCGAAAGCATCCACGATCCTTTGGCGCATTTCTTCAGCACTATCACATTCACGATTAAAAACCCTTTCTTTCACATACCCCACAAAAAGAAGTCTAACGGAGTCAGATCTGGTGAGCGAGGTGGGCAAGCGTGTGGTCCTAGTCTGCCGATCCAGCGATCATCAAATAGCTCATTGAGGCGCTCACGGATGAACCTCACGAAATGTGGAGGGGCACCATCATGTTGGAACTATGTGCGGCGATATTCAGCCAACGATAGGTCGTTTAAAATGTCAACCAACTGTTCATTTATAAAGTTTAGGTATCGCTGTCCGTTCAGTCGCTCTGGCAGAAACACTGGTCCCAGTATGCGATCCTTAAATAAACCTGCCCATACGTTAACCGACCATCGGGTTTGGTGCCCGGTTTGTCGAACAGCGTGCGGGTTAACCTCTGAATACACGTGTGTATTTCTTCGGTTCCACAGGCCGTTTCTGGTAAATGTCGACTCATCCGTCCAGATAATGTGCTCAATGGAACCAGGCACACGTTGTTGCTGGTATAATAACCAACGGCAGAAAACTCGTCGGCGGTCGTGATCGCCGGGAACTAAAGCTTGCACTTTGTGCAATTTGTATGGGCGCATTGGTTACGCTTCAACACTTTGTGCACTGCACAGTATGACACACTTGTACCATCCCGACGTCTTAACAATTTATTTAGCGATACTTCGTGTACCTAGGTTCGGATACCTAACATGTTGACCACTATAAACGTACGCGTTAGGCATTATTAAAACAAAAAAGAATCCAAAAACGTAACAAAAACTTTAATATCAACACGTAATCACAAGTAAATTTATTAAACAAAACGATTGAACTGTCGCTCGCGCACGCGTGTACAAAATCAACACGGAACTGTCTCAAAAACTAAAACGAACGAACCCCGTCAAGGCTGAAACCTATTGCGTCACAAGCGTGAGGCGACAGGGTTAGGCATTCTGCCGTCATAATAAAAAAGGAAGTAACTAACAAAAACGTAAAATGGAAATAAAAAATAAATTGATGAATTTTTCTTTCAGACCCCGTGTCTAAAGTATATTAAAAGGTATCTATATTGAAATATATACGTAGAGACATGAAGATTTTAAGGACGAACTTATTTTTTTTTTAATTTGTTTATTTATTTAAATAAAACGAATTTTCCTTTTCATCTTAGATTAAAAAAGTACACCTGGCAACACAAAAACATCGAAGGAAAGACGCATATAACTATTTGGGTCTTCCCAACCTAATAAATAAAACAAAACTACCATTCATTTAACATTTTTACATATTTGGGAAAGGTCATTTGAAGTTGAAAGGACGCTTATAGTAATTTACTACTTTTTTCTTAGTAAATATTAGAAAAGCATTGGTAGTGAGACACAAAAAATAACAACCCGCAACTCTTGAGTAATGATTTTAAAGGGGATATCATACAAGACTTACTACGATAATAATTAAAAATTAAAACATTTTTACAACCGACTTTAATATAAATAATTAAGGATAACTCAAAAACTATTGGTCTGACCTCGATCAAATTTATATGGGACCACATGTGAAACACCAGCTCTTAATAATAAGATATGAGCTCTTAATAATAAGATATAAAATAATAAGACAAGAATAATTTTAATTTAAGTAATCGATGCAAATATTGTTAAAGATGACGTAGCAACTGGTTAAATAAGTCTTTTCTTTTATGTTGAATTTGTATAAGTCTTTTCTACTAATAAAATGTCATCTGTGATCAACAGCTACGTCTAAAATTCTGACGATAATTTCTAAAATATTGATATTAGTGAATATTAAAAAAATTTAGTAGATGCGTCTTCTTATCGTGAGTCGAATGGTAATTTATTCGAAAATTGTTAGATGCGCCTTTTTTTCTTATGACCGCAGCATTGTTTCATACCGATCTAGATACAGGTCGACAGCGGAGTGAGTGTGGGTACAGTCGCGTTCTAAAGTACTACATGGTATTGGGCTATTGTTTTATAATATTATAGTAATTAATTGTTTTATTGTAGAATCATAATAGGTGTTTTACTAGCTACTTAGAACTTTGGAAGAGGTGGGAATTAAAAATAGATAATGTTTACTTGAGCATTGTTTGTTATTTCTATCGTAAAATATAAAGTAGTTTGTAACAAAAAAACTTAAGCTAAGGGTGACACGCCGTCCATTATGACGTCTTGGGTCACATGGAAGCCAGATGTTGATGGTGTGTTGGTGTTACTGGATGCTACTTCATCATCACTCTCATCTTCGCTTGAGCTTCCGTCATCAGGTCGATCACATGGTAATTTTTTCAGTATTCTTCCTCAACAATTTTAACTTTACTGCACAATTTTCCCCATTCACCTTCTCCTATCATATTTACCTTTTCGTTCACTAGTTTAGTCATAAAACAATAGATATAAATAATTTTTTTTCCTTCCTTTTTAAAACATCGTCGCGAGTCGCAAAGTAAGCTGTGTATGCGACTGTATTTTTGGAGCGAACAAAGCGCGGGAACCAATAGCATGCAGGCACAGTAATACTGGCCAATATGTGATAAATCGCTCAGTGCCCAAGTTCAAGGCCAGCGTTCTTTTTTCACCGTTCGCGCGTACATTAACCTCCATTAGTCAGGTGATATCAATTCAGTTTCCACTGCTGGTTTTATGTTTCAGTATTTTCATGATTTTTTTTATGAAATTATCGTTTCATTTAGCTGTACTAACATGATGGCGCGTGAATAAAGCTAATAAAACGTTGTAAAAATATGTTTTTTTTTTTCATCAGGATCAAATTTATTTATGACCCATGATCAAAGGTATACTTGGTGCTGTCGCCTGTCTTAGTTTTCGGGAGCGTTCCAAAAATACCCTGTATACGTGCTAGAGCCACGCTGCAACTATCTTATACTTGTACCACGAATGGCTCGGCTCGGTCCAAGTTAGAACCACGCTCTCACACAATACCAGCGTCAAATAGCGGCTTGGTGCTACTATATTTCGTATAGTGTAAAGAACCGAAAACCCTTTTTATTGGAAACGAGACATTCCATCTTAATCCGGGGTGACAACGCATCTGCATTTTAACTCTTAATTGAGGATAAATGTAGATATCTAATAAGTTACAGTATCCATTTACCATCAGGTAGAATATATGATCGTTTGTCACCCTTATTCTATAAAAAAATCTTGAAAATTAATTATCTAATATCCGCGTCATAAAACTAAATTTTTTTGTCTTGATTTCTTTTGAGCTAATTAATTTTTAATATCTTAAATATAATTGTTTGCTATTAACTTCTATATATACAAAGTACAAGGTATATTTAGTATTACAAAAAATATATATATTTTTCAATATCTCTCCCATAACATCAATACTTTTACTTATTCATGAAAAAACCTTTTCTAACCCGGAAAATGCTCATTTACAGTAGACTTGAAGTCATTATCGTCAACAAATCACTTTCCCCGAAAGTCTTTTTTACGAACATGAGGAATAAACAGTAATCACTGGAAACTAGATCTAAGCTGTATGATAGGTGGTTAATTTCCTCTTCTCTTTTCTTTTATTGCTTCTCTCAAACGGCATAAAGTGGCTGAGTATTTGTCTGTGTTGATGATTTCACTTTTGTTTTTGTGTACTCGATTAATAAATAAAGTATCCCGAGCCTGAGAAGTCTTTCGCTAAACATAGGCCTTTCATAGATTACATCATGACCCTATCAAGCCGACCCATTCGTGATACAACCATATCAGTAATAGGCGCAGCGTAGCTTTACCATTTTCAATAAATCTAGCAAAAACTACCTTGTAGTCTAATATATCAAACTTCTAGTGCCAAATCGATACCTTCATTGTCTGCAGCACGCTTTAGTGCTTAGCCATCGATACTGAACTATGTTCAATTGAACTGTACTGCAATCCATACACTAAACTAAATCTTGCGTAAATTGAAGATTTGTGAATTCCATAAAATAATTATTATTACATTTTATTTAGAAATATGTTTGTTTAGATTAAAACAAGAGTATTTTATATTAAATTCTTATATTTATTCCATATTAATATCTTATTTTATATTAAATCCCGCGCATACGCGAAGACATAGAGTAGCGCACAATTTTTGTTTAGAATAGCTTCTCTAGTATGTAGTACATATAACTCAATGTGCTTAGCACACATTATTACCGTAAGCGTTAGTGCCTAAGTACACCGCTGAACATAGGCCGCTCTTATAAATAGCCACATATTGCTGAATAGTTACCATTTTTGCCACGCTTGGCAAACGGTTTAACACGCTGCTGCCCATCTCTTGGCAGTTTCGCTATTTGGCCTCTTACGATACCCACGGGACGATATGAGGTAGTGAAATTTCTCACACCGCCACTACGCGGGAAATATACGAGCTGAAGGCCCGCAACTCAGTACACACTGAAATACTGAGCGACCGTCTTACGTTTTATGCGTAATAAATGATGTACGCTGTGCAGTCTCTATTTTCCTACAATATTTAATGTTAATAATATCTTTTCAAGGTGGATGACATCACGGAATGGCTGGAACCGCCACAACCTTTAAAACGTACTAGTCCTGACTGTCAACTCAATAATATTCTCACTGAACAACACAAAACCAGAAAAGTCGAAGACAATGATGAGCTTGATGGTAACCTCCCCTCCTTTTTAAGGAATCAATCTGTTGAGGGTCTGGAGTCGAAGTCTAAACACGATGTGGATGCGCCTTTGCCATTCTGCAGACATTACAGCATCCCTGACAATTGTGAAACAAAAGACGAATCAGATGATAGCGACTCTTCAGACGATGATCTGGCTGACATCAGCGATTGGTATAAAAATGTCACGTCATTCAAGAAAATCAACATGGAAGTTGATCAACCGAAAAACTTATTTGCTGGCATCGTCAAGAAAGGTGAAAGTATTTTATCCAAGAAATCAAGTTATGATGTCATAAATACCACTGCTAAAAATAATGAGTATTTAAAAAATGGGAAGAAGATTGCAGAGAACGATTGTAAGAATTTTGATATAGGCTTAAATAAACCGTCACTACTTGTGACGGACTGTAGTAATAACATTCCAAAGACTTTAAATGTATCTAAACCAGCGGAGAAACCAAATTTCTTCGCAAAGAAACTTCTCTCGCCAAAATTGAGCAGGTTATTTAAACCTAACAGCGGAGAGGTGGTTCGAAATAAGCACGACGCTACTGACGCTAAAGAAGAAAAATCAAGAAGTCACTTCTTCGTTCAAAAACCGGCCTCACCTGGTGTGGTTCGGTCGTCGTATAGAGTCAGACCTGTTGAAGACGAAAGAAAAGCAAACGTGAATGATGTTCTCAAAAGTGATCTGAAATTGGCGAGTATGGGAAAACCAATGACTCCTATATTCCGAAGGCATCTACCCTCAGAAAAAACGGATTTCGCTGACGGTAGATTTAGCTATAGAGATCGTCGGAGTAGGGGTCCCAAGACTGAAGAGAAGTTTGTAGAAATTGGTAGAAATAAGATTAAAGCCCCCATCAGTGCGATCGAGAACAATTTGACGCCGTTAACACGCAATACTCAGACTAATAAAGTTTCTGCTTTAACCCCTGTACCTGAAAAAAAGGATAAAGCTGTGGAAACGGAAGGAAAGGAAGATAAATATGTCCCAAAAAAACGGGAGTTAGGTATATCCAGGAGTAATTATGTAAGTCTGGCAAATTTAAAAATTAACAGTCAGAAGGAATTAGGGAGTGATGTAAAAGAGAAGCCAAAGGGTTCTTTGAGCGGAAACTCGCCAATAGAACGAGTTATTTAGATATAGGTGTTGGTCTATTGGGTACTGCTGGTGTGATATAAGAGGACAAATTGTATCAAAATCTTAAGGCTTTTATTTTAAGGAAATTATTTTTTTAATACAGTTGCTCAAAAAGTGGCGTATTGCAGGGACGTATAGCGTTCGGGATGTGGGTTATTACATACTCGAGCTTTTTCTTTACCTTTTCCGAACTCATGCGTTCTCTTGCCCAACTGTCAAAATAATGTCTATTAAAAAGAAAATCAACCACGAAGTTTGTACAAAAAAAAATTCATAGCAGTTTTTATGATTCATGCAAATATTTCTAAAAAGAAGCTACTAATTTGTTTCAATATCAGATTTAATGATTTGATTCAATGAGTTAGGTTAGGTTTCATTTCATCTCATTAAATTTCATTTTCATTTCATATCAATAAAAAAATTCTACTCAAGACTTGGCTGTGTGTGGGCATAGTTCCCTTTGCCTACCCAGAATGGGTGAAGAAAACAAAAAAAAATCTCTGCTTATATTCTTTTACTATTTTACTTTTTATTATTTTATTAAATTGCTTCATTTTTTCGCAACTGTATTAAAAATAGTTGTTCAGTACACGTGCGGAACCGTCATTGCAACTTGTTCCGACTGTCAACCCTCACCTTCGGCTGCGCCTCGGCTCGGGTAGACATTTGTCGGAACTCTTTGCAATAACAGGCTTTCCGCACTCGTAATGAAATATACTATTCTATGATCGATTGTGAAGTAAATTATGCTTGACGAAAGTTAAACGTTGAATAAAACATTTGCGGAAAATCATACCTACCGTAGATCTCCATTGACTAAATAGACGAAATTTTAAAAAGCGCTGTTAACGAATAATAGCCGTCTTTATTATAATAGGGATATAAATACATTGACATGTTATGATTCTTCAATAATTGATGGTTTTTTCTCCAAATACGAAAAAATGCAATAGCCAAGTCAGATTTCAGACGCATATAACGGAGTTTTAAACAGTACTCGATAGACCAATAGTTCTGCGATAGATAGATTTCACAAGTTTGATGGCAACACAGTACGATATGTTGCTATGTTAATGGTTATATTTCAATATTGGGAAAGTTATAGACAGCCAACGTCGAAATATATTATTAAGAAACAGATTGAAACCTTTTAAAGTAGCTATGTATAAATTTCTAAGTGCTCTTAACAAGTTTATAAAGATTTAAAACAAAAACAAACAAAAGATGCAAATTTTCATGTTGCAATGCAATGCAAAGTTCTGTGGGGATGAGATGGTGATGATACCACTTTTTTTTGTAAAATAAGGTTTTAAATGACTCCTAAAAAAAACGTAATTTATACTTTTCAATTTAAGTATCCACAGAGCTCTTAATTTCCTCGAAGTATACAGTTTGTTTTATAATTTGCTAACATAGAAGTAGGATGTATATAGGACCATCGGATTTTCAAACGGAAAATCAATGTTGCTATATCGTCGTCAATATCGGTTGATAATACCAACGTTTTGTTCTAGTTTACAATCTACAAACTTATTTCGAATGAATGAAAACAATGGGATTTTAAAACTTTTCTTTAGCTAAGCATAATAAAAAATATAATATCGCTACGTAATTTGGCAAACATCTCTAGGCATTCACAACCGTTATGGCGGCAATCTTTATGAGCTAATTAGTGCTTACATATAAAATGCAGTTTCTTATATAGGGATTTAAAACACTAGATAAATGAAATTGAATGCAGGCATTGGCTAAGAACTCATGAAGCGATATGTACCCGGTACCCGTGCACGTAACGGTTGCATGATCGCTACCCGCATAGTATATGAGAAATATTGCTTTATGCAAAAGGGGCTCGAGCGCATGGTGGATTGGCCGTCGCCATTTTACTATCTATATTTATATCGTGGTTCTAGTAGCAAAAATGAATGGAAACAAAAAAAATGTACATTTATTTGGCACATACAGAAAAATACGGCATAGCTATCTCTTTCTTGTGTCAGAGGATATATCTAGACCCTTTTATAACTCAACAGCTCGTTTGGGTGTGTACATCGCATCTGCGTTCTACAGACGTTACTGAAAATAGATCCATCGCAAATAACCCACCTTGCTTTTACCCGACTTCCGATCATCTCTCGCCATGTATGCGGATCTTATAAAACTGCTATTTTAGTTCAAAAGTCACTATCGTGACTTTTGAAATAAAATAACAGCTCTGTACTCTCGGTGGGCACGAGTAAAAATCCGTGAGATAAGTCTTAGGCGTCATATAAAGTATTGTCGGCCGATTTGCTGCACAGCGGTCTTCTTCCTACTTCTATGTTTAGTAATGCCTATGTAATAAAGACACCTGTTCGTATTAATTCCACATTAAGATGTCGATTAAAATCTGAATATAAAACTATACTTAGACAACCTTGGGGGAGCAATCTGTTTCTTACTTCAAACTCTTGCCATGTTACATTGTATTTGATATACATTTGTTGATTTGTTATGTACTTATACGCGTTGTAGTGACATTTAGCCTCAGCGGTAGCAAGTTAGGAGTGTATCGAAGTTATTGTTTTCAAGTGAATTGTCATAGAATTCATGAATACTGCTCACCACCGAAATTGTAAGGGTTTAAAATCATATTGATCATATTATATTAGTTATACACACAGACACACGCTTTAAATAAAATAAGCTATCATTTCTTATTCTGATAATATATTGAAATGTAATAGCTCGTATAAATAAAAATATATTATTTTCATCTGGTAATATTTATGTAAAACTCCATTTTATATTGATATATAAAATGGAGTTTTACCATTTTACATAGGGATCCAGAGAGATCTTGAAATCGTAGAAAAAGTATTATAGAGTGTGCCAAAATTAGATTATAGAAAATTGAACCTTAAATTTCAAAATAGCAGTGTTCATGAAAATTAAATGTTTACCGTCGCTTTTGGGTTTCACTATCTATACATTCGATTTTATACAATATCACAATAGAATAGGTGTCGTTGAAGATTTTAAGATAAAAATGTAATTTCAGGTTGCAAAAAAATAATCTTTAATGGAGATATTAACAATAGAATATCGAGTGTTTTTTAAAGATGCTATTGTCATTGAACGGGCTATTATGCATACTTTGGATGCCTAATTGCGCATTCTTACAACTACTTACGCCTATTAACAAATTATGGGAACAGTGTTATCACTATGCTATAACTAACCTAAAAAGATTAAACCTGAGAATGCAAAACATGGATATTTTTTCATAAATGAACGTTCACAGACCCACAATAAGTCATAGACGAATTTTTTTAAATAAAATATAAGGCACTAAAACTGAGTGTAATATTCTACTTTAATATCTCTTATAACCCGCAAAGATATGTATTTATAAGCAACCATTCATGACAGTGCCTTTGTCAAAGACTGCGTGTTGGTCAGCTTTTGTCAAGAAATTAGTGACACCTAAATAAACTTTAAAAAATGTTTATATCCTACCTCAAAGCTTATATATTTCTGTGTTACTGCCATTGAAACACAGACCGCCTTTTCTAAAAATATAAATTTATTGCAAATTGAAATACCGTCGAGTGTATTTATACTTTCAAGATTATATGAAGTCTTAGTTTTAATAGTCCCAAAATTGCTTACATTATAGTGGATACTTTATTTGAAGTTAAGGCGCCTATATACAAATTTATACAGAATGTTTGTATTATGCTGTATACACGCGTTACTTTAAACGTTATAGAACATTTACAGTTTTTATAACATATTATTAGGTAATCATAGAGCAATAGTGAATGTTATTTGGGGTCGTTTTATGCACGTATTAAAAGCTGAAATAATTTTATAATGGAATGTCTATTTTATACTTTTCTCTCCAGATATACGATAAAAGTCTTGCGATATATAAAACATGTCTCTATTAATAGATTTTATTAGTGCCATTATATTTTTTTATATGCTCGAATATATAATCTATACCCATTAATTTCTAATTGTAAAATTTGTTTAGTCTTAAGTTGAGTAATGAATTTGGAATGATATTATTAACTTTATTAATTTATTAACTCTGTGCTTAGTTTTACCTAGGTAGATATTTTAAGTCTGAATATTCTTTTGTGACACAGGGTGCCATTTTGTATTTTTTAGAGATTTTGTGAACAGTGCCTTAATCGAAATCTGCCAAAAATTATGATATAACTTGCCTACTAGCCGGATTTCGATTAAAGCAAATAAGACAATTTTATTTTTATTAATTTTAAAGAAAACCTAATCTCATTTAATAATTATTGATTAACATTATGTTCCATGTGACGACAGTTCGTGCTCATGTTTTGTCTATCTGTGATACTTTTTGTTTGTAAAATGTTGCAATAACAAGTATTATAGGATTGTCATTAGTTTAAATTAGGATTCTTGAAGCATTCCGTTTTAGGTTGCCTTGTGTGCGTGTAACGTTACGAGATTATATAATACTGTTTCTTTCAGACTGATTCTACCGGAAGTTTATTTTTGTAAATCTGTTCCCTCTGTCACCGACGATCGCTTAGTTTGTCGAAATCCTAAACTTAAATTCTATATTATAACCAACCGGATTAAACAATAAGTCGGAAATGCTAGAGACACATGTCTGTAAATAATATACCTACTAATAAAGCTAGTAATGAGTCCTGGATAAGATTACTCACAGTTATTTTACCTCTACAAAGTTGACTAACCTGAGCCCTGTGTTGCCATATTCAGTTTGTACCAATCCCCTGTCCGAAATATTTGAACATATTTTTCAGTAACAATATTATTTTTCTTTTAGATTAGGTAGCTCATAAACTTATCTTTGAATTTATAAAACTTTCAGTTAGTAATAGATTTGTAAAGCGGCAACGATCACACGAATTTCGACTTTGTGACGAGTGCACAAAATCGTAATTCGCGTGGTCTCCGCAATTACAATCTGCTGTGCCAACCTAACGGGAGAATGCAATAATATAATAATA